GTCACATAGTGACTGATATCACCTGACCGTGATTGGGCGTCTCTTCTAGGCGCTTGTTCATGGGGATCACGTGACCATGAGCGGCGGTACGTTTCGTAACAGCCAGGGAGGTTTTGTCGAACGAAGGAGGCTTGCATTTCAGGGACTGCGATGGGACGTGGGATTTGTTCATAGTTTCTCAATGGGAAAGATCATAGCTCTGCTTGAAGATCATGGACCACCGTTTATGCTTGGCCATGGTGATACCTGTGAGGGAGTGCCCTGCTGCCAAGGAGATGGAGGAGCGAAGTCATTCATACTCCAGCCACTTCACATGTCCATTGCCATCTGGATCATGGCAGAATTGTCGCAATCTCTTTGTGGTGAGCACACTGTCTGTATCTATCAGAATAGGGTGCTGAGTTTTGTCTTCAGATCATCATGGTTGCAAGCCTTCTTAGATGAGTGCTCGCAATCTTCATTTCACAATGTTCGAGAAGATTGTCGGTATCTGACTCTTTGCTCAAACTGCACATCATGGAATATATGCAGTATGAAGTTGATTCGGGCTATTCATTTCATACACATCAGCATTGAGTCTGCTGGTCTCCCTCTCCACCTCTGCCAAGAAGGTTCTGCATGTCAGTAGACCTTCTAAAGTCCAATCATATTGTAGATTATTGGAGCCTGTGAGAGATTTACTAGATGACATAGCAGATAGAATAAATGCATAGCCAACGGAGTGCACAATGCAAGCGGGCACAGAACGCGAAGACGCAAAGCGCGTCCAAGCACGCGCCTCAGACGCGTCGCGACGCGTCGAACACAAAGTTGTGCCTTGTTTGTATTTGCACGTGAGGTCGGAGTTCAAGTTTTTCCGACCCACCCGACAAGGACCTCCAATAGAAAAGCAGACGTCAGATATCCGGAGCGTTCCCGCATAGGTTTGAAGGAATTGTCTCGTCTGCCCACGGGAGACTAAGTCAGATGCGCTTGTGGCTATTGTGGCTACGTCACGCATCTCCTGCAAGCTTCCAAGATCTAGGATTCGATGAGACAGGCGTCGTAATTTTCATATTTCAATTCCTGTCTTCGATATTTTATTCTCTCTATGCATTGCGGTGACGATCGCGCGTCTGGAAGCTGCTGCAGAGCGTGAATCGCAAGTACGGTCTCTCGCGCCGAGATAGAGCTCCTTGATGCGAAACGTCTGGACGTCCGAGGACGCGGCCACATAGCTGTTTAGACGTTCAATGACTCCATCGCATGGCTTACGATCGGACAGCTGTCTCGCACATGTACTTAAGACGCACTCCCGCCTTCGAATGGAGCTCTGGCTTTCCCCCTCGAACTTTACTCGTGCGCCCGGACAGCAATCTCGGCTGATCAAGCTCGACGTTCTGCGGATAGCTCAAGCGAACTAGTTTTTTTTAATTGCATTGCCTTCATCTCTCGTACCTAAGGTCTCGAGGTCCACTAGCTAGACCTCATGCTCTATGCGACCAGTCGAGCATCTCAGTCGACGAACCGCTCTGCCTCCGTACGCGGTGATCTCTTCACACGTCATGATCGAGTCCTCTAAAATCGGTACTTTCTTTGCAATGCTCCTTGTTTTGGGTTTTTCTCTGACTTTCCGGCTTCTTTTTGTTCACTTTTCTGCTTATACAAGCCAGTTCAAGCGGAAATAAGCGCAAAAGGAGGTTCGTGGGCCACAAGTCGATTTGAGTTTTCCTGATGTTTTCGGCATTGCACATCAATGACATCGGAAATATAGCCACTCCAACCGCTCGGTTGCCTTCGTCGGTCAATAACCGGTCAGTACTCATTCGTAAAAGCTGCTTTTATATGCCAATTGACCTCGAATATCCTGTTACGGGACGCGTTTGAGCGCTGCATAATCCTCCCCTCCGGGCGTCGGCTTTAAGCCACCAATTACCTACCTCGTAAAATTGGGCTTAAGGCTTGAGTGCGCTCATTAAAAAGTATCTTATCGGTGAACACTGATATCATTCTTGTAAAGGTTTGCGGCATTGAGATTTTAACCCAAAACCATTCGAGCGCTCACAACGGTTTCACGAAAGAACACACAATATACGGCAATCCTCGGAATAGTCCCTGGAGGAACACGAGGTGCACCTATACTCCTCGCGTTCTTCAACCCATGAAACTGCCGAGTCTCTCGCGACGAGTGTCCTCGCGTGAACTAAAGTACAATCCAATTGGTACGCACATTGCTATTATTACAAACCTCTACTCTACTAGAATATGATGCATTAGGCTTGGCCTGAACAAGCATTTTAGAAGGAAGTCTGTGTGACTTCTTATCGTATGGCCCTAATAAAACGTCTAATATGAATTTTAGAGACTGAAGTCTGACCAACGTGCGTCTGTGCCTGGGGGACAACAGCCTCCCCTACGACCCACCGCGTTCCCAAGGACCTGAAGGCTGCTCCGAGTCCACGTACTCGGCAGGTCGCCAATGTCGGTTCGTGTCGGGCGAAACGCCATTCGCCATCCGCAGCATGGTGATCTGTCCGGTCAGGCTGGAGAACTTTGCCGCGAGCGGGCATCAGGCGTCAGCACATGTACGAGAGAAGAGCTCACGAATGCGCGCACGTACCCCGTTGCCTACGACCACCTGCGCCCGCTCGCCCACGAGCATATCCACCGCCTGCGCGACATGTTTCTGCTCCTCGCTCAGCACCAAATCCCTGCTGCTCGCAACATGCGTCCAATGCCTCGTCGCGTGCAACGCCGCCTTCAGCTCCTCCACCCACGACGCCGGCGCGTTCGTCATCACATACACGCTCCGCAGCCCCCGCCCCGCCTGCGTCCTGCGCACCTCCTCGGCACGCCGCACGATCTCCTCGACGCTCGGATAGCAGTGCTCCCTGTAGAACTCGCGCTTCTCGTCCCGTGAGACGCCGCGCGGCTTGACGAACTTGTCTGGTAGCGCAGGGAAGGCGTTGTACCCCGTGTATCCCGCGTCCCAGTCGGCAAGATTCCGGCAGTGCTCTTCAAAGTCTCCGCGGCGCACGTGTAGCGCGAGCAGGCCGCGGATGGTCGTGTAGCGCTCGGCGCCTGTCCCGGTGAAGGGCGTCAGTGAAAGATATGGTTCACCGGTGATAAAAGGAGAGATGGTCTCGCGATTTGCATCGAAGGCGCGCTCGACGAGGGGAGCCCAGCCAAACTCGGTCAGGATGGGTGATGTGGAGAATCCGGGCCAGGCATCGAGCAGCCGGTCAGGGTCACCGAAGACGCTTCAAAGTGATTCCAATCAGCCACGCTCACACGCTCAAGATTATTAGGATCTCCCACTATATGTCGAATGTTGACGGCGAACTGCGCTTGACCTCCACGCACGGGCTCTCGATGGAGTTGAGCATCTCTACCCACTTGTCGATCAACAGTTCCGCGGTGGTAGTCCTGCCGCCGAGCATTTTGACGACGTCTGTGCTCCGGACCACCACAGGATGCGGGCAGACCTCGTCCCAGAACTCTTTCACAACCGCAAGCGGCGCCGTGGGATCCGTGCGCATCGGCGCACCCACAGTGGGACCTGTGGTCATAGTGATCAACATGGTCTCACTCAAGAGAACATGCGAATTCCTGCTCACCTTGGATCAGCGCGCTGTAGGGGATTTGCGCGGGGATTGGCTTGCCGTTCCAGGACGAATATAGGCCGTGCCTCCACCAGGTATAGTTGCCGAAGACGAAGCTAGATTCTCACGTGTGGGTAAGCTGGGCCATACGCGCAGCAAATGTCTTTTCACCACGCACGAGCGACCAGCGCGGTAGGCTATGTAATGGTTCAATAACTGTTCTTGCATTGCGTTCCCCCATCCAGACCCTGAGGCGACATGATCAGCGACCCGTAAGGGATGAGGAAGCGAGCAATTTACTCCAAACGTGATTTGCGACCCACAAGTACTTGGTGTTTGCGCCAGCAGGCTGGACGTCGCTATCGAGTCGGTGTTGCGGTAGGCCGAGTTCGTGCGCATGATACTCCGAGTACAGCGGCGGCATGCCCTCGTCGCTCCACGGCAGTATCAGCCCACGGACCCATTTTCGCCTGATCAGAAATACGGCTATGAGCAGGAAAACGACCGCAGCGATCTTTGCCCAGCGCGGAATGTGGCATGACCGCCGGCACGACGACGTTTTTGCATGAGGACGCGGGGCGGGGAGGAGTTCGTACGCCCCGGTGGGCCGTCTGTATGATGGCATCCAGGGGAGCGTCATAGCGAAGAACTTTAGGAGAGCGTCTTTAAGGGGAACGCAATATATGGCGACTCGGCTGACAGTGGCGTAGGCGCATCACAGACATGTCCGTCGTCTGCGAACATGTATTAGGATATCATCCTGCAGCTGCGCAAAAACGCGCCAATCTTTGCATCAGCTGACAGTGTATGGCTCTTTCGAGCTCATTGATCTGCGAGAGAATTGATAACTGTGCGCAGCTGAACCTAGGCCAACGCAGAATATCACTTACCCTCCACGAGTAATACGTCACTGAGAGGTATATATCTTGCTCACCGCCAGCGATAGGTTCATGCCGCCCATAAAGCCAAAAAGTACGGGCACAATCATCCGGGTAGTCCCTACTCCAGTCTCTTAACGTGTCCAGCGCCTCACCATGCATTCATGCGTCATTCATGGCTCGAGCACTTGACAGATGCCCGCACCCATATTTCGGCTCCAGCGAGTCTTGCAACAGGTGGTGGGCGCATACTGCGGACCCGGGTCGCCACCGTGTGGCAGGTGGGCGGCAGACTAACTCATTTGCAGCTGCGAGAACAGCGGAGGTCTACATAGCGTTCAGTTGACTGACTTGAAAGTAAACCTATTGGAATGATAGAATTTGGGATTCTGCAAATTGGTGAAATGCTGGGCATCATCAATTTCGCAGACCAGAACCTAGTTCTCCCGATCACACGGTCATATTCGCACCAGATTCTTCTGCGCATCTCTGTACATACATGGCAAAGGAGATCAGCGCTTTGCTCTTCCCGACGGTACAACGTCTCGGTGGAACACAAAATGTGCGTAACAACATATCTAGCAGAGCTTATAACTCATTTCAGTCCACATTCTAATGGTGTTTACTACAATATTCACAAGAATACTTTTAGTACACGATGAATGCATGCTGACGATACAAGAAGCACAGTCCTGGAAATGCAATGCACGAATGCACAACATCAAGAACTCCAAACAGTTGTCACCCTCCAGGCTCCGCGCCGCTCACGACGAGCCCCTCACCCTCCCCAACAGCTCTGTCAGCATCCCGGCCGCGATCCCATGCCCTGACGCGCGCCGCCCGCGCTCCTCTCCACCACCATCACCACTGCCATCGCCATCGCCATCTGCACCAACATCCCCATCGCCATCTGCACGCGCATGCCCCAACGGCTCGCCCTTACCCAATACGAGCGAGATCCGCCGCGCGCTGCCCTCCCCGACGAGGTTCGAGCGCGCATGTACAGGGTTGGTCTGCAGCGCGATTGCGGGCAGCGAGAACCGCTTATGCCTCCGCACCGTGTTCTCGCGCTTCGGCGTCGGCGGAAAGCTCGACTCGGTCGTCGTCCCCGTCCCTGTCGTCGTCCGGCTGGGCGATTCCATCTCCGTAAACGCACTCTCCACTGCTGCCACTTCTTCTTCCTCGCAGTGCCCGTCCCGCCCCCCTATCATCGAGCTGTATCGCGAGAAGCTCGTGCTGGCCGAGGGCGGCGCCGACGTTTCTCCGAACTCGTGAAAGTCCTCTAGGATGTGGATATAGCTCCTCGGCCGCGCTGACGGCTTCACTCTGATTGCGGACACAGACGGACCTGCGTCGGCGCTGTCCGCCATGCCATGCTCATCGTCAATCCGAGCCAGCACACGTTTGGCGCTCCTCGGGCTGTCGACGTCGATGGCCATCAGCGCGGAAGGGGTCCGGTCGAAGACGAGAGAAGGCATCGACTTGAGGCCGGAGAGCGTGAGGTGGGAATGGGTGGTGCCCGATGCTGTTGAAGCCTCTCGCGCAGGCTCGAGCAATGGGAAGACAGACTCGTAGCATGCGTCGCATGCGCGCGCTGGCTTATGTTGCTCCCTAGTATCTTTGGTCGTCTCGTCTATTATGAAAAACTCCTGAGGCGTGGCCATATCGTATCAACAATCGACTTAGTTTTGTGGCATAAACTCACCTTGCTTGAACAGCTGCCACAAACGCATCGACCACACAGCCTACAGTGATGCCGCCTCCTGCGCCAGCCAAACGTCCGTCCACAGCGCATACAGCTCTGCGACTTTCCGTCCGGAATCCAAATCGCCGGAACAAAGTGGTCCACTCTGCCTCGCTTGGGCCGACGTGCATCCTCGTCAGGAGAATACGGCAGCGCTTGGAGCGTGCGCCGGAGATGATTCGTCGAAGAGGAGGACGTCAAGGTCGAGTTGGGCTGCATCACATTCAGCGAAACGAGCAGAGAGGATTTTGCATTTCGAATGGCAGTGCTCCACTCGTCGCGCTCCTCTTCACTTCCTGCGATAACGTTGAGAGATGTACCAATACACATAAATGCAGTAATGGTGCTGTACGAACCTGCATAGACAGCAAACGACTGCTGCGGGCTGAGAATCTCAAACCGCCTCTCCTCTCCAGGCTCGCGGGGCGTAGTCACAACCACATCGACGTCGACGAGGTCCACATGGCCCTTATACACCCACCTCTCGTCCGCCGCGCTGCTCGCACGCCTCACCTTCCGCCTCGGATGGTGATGATGATAATGAATCCTAAACCCCAGCATCGACTCCTTGTGCTTCAGTGCCTCCGCCGCTAGGGGCATATCCGCGTCGCTCTTGCTGCGCGTGCGCATGAGCGGCGGGTGCCCGCTGACCGCCTCGAGCTTGTCCAGGAGTCCATCGCCGTCCGCGCTCGCGAGCCACATGATGCAGTCGGAGAAGAGCAGGAACTCGCGCTCCTTTGGCGTGGAGCCCTCGAGCTGCAGCAGTGGCGCGCGCTTGAGGAACGTTCGCCCGGGCGAGATGAGCGGGAAGGGGAGGTGGGCGGTGTTGCGCTGGAGCGCGAGGAGGGAGAGGATCTGCGCGTGCGTGTGGAGCGAGGTGTCGAGGGAAGAGGTGACTGGAGAGAGAGGATACGTCAGCGAGCGCGTTCATTATGAGATGCTGCGGGACGTCATCAAATCTTGATTGTTCCTCACTTTTGGCAACGAGCGTGTGTACGGCGGTGAGCTGTGCGTACTCTGGGTCGTCTGGATCGGTGCAGCTAATTAGATCCTTCAAGAGGAGAAGATACCGTGGACACCTCTGGACGATGGTCAGGAGCCAGTCTCGGAATTTGAGCTTGCCGCAGCGCGGGTCTGCTTCCTGGCGCGATATGAACTCTGCAAAGGTGTGGTGCGTAGAGAGCAGGTACGAGTAAGCAGTCAAAGCGTCAGAGAAAGAGGTGACAAATGGCGTGTATAGTGATAGGTAGGGGAAATGCGCGAGCAGCACTGGTGAGAGGGGTGGAGGCTCGTCTGGATGTGCAGATGCGGATGTCTCAAGAAAGGTGGTGAGTGTAGTGTAGAACGAGCGATGTAGATTCCAGATGTCGATGAAATTTGAGAAGATGGATGTGAGCTCAGAGCGATCAAGCAGTTGCTCGGGCGTGTCCAGAGATGCAATGATAGGGGTCAAGAAATGCTACGGAATCATGAGTGTGCACACATATGATGATCACGAACGACTCACAGAATAAATTAGTTCCAATCCATCAACATATGACTTCTCCGTTTCATGAAGTTCATTGATGACCTTCTTCCGCTTCGCCTCCCTCCGCTCATTAACCGGACGCATCTGGCTCCTCCGCGGGGCCTTCCGCGCAATATCCAGCGACGACGGCCTGTGTCTGGGTGGTTTGGTGGCGTTTCGAATGACCGCCGGGGTGAAGGCGGGCACGGGCGCCACGGGCTTGACTCCCTCCTCAGGCAGCGAGTCGAAGGACGCGGTGCTCACAATCGACTGTCGATGCAGCAAATTTGGTGCAGAAGGCAGCGAGATGCGCCGGAAAGGGAGGTGCGGAAGCCGCGAATGATGAACGTCGGAATTGCTCAGGCTGGAGGAGAGGTGGGACTCGGAGGACGAGGGGAAGTCGACCATGGAGGCCGGCGGCGGAGTGGAGACTGTGATGGCTCGACACTTTGAGTGTGCAGACTCGGACGCGAGGTTGAGAGAGAGACATTTCGCACCTGCAGCCATAGGTGGGATGATATTGACTAAGGCCGGGCCCTGGTCACGGTCGCGTTCTGTGGGTGACCGCGAGCCTGTGGCTGGCGGTCGCTGCCAGTCCCGACCTCGATCACGAGCGCTACCACCCCCTTACTCCCCCGCTCAACCCATTTATGGCAGGTGTAGTGTTCCCCACCACGGGGAGAGCAACGAGCAGGTTAAACTCAGGGAAGACAAGCAAAACGAGTCGACCGTTAATCCGACGCGCACCCCTACAAAGTGGCGGGTCGCGTGAGCTTGACCCGTCGCAGAAGCTCGTGAAATACAGCTGTAGCTGGACTATACTGGTACACATATGTCATTTCAGCATGGAGGTCAGGAAGATTCAGACGTTGAGGAGGTGTTTACTGCGGTAGACTAGAGATCCTGTATGTGCAGAAGCGTTCGATGGGTCCTCGACGTAGATACCGGACTGGTCGAATTGCATACGTCGCCTAGAGCGTAGCCCAGAGAATGACGACGCGAGTGAATGATAGAACTCTAAAAACTTGATACACTTGGTTAATCCGAAGACGTCGCGCGTTGCCAGCCGACTTTGCCAATCCGAGAGTGTGAGTAAAGTCCAGGGGGGAAAAGCTGCTCCATTCGTAGGCGGGAGGATGCCTTTATATACATCTGAGGGGCAGGAAATCGTACAGATAGCTCAGAGGTGGAGTCTTCGATTGATGGGGAGACAATCGCGTGAGAACTTGCTAAATATGGTAACATCCTTGACATTTAAGGAAATAAGAAGAGACATAAAGAAAAGAAGAGTGGGGCCGCGTCAGCGGTGACAGACATCGTCCCCGGTACGTCCAAACGATTGGCTGGTGTGTTCGATCCTCCGCGGGAGATCGAATTTACGAGTCACAGTCCGCCACTCTCGGACGCGCGATCGTCACCGCGGGCCTCTTCACACCTACGTCTCCCTATCTTCTCGTCTGTCCGTGCCGTATCGGATGCTGGTAGAGTCGGGGGATTGTACATGGATCTTATGCTTATTCTGATCTACTGCTGAGAAAGAAGAATAAGTAATCGTGGCGAATTATAGATATTAAATCGTATCTCCTCCACAACGTCTCAGAATTGAATAGTAAGTTAATCAGTATGCATCGCTTATGCAGCCCGGCCTACTCCGTAATGTGGTGCCTGAACCTTGACAACCATATATTCGCCAACATAAGCATCTCAAAGCTGGTTACTACCGGCACACATTTGACTCTTACCTTCCCCACACAGATAAAGAAATGTACACCACATCATACTACAAGCTCCCCCTCGACACTCCCCGGCTCCAGTCCAAGCCTCTCAAGCACTCTATCATACCGATCTCGGTCCAATCTCTTTAGGTACTTGAGGACCTTTGCTCGTTGATGCACCAAGAGCCGCAAACTTCGACGACTGCTGACGTCTCTCTTAGACCTTATTAGGTGGTGCCATATGCTCCGTATTCTGAATGTCAGAATTGACGCTGCAAGAAATAAAAAGCTTAGTGAGGTCCACCGTGGACAGCGGCATATACGCACCTTGAACCTCGGGTCGACCCGTATCGTTGGGTTTGTCTGGCTCTGAGAACGCCTCCACGATGCGCTTGCGGTTCTCAAACGCAATTCCCCTGGCATTCGCGTTTCGCAAATCCACCAGCCGCGCAAAGAATGTTCTCTTCGATGCTTCCGCCATATCCGCACTCTGAGATACCAAGTCCAGCCGCTCCCGGAGGTCCCTGAACCCTTCCGGGTTCTCTTCCCTGGCCTGGAAGTGCCCTTCGATCGTCAGCTGCGGCAAGACATCAAACAACATTTCCTTCTCCCGCTCGCCCATCCCAAAGTTCATATACTCCGGAATCTGCAGCTCCTTGCCGGGTTCCGCACTCGCCGGCGGCATCGGTGCACTGAAAATGTCCTCCTCGGTGATGATGATCTTCGCGAGGTCGCAGCTCTTCCATTTGGCCTCGTCCCCAGGGCGATGGCCGAGCACGACGTGCGGCCGGGTGCCTGTCGCGGCGAGCTCGCGCTCCTTGCGCTTTTGAATGTTCGCCTGCTGGGTCGCGCGGGATTTACGCCTGTGCGCGAGGGAGACCTGGAGGACGGCGGAGGTGTGCAGGGACGCAGGACATGCCGAGCTCGACGAAGATGACGCGACAGAGCGCGAGCCTGGAAAATCTCAATCAGCACACGATAGACACGGATCTCACCGAACGTACATTGCGCGAGGCGTGCTCTCAACATCGCAGTCGTCGGTTCGCCTGCGAGCACAATTGGCGCCCGCCCAAAATCTGGTCGTGGGAATTCTCGGCATCAAGCGGCCGTAGGAGGATAAAAACACGCCCTTTGCGCGTCTGCGTTTCTCTCCCAGAGAGATATGCCACGCTGCTCGACGTGAGACTGCCCGACCGTCGTGACAGTGCCAGTGACTCTCTCCGAGTCCTGTCCTCTCGAGAGTATGGCTACGGCTAAGCAGGTTAGGAAGTGTCGTGATTCATCTTGTTCCATATTGCGGCATGTCGACATATCCCTGTGACAACTTTTTTTCTTCGTGTACGCTTCTCCTTGTCGATGTTACCATCAATGACAGGCTTTCAGCCCCTCTGGCTACTATCTATGCATGCTATACTCGTTGAACTGTGTGCTTGATCAGCCTCTTTCACCAAGTGGTCCTGCAAAGTCGACGTCGCACTCGTGCCTGCTACCTCCGTGCATGCTCGGCAAGGGTACTTGTGGATCTTTACGAAATAGCAGGTGAGGTAAAGCTTGCGGCAGCTAGGCTGACGAATATGCTTCTTCTGATAGCACTAGTCGGACGATGCGGTTTTTCGCGAGCGCACGGACCGTGTGTGCTAAACTTAGACACTTCCGACGATGAAGCCCACGAAGGACACACATTCGCCGCTTGGCACCGGGTGCATTGAACGACGCCCATGGTGGCCACGAACGTGTCATATTCGCTGTCGTCGCGTCCATATGCGTCGTTCCACGTCGTTGCGGGTCCGCATAACCAGACATGGCACGCATGTGGGTCTGCTTCGCAGCCCTAACGAGCCTGATGGAACTACTGCTGCGTTTCCACGGTGCCGTCAATGGCTGTATAGTATTTCGGCTGCTTGCTAATGACAAGGCTTCTTTTCCGAGCATGGTGAGGTATATGAAGTCTGCTCTGCCGATAGAAGATGAAGCGCAGTTTCCCTGGAGATGCGCGGGTCCCTCAAGCTCTTGCTGCCTGCGGCCGTGGTAGGTGCAGTTGTCGTGAACGCGGCGACTACGAGCTTGGATGGAATCTACTCGTTGGTGCAGCGGCAGATGCCCGCGCATGAGGACGCGTTCACGTTCTCGTTGATCGAAGGAGACGGCGACTCGTTCGTCATCAGTGACACGGAAGGTACCAGCGGCAGTATCACGGTCCAATGCACAACCGTCATCGCGTGCGCGAGAGGGCTCTACACGTGGGTCTATAATATACGATGATATGCATCGAACTGATCAGCAGAACGTAGCTACGTAACGGAATACGGCGGCGTTGACATCTGGTGGACAGGTTCTCGTCTCAGTCAATTGCCTTCCACCCTACCCTCGGTTGGCCAGCCTGTCAATGGAAGCTCTGTGGTTCCTTACAGGTACGAACACCGACCAACGATGACGCACTGGTGGTTCGCGACGCTGATCCGTTGATCAAAGATACTTCTTCAACACTGTCACCTTCTCGTACACAGCCGCTTTCTGGGATTTCGACCAATGGTCTCTGGAATTGGATTGGCTCGCTCTGCGCGGCGTCAATCTGCCTCTGGCATGGGTCGGCTACGAATACATCCTCACCCAGGTGTTCCAGGAGGCAGGACTCAGCGACGCAGACATCGCCTCTTTCCTCTCCGGGTCCGCATTCCAGGCGTGGAACCGTTTCGGTAACATACAAGGCAGCTGGGGCGGCGATTTGCCGACACAGTGGATCGACGACCAGTATGCCCTGCAGCAGCAGATCGTGCAGCGGATGTACGAGCTCGGGATGACCCCGGTGTTGCCAGCATTCACTGGTTTCGTTCCCCGTGCTATGGCTCAGGTCTATCCAAACGCGTCGATCGTGAACGGAAGCCAGTGGGACGGATTCCCATCCACACTCACAGACGTGTCCTTCCTCGAGCCATTCGACCCTCTCTTCACGACGCTCCAGAAATCATTCATTTCAAAGCAGCAGGCGGCATACGGCTCGAACCTGACGCACATCTACACCCTCGACCAGTACAACGAGAACAACCCGTACAGCGGCGATACTGGCTACCTCACCAACATATCCACGAACACCTTCGCCGCGCTGCGCGCCGCGGACCCCGAGGCGGTCTGGATGATGCAGGGCTGGCTCTTCTACGCGAGCGAGTCCTTCTGGACGTCCGACCGCATCTCTGCGTACCTCGGCGGCGTGCCCGGTAATGACAGCATGATCGTGCTCGACCTGTACTCCGAGGCGCAGCCGCAGTGGCAGCGCACGGACTCGTACTATGGCAAGCAGTGGGTCTGGTGCGAGCTGCACGACTATGGCGGGAACATGGGCATAGAGGGCAACCTCCCCGAGCTTGTCACTGGCCCGCTCGAGGCGCTTGCTGCGTCGCCGAATATGAAGGGCATGGGCCTGACTATGGAAGGTCAGGAGGGGAACGAGATCGTATATGACATCCTGCTCGACCAGGCATGGTCGTCCACCTCCATCAACATCACTTCGTACACGGAGAAGTGGGTCGCCCGCCGGTACTACGTCGATTCCCTCCCTTCCGCTGCACAGGAAGCATGGAGGATCCTCAGTACGACCGTCTACAGCAACACCAACTCGGACACCCAAGCGACGATCAAGAGCATATTCGAGTTGGCCCCCGCCATCTCTGGACTGACAGACCGCACGGGCCACCACTGCACTGAAATACCCTATGATACCAATACCACCATCGTCCCCGCGCTGCAATATCTAGTCGAAGCAGCAACACAGAATGCCGCTCTCTTAGATGTACCCGAATTCACATACGACATCGTGAACGTCGCAAGGCAGCTCCTCGCGAACAGGTTCATTGACGTATACAATTCGTTCATATCCGCGTATGAGACGTCCGACGCGACCGCTGCCTCCATCAATGAAGCAGGCGCGCCGCTCCTCGCCCTCCTCTCTGACATCGACACGCTACTCTGGACGAACGACAATTATCTTCTCGCCAACTGGATCTCGGACGCGCGCAGCTTAGCAGGGAGCAATACCACCTATGCCGACTACCTCGAATACAACGCGCGCAATCAAATCACTCTTTGGGGCCCCGACGGCGAAATCGACGACTACGCGTCGAAGCAGTGGGCGGGGCTCGTCGGCACGTACTACTTAGACAGGTGGCAGACGTTTGTCTGGTACCTCGCGAACATCACGCAGAATGGGACGAGCTACGATAGCACGGCCTTGTCGGATGAGCTTCTGGCAATTGGTGAGGCCTGGGACAGTCAGATTTGGGGCCAGAGCTCGGGAGAAGGGTGGAATGTCACTGGAGATGCTATGAGCGTAATCGCGGACGTGATACAGAAGTGGGTGTGATCATGCTATGGACATGATATGGACATGCAGTATCGCAGAGACATTCTGTCATATAGCTGCAATATACCCCATCCCGGTCAACAGCAGCATGAGTGATACGTTTGCTGCCCCAGAGCTGACGACGTCGAAAAAATACGCATACATCAGGTCTTTTTACGACCTTTGCGACCATCCTTGCCTCCAGCACGTAAGGACTTCATGAGCAGAGCCTTTTCACGATTCTTGTTCTTCACGTTTGCCATTGAGTAGAAGTTCGTTGACTTGCGCTGTAATTTGCGAAATCATAAGGTGAACATACAATGACACACAACAATTGTATGTGTTCCTTACCTTGTTCGTTTTCATGCGAGTCTCCTTCTTGAGTTGCTGTTCCGACTCGGACTCGGCGTCCGCAACATCCTCCGCCTCTTTTTCACTTTGTTCTGATGTAGAGGCATCCTCCTCTTCATCGTCGCCCAGTTTGCTGAAGAGAGTCGTAATCTCGCCTTCGGGAGCATCGCCCTTGAACACGTCGTTCCAGCTCAACTTCTCCTCTTCCTCTTCTCCTTCAACTGCATCATCCACGCTCTGCTCCGCATCCTCGTCTCCAACCTCATCGTGGTCCTCCTCCTCCAATGGCCGCACATCCTCCCCGACAAACGTATTCTTCTGCATGATCGATCCCAAGTTCTGCTTCACGCCTACAGGTCGCTGCTCCCCGTGCCCCTCCTTCGCCTTGCCCTTCCCCTTCGCGTCCGCTGCGCCCATTTTCTCAGCCCTCTTCCGTGCCTTCTCCTCCTTCTCGTTCAGCTCCTCCGGCCGCTCCGGCGGAGGGACGAAGAACGGTATCCGCCCGCGCACCCAATCGCTCAGCAGGATCTTCGCCACCGCCTCCATGTCCGGCTCTCCTTTCTTCAACAGTCGGCCCTTCATCCGCGCCAACTTGTCCATGAATGCCTCGGGTGCCCAACCCTTCGAGGGGTCCGACGGATCGGGGAGCGACACGCCGTACGTTCGAGAGAGGTAGATCGGCTTGACACGTTCCATGAGAACGGGTATGTGCTCGGACGGCGTAGCGAGTGCCTCGACGCGGACGACGCCCTTTAGTACGATGGAGGTTTGCGAGTCTTTGGCGGAGGTCGGGACGATACCGGGACAGTCGATGAGGTATATGCGTTTGGTCAGCGTGATATATTGCCAGACCTATAGAGAAGAATAAGTGGGCGGGTGAGACATGCTGACGATCGTACGAGTTGTTACGTACCTTTGTCTCGCCGGGAACAGGTGCGACGGTGCAGACCTTTCCGCTTTTTAGCGTGTTGATAACGCTGCTCTTGCCCACATTCGGGTATCCAACGAAGCCCACGGATATCTGCTTCTTGTCAGAGTGCAATTGCGAGAATTGGCGCAGAAGCTGAATGAGAGATCCCTTGCCGAAGGAATGGTTGGGCGAAGCATGGAATGCAAGGGTAGGGTATCGTGGGGTCAGATATTGTATGTATCGAGCCTACAACGATATTATTAGATGTTGCTGTAAAGGACTAGTAGGCAAACACTCTCACAGTCACCCAATTCGGCACAAGATCACATTTGTTGATGACCAGCACGACCTGCTTGTGCGCCTTCTCCTTCCTGATGTACTCCAGAACAGACTCACACAGTGTCCCCATCGGGTCCCGAGCATCAAGTATGTGCAAAATCACGTCCGAGGAGTCAATAACCTTGTAGAGCTCGCCATATATGCGGCGTGAAGTACCCTTGGCGTAGATTGGCTCAATCACATCGGCATGTGTTTGGAAGTCAGCAGATGCTGATGTCGATGCGCCAGGTTCTGCGAATGCATGGCATAAAGAGCGTAAATTTGGATGGAATTTGAAGAAAAGCAGGATATCGAACCTGCCGATTCCTCGACTGCATCACCAGCTGCCTCTGCCTTCTCTGCCGCAGCCGCACCGAGCTTGCTTAACTCTTCGAAGGTGCCCACGTCAATCCTCGCCTTCTTGCGCTGTGCTTTAGGCCCGAATGTGTCTTTGAAAGGTTCCGTCTCGACGATATGTGAGCGCTACCAACGATTCTGCAATATTAACTTTTGTCGAAACCGTACGGAGACCTGCGCTCACCTTGCGCAGGTTCGGGTTAGCGACATCATCGAGCAAGGCCATTGGCAGCTTGTTTCGACGTAGCAGTACAGAGTACGGATCATGCTGCTTGTTCGCGAGACTTGTGCGGAAGTGGTCCAGTGCAGTCTGCGAGATAACCCTGGTATTCCCTGGTGAACATTGAGCATGCCTCGATTGCTTGCAGCAGTGTCTCTTCACGCACCGAACCACCTGCGGTCAGGTTGCACTCTCCCAGGCTTCGTCTCGTCCTCTCCCTTCTGAAACGCAGCCGCCTGGATGATCTTGCCGTCCCTGTCCCGCACGGGCTTCCCGCCGTTCAACATCTTCAGGCGGGCGGCGGCCTTTGCATCGCGGTAGAAGTTCTCGCCCTTAACCCTCTTCAAGGTCGGTTGGGAAGACGACTTCGTCTTTCCAGACGTTGCCGTCTTTTTGGTAGGTGCCATGGTGGGTTAGTGGAATGCGAGGCGCGGGAGTCGCTTGCGCGCAAAAAGTCGTGAGCGACCTTGCCAGATCGGTACGCGGCCAGGTCGGGCCGGTTCACCTTTGAAGTTTTGAAGTCTCACTCGGGCCATCTCAGCAGGGCTCTCAGCCGCTGTCACTCAACTCGCTCGCGGCTTTCTTCGTCAGTTGGGTTAGGCCGCCATTCTCGGAAACTTCAATATTTGGTTGTTTGACTACATCATACGAGTTACACGTTCGAGAGACGAACCCTGCTGGTACTTGGCCGCGTCAAGCGCGAATCAAGGCTCCAGGCTGAGTTAAATGGTGATACAACGCAAATTGCAACGATTCTTGGAGCGGTGGTAGCATGCTTCTTGTACAGATACAGAGTTTGACATAAAGCAATCTGTCATGCAGGCACTTTTTGCCCATACTCACTGCAAGCCGCCAGTACCTTCCCTCCTGCCCACCCGCACATCGGGATGGTAGTCGGGGATACCCAGCCCAGGAAGAGAATGCCCACGGCGGTCTGTCTGAATTATCTTCTGCGAGAATACCACCGCTTCAATGGATGGTAAGTCCGAAAAGTCAGCACGAGACCCGTCGGGCTGTCGAGGACAGTGTAACATCAGTCTGATGCAGTTATACAGAAGCAACATGCGCCCCAACCTTTTCACCCTCAATGCGCAGCAAGAGACCGCGATTGACGACTGGCTTCACGCTTTCCGGATCGAGGGACATGTGCTTGGAATATTTCGGGACAAGCTTGTCTTTCAAAATGCACGAATGTTCTAATCTCGAATACCAGGTTTTCGCGATAGTTTGCGAAATGCTCCGTGTGGAAGTTGTGAACGCGCCGACGAATGTATCCCGGCATACACAACAACGGAGTAGCTCGCCCAATTCGTACTTCTTGAATTTGAGACGGACTGTCCAACTATATGTCACTAAGCAGACGCTAGATGATGGCACATCGGGTCCATAGAGTTCGAATATTTTCTTGCGGATGATGTCAGGGATGACAAGCGGATTCTCGTCCTCCAATCCGTCGAACTCGGGATACGAGTACAACAGGCGCTTCCAATCACGGCAGTTACCAGAGTTTCAATAGGCGCTGTCAGTGATGGATCAAAGGGTGTTAAATCTGTAATGTGAAACGTGAAGATTAGCGAAGGCAGCTCAAGACAATGGCGAGACATAGCTCGATACCTGACTTCTCATCGACCATCGCGTCATTCTTGATGGTGTGATGCACCACGAGGTTGAGAACATTACGGCGCACTGTGAAGGGAAACTGCAATTTGTAAATGAAGGCTATGTGGCTCGAGCAACACCATCCTTGCAAGCGGACTGACTCCACGCCCTAGCGAGAAGCTCTCATTGAGTCCGCAGTGCGTCCAGCAGATGAGTATCCTAGCTTCTTCGACATCTCAATAAGTATAGAAGCAGGTCACGAAGATCAAGTTGTCATGTTCAGATGAAACAGCGTAATTTGACGTGTGACTGCGGAAAGACCTATAGGGTTTGACGTGGACGCTGCGCTTTGTACATTTCGACGCGAGAGTCTAGTGAATACATGCTCAATAACAATGAAAGACTCACAAAGATAGTTGCACTGAAGATTGCCAGTCCAGGAATCTGTGAACATTAAATCGAGTTCAAATCGATCCAGCGACCGAATAACATCACAGTAAAGTCAACATAAGATTTTGTCTGCTAGTATAGAACCTAGGAGGCACATGCGCTAACGGCAAGTGCCCTGACTGCATCAGTGATTCCTCTAAAATGAGATTGCCGGATAGCGAACTCATATCACGTTGACGCACTCGTGCTATTTGGCCGTTGTGGAAGGCGCACTTTATTCGTAATGATATGGGAGGTGTTGGTACACCACCTCACACGCGGTGACCATCCATGAGGAAACGTGGGATAAGAAATGCCCTTGTGACCCCTAAACGGCGACCGCAATACAACTTGACTACAAAATGCCGCGTCGTTGGGACAATATTCATAATGATCGTTCGATCAGAGTCAGACATGAGGCTGGTCAACCGCAGCGACGCCTGGTGGGAAGATTAGAGCAGCAGGACCATATTTAACCTCGGCTTACCTAGTGAGGCTCCTCAGGACAAGGTAATACTTATATAATGATTACCGGAGAGGCAGAGAATGCACGCTCAGCTCGCAGAGCTCAAATGCCCAGTCGCACAAAGATCACGTTCTCTGCGGATCGTCAGATCGGCCCTGATTCATGATTCCTTGATCACGGCAGCCGGAACTCTAGAGTACTTCTTTTCTGATACCGAAGCGTCAGGGCGACTATGGCAGGATTCGCGTAGTCATGGACACAATTGCTTGAGTTTTTGAAGGAACCATCATGGGTCACTGCTCACCAGGAATGGAATCAGAAAGACTGATCAATGACAAGAAACTGAATTGCGATGTTCTAGAGGCGAACCCATGCCATATCCTCGTGCAGCCTAAGCTCAAATATGCTCTATTGAATACGGTTGTTTTTGGAAGGGGGGAGAGATGACGAGCGTACCGGAAGAATCCACCATGCTCACTGCGCAAGGGCTTTGTGTAGGGTCGAATGTGAATGTGTGCCGATGTCAGCGACCGCTGCTAATGCATCGGGGTACGTCAAGTAGAAAGCGGACAGAGGGGACACCGAGTTGCAGCACCGAGGTTAGGCGCCCAGGAACTAGGTACATCCTGGTACATCCGACAGATAACTTACAGTGCAAGTTGGTCGCAAACAACGTAGAACTGTTTGATATAACAAGGCAATTGGGAACCGCTGGCCACTCTACCCAATACTTCGGTTAATTTTTCTGTTTCTTTCCTCGAGTTCCGGCCCTCCAATCACGACACTGCAAGGCACATTTGAAGCGGAGGAGACTTCGATCAGACCCAGACGCCTTCGATGCGATATGCTGAACCCGGGTAGCTTCTGGGCTCGCGTACCACGCCAGTAGAACGTACGAAGCATACGTTACTGGCAGGGTCGCAACATCGTCCGAGCCAGTCATGAGCCTCAGGCATCGCAACAGTTTCGGTATCCTCATTCAGTGCAGATCGAGACGAACGAGAACGCCCCAGAGTTGAGAGAAGAGAAGGACACGCGCTGCACGGCTGGAGCATCGATGGCGTACGAGTGCCGCAGAGTTCCCTCACGGACCACGTGCGAGGTCCCGTAGTATAAAGCCCCAGCGCTGCATCCTGACGCGCCAGTTCTCTCCTCACCCCATCGCACACACATCGCCATGTCCATCACGAAAGTCCACGCCCGCCAGGTACGTGCACATACTCTCTACAGCGGCGCAGCATCTGATCGTCGTGCAGATCTTCGACTCTCGCGGAAACCCCACCGTAGAGGTCGACCTCTACACTGCGAAAGGTCAGTGGGAGCTTTTACTCTACGTACAAGCACATGTAGTATCAAGAAATTACTGAGGATTTACGCGGTGTACTCGTAGGACTCTTCCGCGCGTCGGTGCCGTCTGGCGCGTCCACTGGTATTCACGAGGCTGTCGAGCTCCGTGACGGCGATAAGGCAAACTATGTCGGAAAAGGTACGCGTCGCGTCGTCCCCCAAACTCTCTCGCACCTTCACGCACTCCTTAGGTGTCCTGAAGGCTGTCGCCAACGTGAATGACACCATCGCGCCGGAGCTCATCAAGTCCGGCCTCACGGTCACCGCGCAGAAGGAGATCGACGACTTCCTGATCAAGCTCGACGGCACGCCCAACAAGGGCAAGCTCGGCGCGAACGCGATCCTCGGTGTCAGCATCGCCGTCGCGATGGCGGGTGCGGCCGAGAAGGGTGTCCCCCTCTACCAGCACCTCGCAGATCTCGCGGGTGTCAAGCCGCCCTTCGTCCTCCCGTGCCCCGCGTTCAACGTTATCAACGGTGGCTCGCACGCGGGCAACAAGCTCGCGTTCCAGGAGTTCATGCTCCTTCCCACTGGCGCGCATTCCTTCACGGAGGCGATGAAGTTGGGTACCGAGACGTACCACACGCTTAAGAAGGTCATTAGCGCGAAGTATGGTATTGATGGTGGGTATATGCGCCTTGTCTACTGCGAGAAACTATGAAGAACCTCACGACGGACGTGAAACAGCTGTGAACGTCGGTGATGAAGGTGGATTCGCTCCGAACGTCTCTGGCGCAGAGGAGTCGCTCGAGCTGCTCACGGAGGCGATCAAGAAAGCGGGCTATGAAGGCAAGATCAAGATCGCGCTCGATGTCGCCTCGTCCGAGTTCTACAAGGACGGCAAGTACGACCTGGACTTCAAGAATGCCAACTCGGACCCGACTAAGTGGATCTCCAGCGTCGAGCTCGCAGATCTCTACCTGAGCTACGTGAAGAAGTACCCGATTGTCTCGATCGAGGATCCCTTCGACCAGGACGACTGGGAGGCGTGGACCCACTTCACGAAGAACAGCGGCATCCAGATCGTCGGCGATGACTTGACAGTCACGAACCCTCTGCGCATCAAGACTGCAATTGAGAAGAAGGCGTGCAACGGTCTCCTGCTCAAGGTCAACCAGATCGGTACCATCTCTGAGTCTATCCAGGCGTAAGTATAAGACGACATCGCAAAAAGAGGAGAGCATGCTCACCCATCGTTCTTATCCAGCGCTCAGCTCGCGCAGTCCGATGGCTGGGGTGTAATGGTCTCGCACCGCAGCGGTGAGACGGAGAACACGTTCATCGCCGATCTCGTTGTCGCCCTCGGTGTTGGCCAAATCAAGACCGGTGCACCTGCACGCAGCGAGCGTGTTGCGAAGTACAACGCGCTGCTCCGCATTGAGTATGACATTATCTCGGTCAATATGGATGGCTGTACTGACCATCTATGCTTCACAGGGAGGAGCTTGGCAACGGCGTCTACGCGGGCGCGAAGGGTCTCGCTGCCGGACACACGCCCCCGGCTCTGCTCAAGTAAAAATGCGCGCGAGTCAGGAAGTTGTAAGAGGGTGTAAGTTGAAGAAGTGCTGCGCTCAATCATAGACTGTACTCTGCTGTCATTTGAAGGGAAAGAAACGCAATGAAAACGATACCTGACAGAGCACAGTTGTGTTGAGATGTTGGATCGATGGCGTACAATTGAGTTGAGACAACAAGAACAGTCATAGACAGTCATGAATCGCTTCTTTGGCCAATCACTGAGTCAATATGACTAGATAGATGCATATAATGAATCAATCGAACAGTTACATTCATTTGAACCGAAGCGAAGGTGATTCCGAGTGAGTCGGACCGGGATGTGCCGGGACGCGTCGGGCGCCTCTGCTATGTGTCGACGCGACGCGTTTTGTCGCGTCACCACAGACGGCCCGATTGGGGTGACCGACGCGGAGGCAGCTCTGCCAGAAAGACACATGATACCCGGCCAGTCGCTATCTCCCGTTCCCACCCAGCGGTCCCGCACACAAGACGCACAATAGGTCGCTTCCGCCTCTTCTCCTCGTACCACCACCATCTCTGCACCGCCCCGCAGCGCATCAATATATCAACCAGTGCACCCCCGCCCACCTCGCATTCCACACCCTCACCCTCACGTAGACTTACATCCATCCCGACTTATCAACCATGCCCGCCCTCCTTCTCGCCGCTGGTCGTACTCTCAACCGTGCCACCTCACCGCAGCACACCGCATCCGTCGAGCGGTCCAAGCGTGATTCCGAGCTTGCGCAGCCCACGGCTCAGGGCCCAGCTCTGAAGGACAGACGTGCATACGAGCACGAACGGCAGCGCGCGAAGAAGACGGTGGAGGTCGAGCGCGCCCGCGAGCGCAAACAACGCAAGAGCGTACAGCGCCTGGCAAGCGACGGCGCGTGTCTGGTGTGCCGCACGGCCCACACACGTCGTTCCGGGGTGAAAGGCGGCGTGTGGGGCGTGTCGGAGGTAGAGGGGCAGGAGAACGCCCCACTGGAGCCGCGGGATGAGCAGAGCGGCTCCCTCGATATCGACGATGGTGTTATCGCGCATGTCCGCGGAGTGCGGGAGGTGGACCTCGCCTCCCTGATCAAGCCCGCGAAGACCCGGAAACCGAAAGGTATGATAAGCCTGTCCACGATCGTCGCCCCCGGAAGCGACAGTGCTGACTCGGACGTGATTCGCAGCCGAGGACTACGAAGTCATCCCGAACGTGCGTCCCGTGATTGCGCTCGACGACCGAGCATCAGCCGTGCCCGAAGTAGACGAGCCTTGGGAGCACATTTCCGCTGAAGATGAGGATGGCGCTCCGGCTGGTCCGTCTGGTCCGTCCTACGCACAGATCGTCGCAAACATGACGTAGATTGCTTGTGTCGAGCATCCTGATGCATAATCAGCGAGGACAGGGAGTAACAAGAATACTATGTATGTGTATAATTGTTGGACTAGAGCCTGAGAAGGGAGATTGCAGTAGAATTGTTCTGAAGATATATCAGCAGTAACGACGTTACGATTTGTACTCACGAATACCCATATGCTACCACCCGTCTATGCAACACGCATACCTATTTCGTAACTGCAATCTATGCTGTATCATTCGCTAGGTTGGAATACAGGCTTGTCAGTAGCCACTTATGCTTAAACCCACCGATACCGGCCCGAGAGAGAGTTGTCGACTGCAGCACAACGCAACCAACGAGGTATCATAATATCTTTTATAGATCGTACAGTGCGTTCCATGCTACATGTGTCGTTCAGGGATTGATCAGAAGAAGCCTGTGCGCAGGGTGGGGTGAAAGATCGGGAAAGGATGTGCCTGGCAGAGAAGACAAGCTGATGAGGAACAACATCAGAAAGACGCACTCGACGTACCTCCGTATTGAACACATAATCTGACCATGGCGGACGATCAGCAATATGATACGCAAGCGTTGAAAGCGAATACATACCGGATAGTGGCAAGATGGTGTCGTCCGAGAAGAGCAGATATAGATACTTTAGTGTCTCACTCTATCAAATCACCGCCAAGTCAGCTACCAACTCTCGCCATACAATCATACCAAAGCTAAGCCCCTTACCATCAAGAAGGTCTCCATTTTATCTTCCAACTGGACAGGCACCTCGTCCACATTCAGCACGCTCGCGTACCCACCCGATTCGACCTTGCAGTACTTCTCAATCGCTTGGAAGATGTTCCAGCCCCATTCGCGGTACTGCGGGTGGCCCGTGAGACGGTAAGCGATGAAGAGCGACTCAACGGTTTCCGGGCTACAAATATGCGGTGTTCAGTGTGGTCGTATGAGTGAGAAGGAACAAAGAACTACCGGAGGATATAGCGGGCATCGTAAGGAGTGTGCCCCGGCCTACAATTGGTATTCAGGAAGATCCTTCGGGCAGCCAGAGAGTAGTCATCATCATTTACCTTGCCCCTTTGATATACCAATCATGCTTGCTCTCGATACCGTCTCCGGGTACCCTGAAATGCACAATCTCCGGCGACAGGCCTCTGCATAAACGATCGGGCTCAAGGCAAAGTCATAAACGATCACGCAGCACAATCACTCACGTAGCCGTCTCATGCGTCGCCATGCAAGTCTTGATAAGCTCAATGCCAGATAGCCAGTCCCGCTTGCCCTGCGCAGTGAGCTCCTCCGTGCGCGGCGGGATCGACACCGGCTGCGTCGTTGCGCCCGTGACAGTTGCCCCCAGCATCAACGAGCCACCGAAGAAACACACGAGGTGGTCCTGCTTCGGCACCATGCGCCATGTACTGTGAAGGCCGCGTCAGCAGATGAGTCGGTAGACGGGCGTAGATGCATACATTCTACCTTCGCGGTCGCGCTCGGGAAGAATCTCTGCTGTGTAAGTCAGTCCCTCCCTCTCGCTTTTTCTCATCAGGTGCGTGTGCACTGCAAGCATCGCGTCATCGTACATCTGATCGAGCGTCATGACTATGAGATACTTTCATCATTGATGAATTGAGCTAACCTGGCGGTATACCAGCTCTGTGCTGCCCTAAATAGTAATTAATTCGACATCTCGGCCTGTGACGTGAAGTGGCATACCGTTTGAATGTACTGCTTTCTGTTGTGAGGCAATAAGCATCGCGACATCCAGTCGGACAGCGAAGAGCTTTTCTTACAGCAAATATTCATAGTATGAATCTCCCCTTGAACCAAGGCGAATAGGTCCTATGGCGAACTTCCCATCATTTGGACTCAGAATGGGCAGCATGAGATGCCATGGACAACATATCAAGCGGTGCAATAACTCACTTCACGAAAATTGATGCCAAACCGGTGGCGATACGCGCATTCTTCAAGACTTCCATCACCTGTCCACCCACCACGTTAGCAAACAGCAGCAATTATGCAACGGCCATGCCATACCTTCTCCACCTTTTTCCAATATTCCGATTCATCGGTCAAGTAGCTGAGATACTTGAACTCTAATTGCAGCGTAGACACCTCAGCAGTGCTGACCAGTCCTCTATTATCCTTATCCGGGACGCCTTTCCGATGCGCCAGATTCACCATAGAATGAGGGAGACCAGTCGGCGTACTGAAGACCGGCGTGATACGGTCAGCAAGATCAGTAGCGCGCTCGAGGTACATCGTGTCACCCGTAAGGTGATATGCCGAGAGCAGGCCTCCAAGCACGCGGATAGTTGTCTAGGTGGCTTCAGACAAGGGAACGGTGGATAAGGCGATCAGTGGATGTGCCCACCTCGAACGTGTTGAAGCTGCCATCTCGCTCGAACGACAAATCCTCCGCCACCCATTGCCGCGCTCGGGCGTACTCGTCGTCGAGGCCCATGATGAGCATCGTGTCAATCGAATCAACAACGGTATAGCCGATGCCACCCGCTTCAGTGAGGTTGGTCCCGGACTTGCCGATGGGATGGTACTCATCGTCGCCCATAGCATCCCTCTCTGGTTGTCTCAATCAGGCTCATCCGTAATGTAGGCACTGCTGCATACCGTACGCCGACCACGCATGCTTATTGTTGCAAAGTGTCAACAGTGAACATTGGACACGCATATAGGCGCCTTACCTTGAAAGCCGCGAGTATCGCATCTCGCTTCGGTACGTCGGCGGTAAATTTGACCTCCCTCCTGCTCTCCTCGTCAAAATCCCACGCAGCCTGTTGCTTGCGCCATCGGAAGAACGACCTGTAGTCGTAATTCTGTCCCAAATCCTCCAGTCAGTGGGCATGGGAACCTGGACATTCCCGACGCACTTTGTATAGCCAAATACCGGCCGTGAGCAGTATCACCAAGAACACCGTCTTCAGCATAGCAGCATCGCTACTTGTTTGTGCGGTAGCATTCTTCCGCACTGGTGAATGAGAGTGCGAACCAGTGAGAATGTGTAGCTCACTGTGGCCTGGGCCTCATCGCCGGCGGGCTTAAATGTCTTTCTGAATTTTCGCTTGCGTACACCCGGTTCAGCCATATTGGTGTCGCAGCCGGCGAGGAACACGTGTCGCGTGTCGGTATCAAGTAGAGTCGCAAGATCTCCAAGGCGAGACGCGTCTGAGCGGCGAACACGGAGGCTGTCCGAGTTGCAATAGTCCCACGCGCTTCCGTCGGGCTGCCGACGCGAGATGTTGAGCTGTGTCGTAGGTGTAGGCTGTAGGTTTTACGGAAGCTGTGGCTTGAGGTTACGCCGGGTCGGTCGGGGACTGCGCAGCTGCCGCAGCACTTGACACCAGCGGTTGGAGACGCGGTAACGTACACAGCAACCGTGGATGGCAGCGATATGGAAAAATACTAGCACTGCGAGGAGACAATCGGCGTAATTGACGAGGTTACTGCATACTTTACAAGCGTACGCTAATAGTTGATCGGGTGGGGGTCGGAGGAAAAGACGCCGCCGCCTAATGCGGATAATCTGATCGGTTGATCTGAGCCTGTACAGCGGGCTTGAAGGGTTCTTCAACGGACCTTTACGGCACGCAAAGCAAGAGTTGTACAAGATAATATCGTTGACTGAGAGAGCAATATATACAGAGCACGACAAACAGTTATTGGGATCGCTAGCAGAGCGTCTGCGAGAACGAGATAGCAAAGTAAATCATATCGCAAGGCTATAGCAAAGGAACGAGGCTTCAAATGTGCCATACAGACGTTGAAGATGATAAAGGCTGAGTTCCGAAAGAGTGATGTCCAGCCGCGATAGACATCGCAAAAGACGTGATCGATGCCAGGCTTGTAGATGATACCATCGTGGTATCCCTGCTGCTTGTGGCACCTCCATTTGCCACAGCACCTCCGGACGTTGAGCCACCACCACTTGCCGGACCATCCGCGCTCATCGTGGCGTCACCGTCAGCAGCGTCATCTCCATCCGACTCATCATCTTCTGCCGGCTTGGGCATGTACAGATCCCACTGTATAGGGAAGCTGAACGGAATACCGGACGCAGCCTGCTCGAGGAGATTCTTGAACGCTTCCTTGTATTTTTCCAGTTCTGCAAGCGTCTCGGGGTCCGCGTCGCGTGGGCGATACTGAGGCATCAGCTCGCCCTCGAACTTCTCCGTGCAATCAAAGAACGCTTGGTAATGCTTATGTTTCCGCTCGTGTTGCAAGAGGTTGTCCCGTCGTTTGAACGACTTATCGCAGAATGGCAGTGCACACATGTATTCTGTAGCACATTTCAAAATGTGAACGTGTATACCGGACAGAAACCCACACTCACTCTCTTCATGGGTATGGAGAGACTCAATGTGACGTTTCAGATGTGCATGTCGACCGAACGTCTTACGACAACCCTCCACTTTGCAGGTATACGTAGCGCCTTTCCTCGTCGGATCTTTGCCCGTAGGAGGAAGGCGCCCTCGCCCCTTCTTGCTCACCCCAGGAACGGGAAAAACACGCCCACGGAACGATTGTGGGCCAGGATGGTGTTCGTGCATGACCTCCATTAGCTGGCCATTCACCATCATGTGCCTACGCCCATCGACCATAATGAGCAGACCCGCAGCTTCCAGAGGATCCTTGGGCTTTGGAGGAGGTTTTGGGGTGTATGCCACAGGTGGAAGAGATTGTGGCTCAATGGGCTCGCGATCGGCGAGAGGAGCCTCCCATGACAGATTAGGCATAAAACGCCGCGCTAGTGGACGATTGAGATAGAATGAAAGGGGTTTGCAAGACTCAGGCATGACTGGCGTCTCGTCCTATGACGAACAGTCCAAGCAGGGCTAAGACATCAGGCAAACTAGATCTCATACAGAAACGCACCCATGTCTTTACATATTTCCATCCGTCCGGGTGCGGAGGATCACAGTACATCCTGTTTTGATGGGTTCACAAAATTGAAGGATGTTCTAATTATGGGTTATCTGCATTTGTGGCCTAGATCGGACTCTCAGTGGAGCAGGCGAGGGAGTATCGAACGCACCTGATAATGATCATTGCCTCCGGCGCTCTCAATGATTGATGAAGTTACGAGGACGCATAAAGCGTCCCGACATGAAGTCAGATAGGTCGTACGTTGCAGCTGGCGAAGCTTGCGAACACACCAGTGATGATGACTGCATGAAACGGACTGGAACGAACGCTCATCGACATCAGCCATCAGCAGCCACAGAGAATCACGTGGATGCCACGTGCAATGTATAGAGATCGTTGATCCTGATTGCCCCTCTAACCGAAAGCGCCCGTCATTGTGGCCGGGTGGCTACGATCCTTACCGGCACTTCCATTTCCGGTGAGGATTTTTATCTTCCTGATCGACGCACGACTGGGGAGGCGTTGCTGAGGCACATTGTGGACCCTTGGACAAATTTTAACGGTCAGCTATTTTTCCGAGTCTCCGTATACGTCACGCTAGACCTTGTCGCAGACACACAGCCGCTCCAGCCAAGGCAAGACTTTTCAAAATGTCTTTGACAGGACGGTGAGTCGACTCCGCATCCACACTCTCATCCCTGTGTGGTATCTAAATTGAGTCTGTTTCACCGACCTATAGGAGAGTGGTGTCTCAGCTCAGACACCAGTTCTGTCAAGAAATCCATCCACGCACTCGATCAAGTTCCAGACTCCCTCGAGCTCCACGGATAGCCATCGGTCCTAACCAATTGAAGCCATTGGACTGTTCCCTCTCGATCGTCGCACGTCCAATGGCGATTGAAACGCATTTTCGTCGTTTGCATCAATGTTGGGACAGGTGAACCACCCAACCTACCGTTCTAGACTTGCACTCCTCCGTTACTATGTGCCTATGCCGCTCGGCAGTGGAGTCCGCCATGTTTCAGGATGGAAATCCCGCAGCCCATCGTCCTCCCGCCCAGGCTAGGCATGAGTCGGCGGGGAGAATGGCGACGACCGATCCGGTGCTATCGGATGCGTACAATTGTCCTATTATTCCTAGCAGACGTCAATTGCGGTCCAGAGTGTTCAGCTTGCTCCGGAGGCGGTGCAACGCCTAAATTCCCTTCCGGCGGGCGGGCCACGGGCGGGATCGGACAAGGCCAATACGGTATTGTGGTTCTGACCGGAGCTTAGAAATGATTGTAGAGCTACGGCGTGTGCTGATTGGCCGCTCGCTTAGATTTCTTCGAACATCCTCTGCACAAAAAAATCGCAAGCGGCCACTGCAGTGAGTCAAAAAAAGAAAATCCTGCGTCACCTGACTCTTTAGTATTCCGGAAAAAAATGCATTTCAGGAGCGCAGCCTTGAAATGCTCACCGTGGATCCCTTGTATCAGTATTACAGCAGTACCCAGGCGGGCTATGCGCAGAGTCTTCCACACGGTGACGGCTCGCCGACTCTCCCGCGCAGCCTGATCTGCAACTTCGAACAATGGGCACTCGCTCGACGCCTTCCTGCCTCAGCGCCTTCCGATGTATTCGCCTGGGAGCCTCTGCCGTCTTTGTCTTGCTTCTCTACAATGGCCGCACCTGGCTTCTAGCAACTTCCTCCGAGGCAGCCATCCACTCGCTCCGTCGCCGTTTCTTATCGCGCTGCGGCACTCACGCTATCGGACCTATGTGCTTCTGCTCCACAGCCCAGAGTTCTGTACCCCGCGTCCGCTTAATTTTGCAAAACACATCGCGCACCTTTCGCTCGTCCGATACAGCTGCCACAGTCAACACGCATACGCTTATGGACACATATCAAATGCGGGGAGTCCCTCGTGAAGTACAGCGACGGACATTTCGGAGCGCCACCAGCAGATAGCGTACCAAGTCATCGGTTCCCCTTTCAATTGCATCGACTTCGCTGCCAACCTTGGTCTGACATATTCTGACATAATTCCGAATGCAAGATCCCTACGGGCGGCCCGGCGGAACTAGGGCGCCTGGGACTGTCTCTCAGGCATCGAAGGTCCGGAAGACTGGACACTGGTCATACGGCTGTCCGAGTATGTTGCGCTCAGGTCCTGCTCGACAGCCCGCGTGCAATGCTCTCCGCGGGCTTCAGTGCATGGCACAAGTATAGTTACTCCGGTCTGTGGCTCAGTGCTCCACCGTGACCGATCTGCTGTGGCCCAGCGAGTCGAACGTGACTTTCTCGGCCGTTCGCCATGTCGATCATGTTGTTCCGGTCCCAGGCGCCCGAGAAGCTCGCTATCATTTGTGCTTCGTCGGGCCGTTAAGCCATCAACGAATCTTAAGCTTCGAGTTCTGCGCTTTCGCTCATCGTCGCTGGCCACTTGACCACCACCTGGCCCTCTAGCGCTCATATACCTTGATTTCGTCATGATGTCGCTTTGCCACTATCCAGAGCTCGACAGTTGGGGATTCGGAGTTGATTGATAGGCAAGTTCTGTCCGACGCGGAAGCTTTCGAATCGCTGGTCTGTCGTTGATTCTCCCACACTGACACGCTAGTAGCGAAGAGACGACACACTGACTAGGGCCGTGCCGCTTGTGCGGGCAATCCCGAAGCCGAAGGTCCGTGGTGACAGCAAATGCTTCTTGCGTTGATGACATCGTGGCATCACGATCGTGCTCGGTTACGTCTGTCAAAATGAGTCCCCGGGAAGCTTGATAGGCGATGGCACTGAGAAATTTGTACGTCTTTCCTTGTGAAAGTGCCAGTTAATGGCCGTTCCACCTTCTCACGGTGCCTGGCGAAGCTGTCCTTGAGAGAGTGCCGCGGTGTTCGTTCCTCTGTTCAAGTGATAGTTCACATGTGAATCAGGACTTGATCCGCGAGATTCATTAGGTGTGTCTCTTCATGCCGTTACAGTTCTCGTAAGTTTACCTATTCATGTACAGTGTTGATATTCTCCGTGACCCATTCAAAAGGCGAATTTCATTCAACGAGGGTCCGCTCGCGGAGCAGATATCGCGTACGTATGCGCATGCTGACCGCGTTGATTTTTTCAGGGCGCAGGGCATGTGGTCGAATAGCCGACAATTTGTGACCTGCCGCAGTGGGTTCTAGTGGGAATGAGAGCGTCCGCTGGCCGTGTTTGTACGTGAATAGTGCGTTATCAATGCGACAGGGAAGCAGCTCGTGTAGGATTGCTTGGAGGTTTCCTGTTATGCGGTCTCTTTTATGGTGCGTGAGTGCCAGCGGAGAGGGAGCTTGGAAAGGAAAGTGGGTGCCATGCCACGCGATTTGAAGGGGGATAGAGTGCGCTCTGTACGCGGTCATGCGGTCGATATACCGTTCTGGGACTCATGAGCATGGGTGCGCTGTCGGCGCACCGTTCAAATTTTCACCTAGCGCATCACGGGCCATCAACTTCTGCACTCTTCACTATCGACGCACAATGGCAGCATCTCCGTCACTGATGTTGGTGGATAAGAGCGAGTGTTTTGCGTGACACCCCGAAAGTTGTGGCAGACAAGGAAAGACGACAAATAGACTGGAGAGGAGATATCTGTGCCACTCCCAATGCGGCAGTTTTAGTCACGAACGAGTACGCAGATAGGAATGGGCGATCGAGAGTTGCTTCATGCCGAAAAGGGATTAGCCTAGTTACTGTATCAAGCGCAGGATCGGGGATTTTAACTTAGATCCAGATGAAGGGAAGGCCGCGAGCTGCGATGTCTGTATCTGGGAGAATCCCCCCAATTTTCTGCCGGATAGTACATCCATATCCGCGGCGATGCTACCACCGGCGTACCCGCTGCGCTACGGTGCTCTGAAGCTGTGTGGGAAGCTATCCGCCTGCAGTGGCACCACCGGCACCCAGCACACCTGAATTGGCAACCCACGGGCACAGCAACGCACTCTCGGCGGGCGATGACGAAGCTCGGAGCGAGAGTGTTCTTGCATTTCAACAAGGAACAACAGCTGGCTACAGATGAGCAGCAGATATATACAGGTGACGCACTCTCTGCATGAAGCCCCGGCACAAGGCCAAGTGCCCTGGGCGATGGTGCAGTGCCCTCCGCTGGTCGCCATCACAGGTTTCGCCTACACTAGTTATCGATCCTTTTATTGTCTCGACGACGGCCACGCTGAGTCACGACGCTTGTGCAGCGGCGGATCGGCTGAATATTACAATATGTCTGGAGCGGACGATATTGATTCGCCCACGCCGAGTCTGAGTCGCAGCGCACCAGCGAATGGCGCGTGGTCGATCACACCCGCGCCTCTACCCTTCTTTTGGGTTAAGCCTGGCCCACTGCAAAGGTCCGTACCTGTCCACATATTAAACCTGCCTCTCCGACGCCCCGGGCGGATGGTGGCCATCCGTACCCGTCCTCATATCCGCCTCCTCCAAGCCCCCCTCCGCTCATCCGTCTCTGTCTCTTACAGTTCCATGTCATATGCCGCTGCCTCCTTCATGGAGCCTACCATTCTCCTCCACGTCGCCAATAACCATTACCCCATCCCCCGCTATTCCAATTCAGCCCAGTACCAGCCCGTACTCTCCGCACAATCATCCTATCTACGATCGTCTGCACCACGGCCAATCCCGCCTCCCCACTCTCAGTCCTTTGGCTACCAGCCCTCTCTCGATTGCTCCTCGTCGTCTTATCCAGGATCATCTATGAACGTCGAGAGCCAACCCGAGACATCCTTCCATCACGCCATGGACACGGATTACAGCCCCACAGCACCTGCGAACGGCTACAGCGGCGAGTATAGCGGTGTGTCTCCAGCCTCGTGGCCGGCCACCGACAGGGCACCGCACCCGCAAGAGTCCAGCTCTTTTCCCACTGGCCCATTCGAAGCGTCAGCCCCCATGTCCCCCTCGACCTATGAAGAGGCCTTGACAGCCTGCAACCGGTATATCAAGCAGGAAGAGCCTGGTTTCACCGGCTTCAACGAGTTCTACTCCGCCTACTGGGGTGCTGGCCCCGATACCTCGCTCGCCTCCTATGATACCGTCCCTGGTCACTCCTCTGGCCCCGACGTCACGCACACTCCCCCCACCCCGTACGCAGCAGGCTCGTCTTCCTCTCTTGCCTACGCCTTCAGCCCACCGGTTCACCAGCAGCCATACATGCATGCAGCTCCTGACTCGCCCTCGTACATGCTCACGTCCTCGCCCGGTTTGCAGTACCCGCCAACGCCGGACGCGATACCACGCTTTGTGAACCCCGCGCATATATCACCCAACCTGTCTCCAGAGACCGGCTATGCACCGCTAGAGGACGATCCCAAGCCGCCACAGGCCCTCGACCCCAGCGTCACCGTCAACGCACCCCCGATGTTGCATGACGACATGAGGACGGCCTCCTACGGGAGCATCAACAGTGCGAGCACTCCGTCTGAGCTCGAGCAAGCGCTGGTTATGGACCCGAGCGTTCTCGTGGCGCAGGACAATAAGCGGCGGCGTCGAGTGAGTTTCACGAGCTCATCAGAGGACGACGCGGACCGGCTGTCGGAGAGCAGCGGGTCGGAAAAGGACGAAGTGATGGAGCAGGATGACGGAGCGGACGACGATAGCGACTTCATTCTCGAGTCCCCCTCTCATGGTCGCGGTCGGAGGAGAACAATCTCTTCCACTTCATCCTCGTCACATTCTGACCCTCGCCGTGTCCCCAATCCCATTCCCGTCCCCAACCTAACGAAGAAAAGCAGAGGCCGTCGTGTTCCCACCGCACCGGTCATCGTCGTCAGCGAGAACGGCGTGGAGAAGGTGCGTTCACCACGTTGGCCGCTTCCGAGACACGTCTAACGGTAGTCACCATCCTTCTTTTTTCGTAGAACACGAGGACGTACACATGCATGGTGGATGGTTGCGGCAAGTGCTTCGCGCGGGGCGAGCATCTTAAGCGACACGTACGGAGCATTCATACCAATGAGAAGCGTAAGTCTCATGTCTCGCTTCCGTTCTGCGTATTGCCGATTTACGTCTTCGTGCAGCGCACAAATGCCCATACCCCGGATGCGGCAAGGATTTCAGCAGGCACGACAACCTGGGTCAGCATATGCGGGTGCACAAGAACTGGTCTTCCAAGCAACGCCGCCTCACTGGCTCGGCATGAGCACCTTAACCGGCGTCCCCGTTGGACAATCACGAATTAGATGAATCCCGTCTGATGATGTATCATAAAACTCGGTCTCACTTTGGTCGCTTCTTCACCTTCTCGTGTACATGCCCTTCTGTTTACGACATCATTATTCCCCAGTCGTCTTCTCCAGGGTTCGCCGTTGGAAAATTGCGTTAACAGGACTTCTTACTGTAACAATACGAGCTCCTCATACCGATGTATCCAAAGTGTCTCTCCCGTCCACCTCCGTGTATGAATATGAATAGCCCGCGAATTTCATCTTACGCTACGCTCGGACCATGTGGGTCGCCTATTCAAAGCAGTGTGGCCGTGCTGTGTTCCGTGCTTATCACTGCTGGGCGCCGCGCGTAGAGCAACGTCAGCCCCACGGCTCTCCGCCGATCGAAGTGAACCATACGAGGGAGTACCCTAGAATTTACGGCACATCCATACGTCGACGACTAGGCCAAAGCGGTCACAATGCTCACCTGATGAAACTGCCAATGGACCAATTACAAATGTTCGCTGGATCACCGCCGCCCCCGTGCCTCGTTTTACGACGCCGCCCACCTTTATCTCGGGCAAGCGAAGGCGACACGTGAGACCGCACGTTCCAATTGTGAATCGCCTTCCTCCGCCCAGCTCGGCATCAGCTGGGCTTGGCTCCGTACCTTCTAGGTGGTATTGCACTATTGCACCCGGATAGCTGGGATAAAATATATAAATAAACTGTTCCTGGACGTGATGTGCGACTGCATTGCTATCATGTTTGAGTGGTGTGAGGAGGGTACTACTATGACTCACCGGTATCTCCGCCATTCTGACGCTCTCCTTGTTCCTAGTGTCGATAATCAGCGCATCACATGGAACACGGGATAGACGGCAAATCCTCAGACGCGAGTGGTACCACCAAGGTTCCAGAACATCGATATCACCGATGTGTCTGTGTACAATTGATCTGGTACATTTAGAACGATACAGGTCGAAAGACAATGAAAGAATATCTGACAAATGGGGTCAATGTGTTGCATAGAAAGGTTTCATTTAAATGATTAATCATAGTCGAGACCCACCAAGAAAAGGCATAACAATAGACTCAATAATCAAGCAGACGAAAGATCTACGCGCATGACGTTGACTGAAATCAAGAATCATCGAAAGAAAGTCCTATGCGTCGTCTGTCATGATGGCAAAGAATTCCTGCTCATTGATCTCTCCGTCCTGGTCGAGGTCGAACTCGTCGATCATGGCTTGCCTGAACGCATAGCAGATATCAGGCACCACGTTGCAGCAGCGATGACAGGATACGTACAGTTCATCATCTTCCAACCGGTCGCCGATTTCCTTCGCCACCCTCCTCAGGTTCCTTAGGCTGATCTTGCCCGTGTTGTCATCATCAAAAAGCTGAAACGCGCGGCGGATTTCTTCCATGGGATCACGGGCCAGTATGCGCTCACTCACTGCAAAAATGACGCGATCGAGAGACAAATGGGGGAAAGAAATTGATGACATTGAATGACGTGGAACATCTTCGCGAGAAAACAGGCACTCACTGATTTTCGCGAAGTCTTCGAAGTCCATCAGTCCGTGTCCTGTCTTGTCATGATCTCGCAGGATCTTCAGCACCTCCGCCTTCTTCAAGTCGAACCCTAACGCGCGCATCGCGACTTTGAGCTCGTGATAGTCGACGCAGCCATCTTTGTCCGTGTCGAAGAGCTCGAACGCCTCTTTGATCTCCTGCTTTTGCTCATCAGTGAGCTCAGGACGCGTGTGTGTGCGTCGCTTGGCCTTTTGTGCCGCAGAGGACGAGTACATGGCGGTGAAAAGAGTGGTGTGGGAGGGGAGGGAGAGGCAGCGCTAGAGGCGAGGACGACGCGTGATAACAAGTTGAACGCGCGACGCGTCGCCACAGCGCGTGTCCGTGACCTCGGGGCCACGCCGAGGAGACGATATAAAGTTACTTATTTGGCTCACTTTGTTCACTTATCGTAGCTTGCTGCCACCGAAAGCCTAAGTAGAGGGCTCACTTGGGGGTTTTCCCACGCTTCACTCGTTCACTTGTAGCTCATTGTACCTCGCTACTCCTCTCACCGCTAGCTTCCTTGCTGCATTCTACCCTCCCTTGCCTCGCTCTCTGTTCCTCGTCGTCCACCACAGCAGCAGACCCATCGCGAGTATGACACACACGCCACGCCGAGCGGTGGCGGGAGTGTCATGATAAGATAGCCCGCTTGTCGTTTTGGAGTCATCTAGCCAGCAGCCAGCGCATAACATGACCCAGCTCATCCGTGCACCGTATCTCTCTCTGTTTCCACCCACATCCGCGCTCGACGACACCATGGCCATTGAGATCGCACCTCTTGCCATCCCCGCCACCGCTGACGCCTCCAAGCTCGCAGGCTTTGGCGTAGAGATCAAGGGCGTCAACCCCGGCGAATTGACCCCCGAACAGTTCAAGGAAATCGAGCAGCTTCTCTACAATGTTCGGCCGGTTGCTTGTCCCCTTTCTTCCATGTGGGTGACTGATATCTGTCATGCACTCAGCATGATGTTTTGCTCTTCCGCGATGTGGACCTCACGCCTGAGCAGCAGTACAGGCTCACAAAGGTCAGTCCATCTGTATCCGTGTTTTGCACAGTACAATAGCGAATGAACATTGGCAGGCCTTTGATCCGACTTCGGAGAGCTATGGACACGGAAATAACAAGACGGAGAAAACCACGAAGTCTATCCTTCATCCGGATCTCAAGACCATCCCTCGCCAGCCCCAGGTCCAGCTCATCGGAAATGGCACCGTCTACAACCACGAGGGCCTCGCGGAGGCGATGCTCAAGCACCCCTCTCACACTACCTTCCACAAGACGCAGGTTTCACGCGAGGACGAGGAGAAGGGCTACACACGCTTCTACCGCTGGCACATCGACGCGGCGCTATACGACCTGTCCCCGCCGAAGGTGACCACGCTGTATGGGATCAAGGTGCCCAAGGGCCACAAGCAGATCTGCCGGTACGACGATGGCACGGGCGACGAGCTGGAGGTCCCGTTGGGTACGACGGCGTTCGTGTCTGGCAAGCTCATGTTCGATCTCCTCCCTCCGGAGCTGAAGAGCCTGGCGGTGCGGAGCAAGGTCAAGTATGCGCCCCACCCGTACGTGTGGATGGCCCCAACGCACGCAATGCCCACCGGGCTTGGTATCGAAACGGAAGGACTCGAACTTCCTCTGGACCAACTTCCGCCATGGGAAGAATCGCGGAGGAAGACACTCCCTGTTGTACGCATCAAGCATCATTCAGATCCAGGGTGTTTTACTGAAAGCTTCTTTAGGTTTGGAAGAACCCCGTTACAGGCAATCTGCACTTCCAAGTCCACCCTTGCGGAGCTGCGGAACTACTTGTCGATCCTCTTCCCGAGGGCGCGAACCACGAGGGCGCACTATACCCAGATGGTGCGCACATCACCGACCTAGGCACAGTCCGTGCATTGCTCTACAAAATGCAGAGGCCTGCTATCGCGCCTTCGGTGAGTGCTTCTAGCAGAATTACTCGGGAAGAACAACCGCCACTGACATCATCGTCCGCCTTTCACTATCAGCTTGTATATCCACATGACTGGTGAGCGTCACCCGGCATAGGCTCTTCGCATCCGCTGATGGGGCATCGTCTAGGCATGAGCGCGATCTCGTCGTTTTCCATAACCGCGGAGTCTTGCACTCGGTCGTCGGTGCGTTCAAGCCGCACCAGGTGCGGGCGTTCCATCAGTGCAACCTGGCTGCCTCGGACGACCCTGCTGGGCCCACACCGGAGGAGGTCAAGAAATACGCCTGAGCGTTCGGACGTTCAATTGGCTGAACTCTGTGTGCCTACGCGTTTGGAACGTTGGATTTGGTCTTTGGATAGACTAGTTCTTCGGCGGAATCTAAGTCGCGTCAACATTGTGTACGCTAATTCGGAATGTTATGATCAGTGTTACAGCATATTGAGTACTCGCTATCATCCGACCTCCTCGTCCACGTGTCATTCGCTGCGCGGTATATGAATGACAGTTCTGGCGGCGATAAGGTGTATCCGAACTCTCCCTTCTCAGGAAGTGGTCATGCCCTATTAGCTGTGGGTGAGAAGCACAGAAGCTCGTGTTCAGCTTCGCATTGATAGCGCATATATAACGGACATGGAGAGACAATGTTGCAGCAGACCACCTGCATCAAGCACAGCCGACCATTACTTACGATACAGCAATGGCCATCGAGGTCGTCCCGCTACCACTTCCGCATTCCGCAGATGCCACCAAGTTCGCAAACTTTGGGAGGGAGGTCCGCGGAGTAGACCTGAGATCGCTGGATCCTGCGGAATTCAAGCAGATTGAAGAGCTACTCTACAAGGTTCGTGCAGTCGGAAATATGCGTGACGTAGCGCAGTAAACAAACAATCGTATAGCACAGCGCTTTGTTGTTTCGCAACGTCGACTTGAGTCCAGCGCAGCAGTATGCGTTGGCGAAGGTACGTGGTTCCTCAAGCCCGCTGCCTTCATGCTCTAGAGTCCAGACGCACACAGGCCTTTGACCCAACGTCCGAGAGCTTCGGACACGGCAACAAGAAGATCGAGAACACCAAGTCCTCCATTCTACACCAGACCCTGAGGGCGGTGCCTGCCGTTCCACAAGTCTATCTCGTCGGGAACGGCACCATCTACGATCACGAAGGCATCCCAGAGCTGACGCTGCAGCATCCGTCGCACAAGACTTGGCACAAGGCACACCAATCGGCCGAAGACCAGGAGAAGGGTGCGACGCGATTCGTCCGGTGGCACATGGACGCCGCGTTCTATGACTTCAATCCGCCGCGGGTGACGACGCTGTACGGGATCAACGTACCGCAGGGCCCCCGACAGATGGTGAAGTACGACGATGGGACAGGCGACGAGCTCGAGGTCCCGCTGGCTGCGACGGCGTTCGTGTCGGGGAAGACCATGTTCGATATCCTTCCGCACGCGCTGAAGAGCTTGGCGGTGCGGAGTAGTGTCAAGTACGCGCCGCACCCATACGTTTGGATCTCAACGGCAAAGGCCAAGCCGACCGGGCTGGGAATTGAGACGGAGGGGCTCGAGATGCGGTACGATCTGCTTCCTGAATGGGAGGAGTCGAAGATCCAGGTACTCCCGCTGGTGAGCATGACTATCAAGCGGTCTTCTTATGGCCATTTGCGAGTTATCGAAACTGTGCTTGACAGTGCTGGAAAAACCCGGTGACCGGCGATCTGCATCTGCAGGTCCACCCTATGTGTGCTGCGGAGCTGATGGTGGACCCGCTACCTGAAAGCGCGCAGAGGGAAGATGCACTATATCCGGACGGAGGCCACATCACAGATCTGCAAGAGCTCCGTGATCTGCTATACCAGATGCAAAGGCCAGGAATCGCTCCACAGGTAAGCCTTATAATTACCCTGGTGTTGGTCCAGTATGCTCAAACTTGGCTGCTGCCTAGCTCGTGTATCCGCATGATTGGTGAGTTTGCTGGAGCGCCGGTGATAATTAATGCCGCTCGCACCGAACTGATGAGGTGCCTGTTCCATGGTATGCAGGCGTGCCAAGGACTTGATCATTTTCCACAACAGAGGCGCCATGCATTCTGTGACAGGAAATCTCAAGCCAGACCAGATAAGGACATATCATCAGTGCAACCTTGCTGCGTCGGACAGACCAGTAGGACCCAGCGCAGACGACATCAAGATATGGTCGTGAGCGCGAAACGATACCAGATGGCGATGTGGCACCCGCACAGTCAAGGAACTCTGCTGTTTTTGTGTATGGCGTGGATAGATAATTCAGTGCATAAGGTACCGGTGAACAGTCAGAGCAGGTCGATTGTTGTGGCAAAGGAGTCTGAGGCTTGGTTTAGGCGCCGATCAACAGAGAGTTTGGTAGCACGTGCTGCTGCATTAATGCAACTTAGCTCACTCATCCATCTGGCGACGCGCATATACATGTCGCTTCACGTGAAAAGCGACAGCTCAAAATGCCTACCTACGCAGATGTACTAGCGGCCCATCGAGACGGGACTGAAACAGCTGCATCGACTTCGTCGGCGAGCGCGACGCACGATGAACCGGACGGTGCCAGACAGGGTACCGCGAAGAGGAAGAGGGCTAAGAAGAACCGCTTCATAACCGCGACTGAGGGCACTCTCTGGCCATGGAACGACTCATTAGGCATGGCAGCGTACGAGAGCAAGGAGCAACGGTGAGTATTGTATCTGCAGCTGTATCCGAAGTGCAGAAGCTCTGATTGCTGGATTAGACTACATGATGAGATCGTCGCCTATGTATCCTATATCATTCCGACAGATCAGGAGAGGCGAGCACGCGAAAAGATCGTCACACGTGTCAGAGACGTTGTTAGGAAGCGGTTCCCCAAAGCCAACTTGGCTATGTTTGGCAGTACAGCGCAGAATCTCAATCTACCAGATAGGTGAGCACTATTCATTCTCCCAGAGCGTTTTATTCAACTGTAGATCGATGGAAGCGATATTGACCTTGCGATGACCGTACCTGGAGAACTTGACTTCGAGGCCAGGAAGAGAGTGCTCTTCCAACTCTCGGCGGCGCTCAATAACTCACTTTTAACGCGCGATTCTTTCGTGAGACATCGAGCACGCGTACCGATCATTTCATTGACGACCGTTCCGGAACTTGGTAAGCCCTCCGTTGGATCTCAGCCGCGTATATGCGCTCGTAATCTTAACTATTTCTAGGATCGTTCAAGGTGGACATCAGTGTAAACTCCACTGACGGTGTAAAGGCAGTCCCCATAATAAAGGACTACATTGACAAGATGCCTGCTCTCCGATACCTCGTTATGGTACTGAAAGGGTATATGTCTCGACTACGCTTGAACAACGCATCAGAAGGAGGACTAAGCGGTTACTCGATCATCTGCTTAGCGATCAGTTTTCTGCAGGTAATCCTGACCTATCTGATAACTCCACTACGATTAATGGATCGTTGTTTAACAAGCTCAATCCGAAGAAGATACATCTCGATGAGATTGAGAAGCCGCTCGAGAGGGAATCTCTTGGACGGCTTGTACTCGCCTTTCTCGATTACTACGGCAACGAGTTCGATTATGAAGACTCTTGCATATCTATAACGAATGGAGGACTTGTCAGCAAGGAGGACAGGGGATGGCAGATGCCATCGCTTCCGGAACATCTGTCTATCGAGTGTCTGGTAAACCCAGGTGTGCAATGCTCTCGCCGCAAAGCTCCAGCGGCTTACTCATGATCATAGACCACGACATCGGACGGCCGACGGGCAAGATCAAACAAGTGCGGACTGCATTTCGCGAGGCGCATTATGTGTTGCACAGCTATCCGTTCGCAATAACGCACAGCAACATCCTCGGCACCATACTGGGTATATCTCCTGAGGTGCGTGTTGTACTGACCCTCCCCGATTTCGGCAGAACCTAGTGCTGTGCACTTATAGGCCGATGCCGCTCTAGACATTGGCCGGGCGCGAGAACTTGCAGAATATTGTCGATTCGGGCAGCCTCGAGCGCGCCCTTCAGGACCTGAAACTCCGTCCTCGACAAAAGCTCCCGCTACAGCAGCAGAGCTATCAAGATCGTCGGTTGCGGGCGCCGTATCCTCCCGGAGGGTCATCTTACCGTGATGACTCTCGTGCACTGACTACTTACGGCGAATGGCCGCGCAACAACGGCTACTATGCTATGGATCCGTACCGAGATGACCCTGCGTATTATGGGGAAGCGGTGCCACTGCATTATGACCCTCGATCAAGTCATCGCGCTGGGCCTTCAACGCAGCTTGGCCGCAGCGGACGCCGCGCAGTGAAGAGGCAGTGTGCGTAAAATCCCACAGTTCTGTTCTCGCATGGCCTTTCTTGAGCACCGGTTTGTATTGTTTTCTATCACATACGTTCATCGTCCTTTCCCGATGTTATGTAAAACATGCTAACTGGGACGATTCCTACCACAAAGTTTGTACATCATCCATATGGTCGTCTCGCAATCAAATGTTGTATCTGTATTTTTCATTGAATGCAGCATTCAACGATCTGCGCTTCCAAACCCTTCGCTCCCAATCTGCCGTGCGGGTGCCGCGAACGACATATTAGCCACTTCCATGTACTCACCCCAGATGTCCATGATGGTATACCAGTATCACGGAGTCTCCTTGTCGCCGTTAATGATGGCGTACGTGTAATCCCTTGTGGCATGAATCTCCACGGTCGTAAAGGCATCTGAAGGCAATATGTATCCTAGCGGATACAGCTGGCCTGTAGCTTCGAATGTGAGATTCGCAGCATGAAGCTTCGAGTCTTCTCCCGCGAATAGAATGCCGCTCAGAGGGGACTGTGGATGAGGCCGAACGCTGAATTTGAGGGTGTAGGGCGGACCGACAGAAGCATATGGTGTTATCATACCTGCGTACGTCGACGGATACTCGTACACAACGTTGCCGTCTTCCGGCTTGACGACGCGATTCAGGTTCTGGCCTGGTGCGGCTGCATTCAGGATAGGGTACGCTGCTTCAAACTGCTCGCGCGTGAGCTCTGAGGAGCGCACGCCGAATCTAGCCCAGGTCTTCTCGCCTACGACAGCGAGGCTGTTGGCGAGCTGGTAGTAGTCCTCGAGGTCGGTAGTGGCGTTGTTTCCCCAGTCTGACCACAACGCCATGATCGCCCCGCGCAGCAGGGGGTTATCGGGTGTTGTATTGTTTGTCGGGTCGAGAGGGGAAAAAATGTTGGGTGCCCATCCACTGCCGTCCGGAGCGCCGCCAAACATGCGTGTGAGGTTGAGCGTGTATGGGTAGTTATTCTCATCGGAGTATTTGCCGTCTAGGTAGAGGAAGTACTGTTCGGAGTTGATGACATGGTATCCTTCTGCCAGAAGTTGGACGGGAATATCTGCATCCGGGAAGTACCAGTGCTGGATAGTGATATTTTTGGAGACGGACTCGGTCGTGCTAGGCTCGTACGTGCCCCAGATACGGATTGATTTGCCCGCTTCCGTGTACATGAATTCGGACAATCTCGTTCACAAACGAAATGTATTCGTCGCCAAGCGAGGAGTTATATTCACCCGCGCCGATAGATACCTCGGGCGAGCTGAACCACGGGAGGAATTGCTGCCATATGGACTTGACAGTAGGAATTGTCTCCGGATAGGACGTATTTAAAAGATCGGGTTGACCACTGAGCATCAGCTCTGGTTTCCACTGTGTGATCACAAGTGAATGCCCGGGAGTGTCTATTTCGGGGATAACGGTGACTCCATGGTTCGTGCAAGTCTCCTGGAAGGCGAGAAACTCGGCCTGAGGCCAGCTCTCATTCCGTCTGGGAACTAGGCCGTCGATAGGAGAGCCCGGTGGAGGCTGGAAACGAAAGGCTGCATAGAGCTCCTTCCAGCCTGTGCCGTACAAGAAGTCGGGATTATAGAGGTTGTCTGATGCATGGACGTGGAACTCATTGATCTTGAAAAAGGATGCATCGATGCATAATTCCGCTGGTTAGATATGTAGTCAAGCGCATGCAACATGAGGCAGGTATATCCCGTAATGCACTCACTAAGGAACTGAGTGTCGAACCAATGCCTGCCGGCATCCAGCATGAAGCCGCGAATCTCCCACCCAGGAGAATCTGTCCCAGATCCAGTGGGAATTGCGATGGTACCGTCATTACTTGCAAGGGCGACCTGTTGTAACATAGTCACAGCTCCCCACCACACGCCAATAGGTGCCGCGGCCCTAACTGTATACGTTTGATCAGTGATCTCGAAATCATACCCGTCCAGTGTGAACCTGCCGTTGTATAGGGAGAACTGTAGCGTGGGGTCGACAACGAGGTAGATCACAGGGAAAGATGCAGTCCCCGATGAATGTGTACCTACTACCACAGGAGCAATGTAATCATAGCCAGCGACGCTTGTGAGATCCGTGCGGAACGTCTCAGCGAAGGTCAAGGCTGAAGGTGAGCCCTCCAGACCGTATTCGCCATCGATGACGATTGTAACATTACGAGAAAGCTCGAACACACCTTGTCTCTGAGCGAAAGATGCAATGGAGGGGATCTGCGGCTGTAGACCTTGGTTTTGTCCGCTTACCGACCAGATGACAGCCAACGCGACGCACAGGACTGCACAGGCACTCTTTCCGACAGGCTCCAGCATTATGGTTTGTGAGCCGTACTAGACCGGCGGTCGAGTAGCTGAGCCCCCTCTATATCATGCCTTCGGAGACATTGAGTAAGCAGGCAAGCACACGATAAGAAACAGCCCACTAACTTCTTCCATGTCACGAGCAAGAACCTCAACGTGCGAACTGTCGGTAATCAAAGCAGACTCATCCCATTTCAAGCGGTAGAGATGGAAATACGCGAAGGCTCGCAAGTAAAATCATTTCATACAGAGTTCACGGGACAGATACCGTCATACAAACCATATGAGCCCTTCGCCAGTAAAACAACCATGCCGGAGTAACACAGTGCATTTTCGGATGGATTGTTCCTGTACCTTCAGAGTGTCGAGCCGACACAGCAGTGACCGTTTCGCCACTCGATTTTGAGAGCAAATGACTGCTGATAAATGATATAACGGATGCATGATATGGTGAGAACGCAAAACATATTGCAAACGCAGCCATAAACATACAACCACATGAGATGATGACATACGAAAAAGCGCAGCAAGCGACTCGTTTACTCTTCCTCCTCCTCTCCACCCTCTTCCTTCTTCGCGGCCGCAGCAGCACGCTTGCGCTTGACGCGACCAGGACGGCCTCCACCGTATGGCGACGTGAGAGCGAAGTCGATGTGCTTTTGAGAGTCAAGACGAACGACGAATGAAGGGATGTTGACGATCTGCTTCCCAACACTGTGCACAGAGGTCACAGGATGCGCAGGAGTGATCCTTCAATGTACGCACCGGATGTGTCGTTGCCTAATCAACACGCGCGCATGGTGAATGCTCTTGGCGAGCCCGCTCTTGAAGACTTGGGTCTGCAACCGTCGCTCTAAGAAGTCTTCGATCTTCAACGACAACACGTAATCGAGACGCATGCGCGACTCGTCGAGCACACCGATGCGGACAAGTCGGCGAATGAGGGCGTTGCCCTCGAAAAGACGCTTGGGGTCCTTGGCGTCGAGCTTGAGCAGCTCACGAGCAGCACGACGAATCTTGGACAGAATGAGGCCAATGCGCCAGATCTCGCGCTTGTTGCGCAAACCATACTCGCCGGCGAGCTGGGCGCGTCGCCTTCAGAATCAAAAACTATACAGCACGAAATCTCACTCACCTTCAACTCCGCATCGAGACGAGCGGTCTCAAAGGGACGACGGGGAACCTTATAGCTGTGATCGTAATGATAATGGGGCACGGCTTTCAATCAGCACGGTGCATCCCTCCACTACAGTGGATCTTGAAGAAGAAAAACGCTCACGTCTTGCTGTGATTCCGCGGAGCCCTGGATACACAACATTAACACAAACAGCATCTCACTTGCAGACTGCGAGGACATTACCTAGGCATTTTGCTTGAGAGGGTCGGCTACGGCGATGAGGGATCCTAGTGCTACCTTGCGGATTCTATGATGTCCAAATGCAGGCAAACACCAAGGTTATTCTGCGCCACAACTGTGTAGTTCTCATCGACAGCCACCCGGCAACTGCCGAAGCTGCTACTGTGCTCTGTTCTCAATACTAGCAATAGCCACAGGGCCAACGCCGACCAATGTCAGTATTTTGCTTGCTTGCTCTGTCGTTGTGCTGCACGGCTAATCCTACTCTGTCTTAGTTCTCAAGATGCCGCACTCCTACGGTTACCGGGCGCGTACGCGTGGCATGTTCAAGCGGGGCTTCAAGGGTGCGGCGAACTTGGTCTTGGGACTTGTTGGAAACGGCTAAATGTCGATTGTGCAGAGCATGGCCCCATCAAATTGTCAACGTATCTCATCACCTACCGGGTAGGAGACATCGTCGACATTAAAGCAAATGCGGCCCAGCAGAAGGGTATGCCGCACAAATACTACCACGGGTACGTCTGACTAGGCTCATGCATTCGAGAGATACTCTAAACCATGGCCCTGTGTAGGCGGACTGGTATTGTGTACAATGTCACACCAAACGCAGTCGGCGTCATTGTTCACAAAGTCGTTGGCAACCGTTACATTGAGAAGCGCGTGAATATCCGCGTTGAGCACATCAGACACTCTAAGTGCAGGCAAGAGTTCTTGGACCGCGTCAAGCGTAACCACGAAGCGCACATGAAGGCCAAGGAAACGGGCGGTGAGTGCAACTTCGCTCAGTTCGTTGTTGCTGAAGTGCTGAATTGCGATCACGCAGAACGGGTGAATCTCAGACGCATCCCCGCACAGCCTCGTACTGCGCACGTTGTCTCGACAAAGGACAACGCACCGCAGACGATGGCCCCTGTTCGCTACGAGACGACGATTTAAAAGTCCCTCCTTCCTCTCGTTCTCTCTTTCCGCACGCATCGCACTACGGGGTTATGTCTTACCATTGTTCTTCTACCCTATGCTCATGCAATGATAAGCCATACCATGCAAGCTTTGTAATATTACGTTCCGCATCCGAGAGGTTTGGCGAATCGACGCCAATCGCGTCGTCGACTCGAGTAGATAGTCAGGAGTACGGATGCGTCACGTGAGCGCTAGCGTGGCTTCTCAATACGAGTGCCAGTGCGTGCGACGCGGCCATCACATATTCTGAACCCACATATGCCCTCGCACCGACATCGCTCATACTCTCGGGAGCGATCTCGTTCGCGCGAACGCGACCATTCGCGATCTCGCTCGCCAGAACGGCGTATTGATCTTCCCAGCGGTGCCTCTCCCATCTCAGAGTCCGACTACTTCCTCAAGAGCGACGAGTTCAGACTTTGGTTGAAAGATGAGAAGGATAAGGTACATCTTGCATGCTTCAGGTGCTGAGAGAAGCACTGAACATATCGATATCTCTTGTTAGTACTTCGATGAGCTGTCGAGTGACAAAGCGCGGAAGTGAGTGTGCATTGGTGGCGTCACACGGCTATTGCTGAAGGATCCATGCAGGTATTTCCGCAAATTTGTGAAGGTGAGATCAATGACCCGGTGTGGCGAAGCAGTGTACTAATTTTCAGGGTGTATTTCCCGAACATAGGCGTGGAACCGGGGAAAACTACCCAGTGAGCACGGGAATCGTATGCCAACATGAACTTTTCTAACGCGCACGCCAGAATCTATGTACGCAGGCATAGACATACCGTCTGCCAGCAGCCAGACCGCATACCGATGGTCGTTCGCCTCCAAGACGTCCCAAGCGGACAGCGTTGCACTGCGAGCCGCTCGCGACGAAGTCGGCGCAGCCACCTACAAGCGGCCCATGCGTTCGGACCAGCCGTCCAGCTCCAGCAGGAGCGGCCGCATACAAGGCCCGACGCTCCCCTCACAGTCAGATCTTACGCTCGCGCGTGAAGCTGAAGAAGAGCACCGCGCCGCAGAGCGCGACTATAACCGGAAGCGAGAGCGTAAGGAGACCAAGGAGCGTGTCGAGGAGGTAGTGGGGCCGAAGGAGGTAGGACGGGAGGGCATGCTGGAGAAAAAGCGTGCGCAACGGGAGGGCAACCGCGCCTTTAGAGAACGAGGTGACGAAGGGCTCGAGCTGGACGAATCGACGCTGATGGGAGGCGGAGATAGCTTCAAGGAACGGTGCGTGCACGTGGTACGAATCTGTTTGACAACGGCTGCTCATGTTCATGCTATTATAGGATTGCTCGCCGCGAAGCGTCGCGTAAGCGGTTCGAAGAAAAGCGCCATGGGGCGGGAGATGAGCGTTTGACAGCTGCACGCGAGCGAGCGGACGCAATCCGGCAGAAGGACAAGGCAACGATGGACATGTTCATGCAATTGGCGAAAGATAAGTTTGGCTGATGTGAACCGAGGGTGACGTTTCCGTGCGTTGTCATTCCCCACTAGACAGAGATACGCACGACTTTCGCATCGGTATAACCTTAGTTCTCCTTCCATCCCAAGTGAGGGCAATATATCTCATGCTCTTTTTATTCTGCTATGACGACCGCACAGTTCGCGAATAGAGACACCGAGAGCGCGGATCAAGCAACATGAGAAAGACAACGCTTCGAGCTTCGAAACTAAACTGGCCACACCAGACTACGGAGCCGCACATTCTCAGCCATAACATTCGATGGGGAAACTGCTCTGCTTACAGGAAAGCCCGTGATCACATTCTCGCTGCGTGTTCATCAACACAAAAATTCGTAACCCAAATCAACATGTTGTCCTGGGATGTTCCTGAGATTGCACAAGATGTGTCGCGTAACATGCATGCATTGCAATGAGACCGGATGACTACGAGAACCTGCGGTATCCAAGATATTTACGTATATGCGGACGTGTTGAGACCGGCGAGGAACGCGAAGGGGGCATGCTGCTATCGTTAGTGCTCAGCCGTCTTGAACGACGAGTTCCTTGAGCTACTATGTACGTAAAAAGTACAAACAAAGAGACGTGGGAGCATACGAGCAAAACATCTGAGATGCTCGTCATGAGCGAGCGAGCCTCCTAACCATCGAAGAACGATGTCCAGAGGAAGTCCCAGAATCACTCTGGGTCGCGTTCTGCGATATTAACAAAAAGAATTAGGGTCGAGCGAATAACATGCACTCCGCATTAATCGCACCTGCGGGGAGCCTGCTGGTGGGCAAGACACCGCTACAGCCTCGCGCCTCTTCTTCGGTTTAGCTGGCTTGCCGCCGGTCCAAGCGTTGTTATCCTGCTCAAGCAATGCCTCGGCGTCTTCCTATAGGAGGTCGACTCCTAATGAATACCGTGTTGCGACAATGAGCAGTGAGCAAGTAAACAAACCTCGGCCTGAGCATGCTCTGGCTCTTCCAGAATATACTCATGGAAATTGTGTTCGCCGATGCCGAAGTTTACCTTCGAGAGGTACGATGACGACGACATCGAAGGGTCACCTTGGTGGTACTCACCAATGTGTTAGTCTCTGAGTCACCTCCAGATGGTACGATAAGCGGCGCTGAATGGTTTGTGGGGTGCTGGGGGAAAGATGATATCAATGGAAGAGAGATGAGCTTATAGCTAGCCTGGCTCACATTACGAGACAACGAGCGCAGCTTCCCCTTCAACCTGCTCGAGAGGGAGCGCCGTCGGCCCCTTTCGCCACTTGAGATGGTCGATGAAGTATCGCTAGACTATCAATGATATGCACATCAGGAGTTGGCGACGACATATGGGGAAATTGCTCACCATGAAGACAAATTGCGGGTGAAGGGAGGAGCGTTAGGCTCGACAGTGGGTGGGGTTGACAGGAGAATCTGGGGTCATACAGGATGCCAGACGCACAACGCCTGAGCGCCCCGCACAAGGGACGCTTTAAGTGCCTGCAACCACTCGCCATCAAACCATTAGTAGACTTTACGCCCGAAAGCAAGAATGCGGGTAACGTGAGACCATTAGTGAGACAGCGAATTCTCGGTAGCTGACGCGGTGATGGCAGAAGCCAAGTCTCAGCTGATCACCGGTGGATGCATGGGCGTTGGCACGGATTCGTAAAACGCGACTATTGGTCACGACCCTTGCACAATACTGACAAGAATTGCCGAGCATGTCACGACTGCAATTCAATAAAGTACAAGAGATCTGTCATGGAAAACTTGGGTGTTTTGTACGGCGTCAGCAGGTGCATATCAAGCAAAGGAAGAGCCGATAGAAGACGTACGTCAAATATCTACGCCACGCAATGCTCGCCGCCTCTACAGTTCAGCTCAAGTCCATTGCATCCTTAGTTGCCGCATCACTCCCAATCTCCTCGAACACCAGCGAGCCCTGCTGCTCCTTGAGCCACTGCACGCTGCGCTTTTCGTCCATAAAGTAGGTGTATGCGCGGCGGAGATCCTCGACCTCCACCCGCTCCGCCCTGCGCTTGCGGGCGATAATCTGTCCGCATGAAATCAGGTTCAAGGCATATCGAAGAGTCGTTTGCGCAGCCATCGATGTCAGGACCGTCAGCGCACTATCAGCCAACGTGACATCTTCTTCCTCGCATCTAGACCAACCGTGAGTGAGACCGTCAACATGCCACTAGGCAGACCTACCGGATTTTGATGATTTCCTGTATCTCGTCCGGGGAGTAAGGGTGAGTGCTGACTATCAGCACTCGGTCCAGGAGGTCCACCGGGAGACCGTGCGGACTGCGGAACTTTGTTCCGCGTATGCGGGCCATCCCCCGGTTCGAAGCCATGATCACCAACGGAGAGAACTCGTTTTCCAGCGCCCTATTAAGAAACGAAAAACATTCGATGTCGAGCATGTGCACTTCGTCGATGAATAATACCTGCGGAACAAGATCGACTGTCAGCACAACCAGTCACCTGCAGCCAAGCACAATGCTTACTCCAGGAATGATCTCGGCTTTTCCTTCTTCTCTCCACTCGGCAACCTTCGTGTTGATTTGGTCACGCAACTCGGGCTTGATCTCGCCGGTGTCTCCAGCAAAGAGAGCCAGGAAACCTTGCGTTCGACTGTTTATGACATCGATCTCATGCAGAGACACGGTGTGCACCACTTCTTTTCTCTTTTGGACCTCGCCCTCGGGACATTGGACGAAGCGAGTCTAATACAGAACGCGGTGAGCGGGCTGCTGAGCAAACAAAGCTGGAACATACATCTGCGCCCATAGCATCGTAATCCCTTGATCTTGCAAATGAGCGACCGAGCTTTGACACCTTCCCAGAGGTCTTGTCGATGGCGATAACGTCTCCTGCAGTCACTTTCTCCTTGGATAGTGCATCAATCATCTTGGTACCCAGATCATATACGGTTTCCATGTCCGTAGTTTTTATCGTCAGCTTGCCTGTCTTCGTAGCCTGCGGAGATGATATGCATTCAATCTAATACCCGTAATAACGAGTCGGAGGTACTCACGCCCGTAAGGCTACGGTCAATCTGCATCTCGACAACCTCTCCCTCAATGATCTCCGACTCTTCCTTGATACGCACGCCAATACTCCGTCGCAATGCTTGCGTGAGAGCTTCCGTCTTGGACATAGAGAGCGAGAAGACCTCGCTAGCAGCGATCATCGTGAACGGTACATCGGGCCCCAGCGTTTGTGCCATGCCTGAGAAACAACCTTCATCAGCTCCTAGGAAAAACATGAAACTAAGGCAAATAGATACCCAACGCAATAGCTGTCTTTCCGGTGGACGGTGGCCCCGCGAAGAGCATGGCTCGACCGGCGATGCGGCCCTCCTGCACCATTTTGAGGATCATGCCTGCAGCTTTGCGCGCCTTGGCCTGTCCGACCATGCCTTGGGAGTTCGCCCGCGGCTCGAGTCGGTCATCGAGTCCCAGCCCACGGATGTGCGAATGAGCACCTGTGGACCGCGTGCTCAGTCTGGTGATCGAAATGAAAGTAAAATGCGCCACACCTATCCTCTCCATTTTTGTGATGTCCCTGAGCTCTGAGGCTCCCGTCGAGATCTGAGCAGCCTAGAAACAGACATCGAGAGAATATTGAGCAAAATGACCGTGTACGCAGAACGATGTTCAGCGGAGGCTACACACCATCGTCGCGACTTGCAGAGACGCGTCTGTTTGGTTGAGCCAAACAACTGCTTTGCTTGACCTCCGTCCATCTGTGCACTCGCGCTGGAGGTGGAATGTTTTCTGCACGATGCGGAGCTAAATTGCTGCGCTCCTGCTTCAATTCTATCTCAAATGCGACCTCGTCGTCTTCACGGGGAGCGTTCATCCAGCGGAGTCGCACCCTAACACGAACATACGCGACGGAAGCGACGACCCAGGAGTTCGTGCCCACCGATGTCAACGCCGCGCTTGCCCGGACATCCGTGTTTTATAAAACATACAAGCCCGTTACGCCAGGTCTCCGACACCTGAAGCGGCCCATCTCGCCACATCTATGGAAAGGCCGACCAATACGACTGCTCACGTTCGCCTTGCGCAAGTCGGGCGGGCGCAACAACAGGGGGCGCATCACCGTCCGTTCGCGCGGAGGCGGGCACAAACGACGTATTCGTATCGTTGACTTTATGCGCACGGAGCCAGGACCGCATGACGTCGTTCGCATCGAGTACGACCCGAACCGCTCTGCGCACCTTGCGCTCATCAAGAGCCGCGATCCCAACGCGGATGGAAGGAAGATGTGGAGCTACATCCTCGCCTGCGACGGCATGCGCGCTGGCGACGTTGTACAGAGCTTTCGCCAGGGTATACCTGACGGCCTTGTGCCGGGCTTCATCGACTCAGAGAAAATTCGAGGGCGGGCGGTCCAACAAGCCGACGACGATCAGACGACGAGCGCGTCCCTTTCATTGGGTTTGCTGCGAGCCGTCACCATCAAGCCCGGAAACGTGCTCCCGCTTCGACTCATCCCCACGGGCACCATCATCCACAATGTTTCGCTCAATCCTCAGCGCCGTGCGATCCTGGTGCGCTCGGCGGGAACGTTCGGACAAGTGATCGCACATGAAGAGTCCGGAAAGTACTCTCATGTGCGATTGCAGAGCGGAGAAGTGCGAAAAGTGTTGCAGGATTGCGTGGCGACTATCGGGAAGGTCAGCAACCCACTGTGGAAGGGCCGCAGCCTCGGTAAGGCTGGCAGGAGTCGGTGGCTGGGTCGCAGACCCCATGTTCGCGGTGTGGCCATGAATAGGTTCGTTTGCTATCGACTGATTATTCTCGTGTATGATTACAACGTCTGCATAGGTGCGATCACCCTCACGGAGGAGGTCGTGGAAAGTCCAAGGGTAACAAGCACCCTGTCTCAATCTGGGGCTGGCAAACGAAGGGAAAGCGGACGCGTAAGCCAGGTCCTCTGGGCCCGAAGGGCAGCAACAAGATGGTGATTCGCGAGAGGCCGCGAGGAAAAGATAAGCGGAGGAACTAATTGACTGCTGGGCAGAGTACTGTGCATGTCCATTATACATTCTCTGTCATATGTGCTCCCACACCATGCTTGTCATTGCTGCGATATACAGGCCTTCCAGCTGTTCCGTTGTGAGCTTATGCGATGCCAAAACCACCAGCTCGACGGAACTCACGTTACGTTGTGACAGAATTCGGATCTACTCATCTGCTTCTTCATCTTCACCGTCCTCATCCTCGTCGTAATTTTGGGATAGCCTGCTCTCTTGAACTTGCTCCCTGTTTCCCACCGCGTCTCTCCAAGCGGTCAACTCCTCTCCGAGGGTATTCTTCGCCTCCGCTATGGCATTTCTCAGTACGTCATAGTACTGTTTGCCCACCAGTGCATTCCCTACAGGAAATGTATGCGTTTTGGTTGTCTCGAGGCCCGCTGCAGGCGTATCTGAGGGCGGATGCAGTTCGTATGTCACGGTGATCGCGGAGGCCATGGCGTGCAGCGAGTCGCGAAGTTGTTGATGGTTGTTGTCCAAAGGCCTCCGTCGGAGATGGCCGAGCCGTCACAAAACTGTAGCAGAACACGAAGTGCGCCTTGACCTCGGCCACATCGACCTTCGCTGCCACCATGCCTGTCCTTGTGCGATAACAACCAAGGGTCCCTCGCTGCATACCCTTGGTTGTTCTTAGACTGTGCTAGAAGCTTTCTCTCTTTTTCTGGGTCTATAGACGCGTGAAAATACCCTAGAAGTGGTCCTCTCAATTCGCATCGTATCGTATCGCATCGAGGGACGACGAGATTCCTGTCATTCACTATCTATCAACGCTTTTGTAGATTATTCTAGGTGCAACAATGGATCGTCGCTATCGCCCGACGCCGCCCATGGCCAGCTTACCCCCGCTCGCTCGACTAGCTGAATGCTCTGTGGATCAAATCTCGCAAGCCCTGCAAAATCTCCGCTCGCTTTATACCGAGCTACAACCTCCCCCTCTGCCTCAAACACTGCCCATGAAGCGTTTGCCGAAGCATATCATCCACGATGCATCCGTTCCGGACTCTGGTTATGCCTCTGCCGAAGAAGACGAGTGCGAGGAAACGTACGCGGATGACGATGAGGGGGAGGATGAAGATTATAGAATTCTTCGCTCCGACACCTTCGAACGCGAGTACGCCGTCCGCTGGCTCACCGCCTTCACTGCGCGCTCCGACGCCTGGTTGTACCCTATAAACGAAGAGTCTGACGCCCGCGCCACGCTCGTCGACTCCGCCGCATCAATTCTTGCCGCTTTCGCCGGCAAAGACGAGGAGGAAGCGCTCACAAGGTGGTTCACGTTCCCTGCGGACGGTGGCGAGGTGGACGTCGAGCTTAACGACGCCCCGCTGCTGAGCGAGGACCATACCTCTGTCGGGTTGCAGAGCTGGGCGAGCTCGATCCTTCTCGCCGAGCGCCTATGCGTTTCGCCGCGCTCGTTCGGGCTCTCTGTTAAGGAAGACGGGAGCAATCCGAGAGTTCTTGAACTTGGTGCGGGCACAGGTCTGCTAAGCATCGCCGCAGCGAAGCTCCTCCAGCGGAATGCGGCAGCGCATCAGTTCGCTGCGTCTGTGATCGCGACTGATTACCATCCGTCCGTCCTGGCAAATTTGCAGGCCAATGTGGACTCGAACTTTCCCGGTTCGCCGAATGCAGTCAGCAGTGACAAGCTACTAGTTGTGCGTGCACTGGACTGGGAACACCCGGTCTATGATGCTGAGTTGGAGTCTTCGTTCGACGTCATCCTCGCTGCCGATGTGATCTACCATCCACAACATGCGCAATGGATCAAAAGCTGCGTCGAACGTGCCCTTCTTCGTCCAAACGACACTGGAGACCCGCATGGTGTCTGCTGGCTCATTATCCCATTGCGTCCGACGGGAAGGCACGAAGGCATGAGTGACACCATCGAACGTGTCTTTTCTCGCGCCCCGATCACTGCAAAATGCGACGGAACGGATGGTAACTCGCACGGGCTGGCCATACTATCTGTGGAGAAGCTTGAGCGGCACGAAGGAGTGGGAAGGGCGGACGAGGGCGGTTATAAGCTGTACAAAATCGGCTGGCTGCGGACAGGATCTTCATGACACGCATGAGTGATATCCCTCACGAATAGCTATAACCTTCATAGATGCTGAACATAGATCCTCCAGTGCTACATACATACAACTATAATATCGCCATAATCGATGTGGTCATTTCCGTTTTGCCATACAACATATATGGGCTCACTTGAGCTTCCCAAGGCCACATAGTGCCAATGCGGCATCCATCATGTCTTCGTCGCGCATTCGTCGTGCCCCGACACATCCTTTCCTCTTGTCCGCGGCTGCCTTGCGTATGCGATAATCCATGCTTCCTCCTCGCTCGAGGCGAATTGGTACGTTATGCTCTCGACCGATATTTTTGATACTGCAGACTCCGTCAACGTCCTCGATGGATGTCTGACTGCTGCTCGGTGTGAGCGCCTCATGCACTTCCCCATCGTCGCTGTCCTCCCCCAGGTCCAACGTCAGTGCGTCCTCACTCTCCGACACCTCTTTCGTTTTACTCTCAAGCGTGCCGACACGTGCGGCAGCACATGCCCACTCGAGCGTGCGGCTGCGCTTGACGCGCTGTTGCACGAACTCGAGCATGGCGCGGTCCGCCTTCGGGTCGGGCGAGGTCGCGACAGGAGAGGAAAGCATGTTCTCCCATAGGGAGGGTGGACGCGGGCGCGGAGGAGTGCGGAATATTGCGGGGACAGAGCGCGTCGGCGTCGCCGTCGTCGCGTCCGGTGGGTGAGGACGTTCGCTGCGAGAGGCGATGTCATCGAGAGAGAGATGGCGTGCGACACGCTGGGTTCGTTTCCCTTCAGGTGCGGGAGATGTGGCTTGAGCCTCCAGCGTCCGCGTGCCTATGTCTTGTGAATAGGTGGCTCTGCTGGAGGGCCCGACGTCGGAGGCGGAGCGCGTGAGGACTCGCGTACCAGCCGAGTTCTGCACGGAATGAATTGTCTTCCCACACGTGGTGGAAAAAGGAGAGTCACTTGAAGAGACGAGGGGACGGCTCGTAGATGTGATGAAGGCGCGACCGCGACGCTCCGTCTGCCGCTTGTTCTGGAACCATATCGTGACGGAGCGTGTCTCCCTGTCAGAATATGGATCATGAGCAAGTGCACGAGCAACTAGAAGCATAGCTCCTCCGCGACGGCCGAGAAGCAGCTGTCGAGGAGTGCTACGTACATGTTTCCCTGTTTTGCCACCGCGTCGCGCTGTTCGCGCGTAGGATGCGAGGTCTGGTGGTACAAGTGCTCGAGCATCATCAGCTGGACGTGGGTGAACCGTTTTCGCGTTCGCCGTCCCCCAGTGTCGCAGCCGTCCGTGCACACGACAGTGTCACTGCTCGCTACAGTGTCCATGGATGAAACGCTGGAGGCAGAGTTGGTGCGCGAGAGGCGCGGGACGTCTAGGGGGGCGTTCATGGTAAGCGCGTATGGGATGAGAGAAAAGTCGGGGGAGGGGGGAAAGCGCGGGGAGGGGGTAGCGCGGACTATTTATCTACGCGCATCTCGGGAGTATGCGCGACAGTTGACGCGAGGAAATACACAAACATCGACGCAAGTCGCGTCAGTCACGAGGTCGCGTCACCTCGCGCACACGTGCACAGCGAGCGTGTAAGCGCCTGTAGTAGCGCACGACTTCACCGCCGGCCTTGACGCTGGAATTATTAAAACTGTTGTTGCGTGCCTTCACTGAGAATATGTGGTTGACTACGTTTCAGATACAACTCCCCTCCCTCCCTTTGTTTTGCAAAATACAGCATTACAATCACTCAGCGTCCTCTATGTCCTCGGTGCCCTCTCCAGCATGTTCGACTTGGGCAGAGTCTTCGTCCGCAGTCTTGGACTTCTTACGAGCACGCTCCTCGATCTCGTCGTCATCGTCCCCATTGAATACGCTTGCCTTTCCGTCGTTCTCCCGAACATCTCCGGACGTCTCAGGATCCTCACCATCAACTTCACCTTCGTCGTCATCCGGCAGCTTCCTCTTGGATCCCGCGACCTCGCCAGGCTCAGAAACGTTCTGACTTTTCTCCGTCGAGCGGGTTTCTTGTTCGTCGCCCGTCTCCTTGCAGTTTTCCTCGACGTTCGATGCTTTGGCGCCGTCCTCATTGGCATCGCCTTCGAGCGTCTTGATCGGGTCCTGTCGAGAGCGGTCAGCGACGCACGACATGATTGCCTGCAATGACCGTAGCAGTGCACGATGGACTCACATGGGCCCAATTCTTTAAGCTGATAGTGGTCTACGTCAGCAAAATGGTGAGCGCAGTATAGGAGTATCACTACCTGATCGTGCTCTTTGTGTTCTCTAGCTCTTCCTTCGTCTTCGTCTCCTTCAAATGACCCTCTTGCGCAAGGTGTCTGCCGAGATATCTGCACGCCAAATGTAGATCGTAACCACGCCAAAATACCACTCAATAATCCGTCGTAACATACCCTACGACCTTCCTCATATGCTCGATATCCCCCTGGGTTCCGTTCTCGTCAATAAATCCCAATCCCACCAATCGGACCAGAACGTCTTCACCTCATCGTATTTTTCTGGGTCCTTGTCCGGGTTCTTCTTCAGGATCTCGATGATCTTATGCCCGCTCTCGATACCGACGCCAGTGCCTGCCTTCTCGCTCTTCGGATCGTCCAGCCACTCCTGCAGCTCATCGGCCGTCATGTTGACATGCTCGTTGAACTGCGCGATGACGTCCTCCTTGGACTTGACCATGGCGTTGCGAAAAAGGGGGATCACGCATACGAGGACCGGTACCCTCACATTTTATGATGTGGGCTTGACAGGATGAAGCCTAGTGGATCGCTCCAAGACGCCCGCCATAGCCACCAATTTATCGCCATATGTACTTACGTGGAAGCAGTGGCAGCATCACCGTGACCCTTCTCGTTGTTGATGCTTTCGGTTGATGTAGCGGAATGACCGAGCGACGTATGCAATTATTGTCTGTATGGAACAGTGTGACAATATACGTGGGTATGCTACTGTAACCAATGCGGATGTCCTTGGCGCAGCACGTACATATACATGCTTGACTGTACAACGATCGTGAATATACGTGAATAACGCATCAAACAAAGGAAGTGGTCCGAATGAGGCCTAAGCGTGGTAGAAAACGAGACAACACGGGGAAGATAAGGAAGAGAAAGTTCATTAAATCCACGTCCACACGTAAAGTTCAGTCATTCGTAGCAGCAGGTCATCAATATCCATTCCCATAACCTCCTTGTGGTGGTGCAGCACCAGGCGGAAGGTTGCCATACGGCGATGTCGACGTTCGAGAGTATCGATTCTGCGGCGAAGCCTGCGATGACGCCCTGCGCGCCTGTCTCGACACCCGCCGTACACCCCCGGGACCAGGAACAACTCCGTTGTCTGCCAGACTTACTCCGCGTGACCTAGATGGAGCCGGGCGCGGAGGCGGAGCGAGCGGCATATCTTCTGGGTCCGTCGTGAACGGAACAGCAGGCGAGTCAATGTAGCCACCTTGCTGGCCGTATGGATTGTACGTCTCGCCTACTTGCTGACCCGTAGCGGTACCTTGTCGGAGGACGGCACGCGTGATACGCGCTTGGTAGTCAAGCTGTGCTTGCGCTTGCGAGGGCTGGGCGCGATGTTGGCCAGTGTTCTGCCTTTGAGTGTGCGGCTGCTGCGGGTAATGCTGCTCTTGGTACTGAGGAGCCTGCTGTGGAGTATGAGTCTGTGAAGAGTACGGCGAGGCTTCATAGTCGTCCTGATAATCCGTTGTCGCAGGAGTGGGGACTAGTTTGTGAGCCGATCCGACCTCGGATGTTCCTTCCTCGCTTGAATGAGACACCATATCAGAAGTAGACACGGAAGGAGCCGGCGCAGGCCCTGAATATCGATTCACAGCTAGAGGCGCCGGGAGCATCAGCAGCTGGTTGCTGTCCCTGCGTGGACGTGTGGCTGCCACGTTAGAAGATTCATAGGTTTCCGAATCATATTGCTGTTGCTGCTGGAGCTGCGGATAGTCAGCCGTCGAAGACAGCGACGGTCGTCTACTGTCACTCCTGTTCCTCATAAGTAAGTGCTATGTGTCGCGGAGATGCAAATGCTAAACATACCTCTTTGGCGAGTTCGACCTGTACTCGAAGAATGTCGAATCTCGCGACTGAGTGCCACTCTTCCATCGTCTCTCCCGCTCGAACTCGGCCCATCGTTTCATGACAATATGCGTCGAGTCGAACTCTCCCTCCTTGTCACCGTGATTTTCCGTGCCCACAGTATCACCTGCAACCTGCCTCGTCTGACCCCATGAGAAGTCGTCGAAATGCCAAAATGAATACGACGGAAGGACTCCGTTCCATATTGGCAACGAAAATAGGTAGATGACCATCCAGCCGACATACGACATCTTGAACGAGGTCACCACAATGAGCACACCGGGGAGACCGAGGACAATCGCGAGTAGCACCAGCGGGATGGTCGTGCTGGACTTATGCGGAATGATTGAGTCGACGATAACGTAGAGGGTAAAAGAGATGGCAGCGGGAAGGACGAGCGTCCCAACAAGCTCCATTCCCACGACGAACTGCATTGAGAAGCAGAAGGTACCGCACATATCTCTGACCAGGATGAGCTCCGCGAGGTTGTGGACAGTCGAGTTGATCCAACGACGTCGCTGCGACAAGAGCACGCTGAACGTATCCGGCACGATAGTCTTGCACACTGCGGACGCGCAGAAAATGTTCTTACGCTTCGGGAATGTCTTCAGAAGCAGAGTAGTAAGGTACCGATCCTCTCCAAGCAGCAGCAGGTTCTTCTTGTGCAACGTGTCCACGATGTTCTCCGAATAGTGCTCGACGATATCCGGATTTGCCAATATTGGGACCCAGTATCCAGAATCACCCTTGGGCGCCTTGATGCGGTACATGCTGAAACAACCCGGTAGACAAGTGACGCTGCCGAATGTCGACTCGAATGCCTTGGTCATATGGTGAGAAATGAAGTACTCAAAGACTACGCGAGTTTATCAGTAAATGAGCATAATGAACTGCAAATAATACACGGACCTTGGATCATGGTAACCCAACTCTCGCTCTTGTTCGCGATCTTCGTCTCGCCGCAGATACCCATGACCTCATAGTCCTGCACCATACACGCCACCAGCCTACTTAAAGAGTCCGGGAAGACCTTGGTGTCTGCATCAACGCAGAGCACCACCTCGTACCGATCCGGGCTGATACCGGTGACGCGCCAGATCGAGTTGAAGAACTCGTACTCGAACGTCGTCATTCGCTCGTCAAACATCACCTTCTGAAGGAAGCCCATCAGTACGATCTGTGAGTCGCGCTTGCCGCGATTGCCTGGCTTTGCATCCTTCGCCTCGAGTGGGTTGCCGACTTTCGCAACCAAGATCATTGGGACACGCTGCTGCTTTGAGAGCTCAATAGTCTCATTATCGTAATCATAGAAGCCAGCGTAAACCTTGGCCATGTTATGTCGTTTGTGTCCATCGGCGATAGCTACGTACGAGTGAGCTTCGACCTCCTCCTGCGGGACGATAAGCTCTTTCATCATCGATAGACAGATCTCCGGCGTCGTCATCGAGTTACCTGCGCCCTTGACCATGCCATCAGCAATGACGAGAATGAGCTTGTGACTGTTCGGATAGTCCGTAGTTACGAGAGAGTCGAGCGTGGTCCTGAGGCCCTCGGTGGACTCGGAGTACGCCGTGACAAGGCAGATCGTATGGGCTAGAGGGAAATTGAACGGTTCGTAGTCAGGAGGCGGTTGTGGCACGACATTGTGCAGCGGGAAGGGACAGGGGGTATCCACGAACAGACCGCGCGGCCCTTCGGTGGCGAGCGAGATGGAACTGCGAGAGTGACGATAGCCAGGCGTATCTGGTGTTCCAACTTTAGAAAGGCTCTTCCCGCTGGGCGAAGCATAGACACTGTTCCCGCCTCTCTTGTATGGGATGGGCTCTAGTATACCGTATGCACCCGGGGTACGGATGCCACCCATACCGGGCTTAAACATCGTATCCGACGGTGTAAAGCGCGAAGTGCTCGGTAGGAACGTATTGAGCTTCTTCGTACCCTTGGCCACGCCGTTCTTGTACACATTCGGCCTGTACCCCGCAGGGGCAGGCTTGTAGATATGGTTCGTCCAGTCCTCGATCTCCAGCATGCGTTGTCGACGCTGCTGATATGTCTCGTTGTTGTAGTTCCCGACCTTCGCCGAAATGAACCAGAAGAAGTAGAGCGCGATGGCGAACCGAATGCCGACGACGCCAATGATGAACACCAAGGAGACGTACAGCACGACTTGGGAGGCTATACACCCGATCGTCTTCGTGTCAATGAAGCCAACTTTGATGATCTGCTCCAGACATTGGCCGAGCTCCCGCTCGTTTGTACGCATGAAAAACATCGAAAGATCCCTTCCACTGAATGTGCTGTTCCCCGTCTTGAACTCGTCGAATATCGACGGGTAGCTCACTTCTGACGAATTAAGCCAGTTCAGCAAACCGAAGTCCAGTACTGATCTGATTGATTCGATTAGCCAAGCTCTCGTTCCACCATACACACTACTCACTGCTCATAAACAACCAGATTGCGCGACGGATCAGCAAGGTCACTCCACGTGTAGTAAACTTCACCCAAGGGCGTCATGGCTGCCAGATCCGACCTCGCTGTGGACGAAAGGTGGCATGTTGTGTTGGAATCATAGTCTGTCAAGTTGACAGTCGAAGAGCCATCTTGAGGGAAGGCGTTGCACGGGAAGTACCAATCCGGGTCCTTCGTAGTGCCGTTAATCGACGAGTTGGCGGCCTTCGTGATATAGCTCGAACAATACCCGCCCGTGGTCTGGAACATGAACGAAATATCCGCGCCCGCGACATGCCAGCCGCCTACATCCAGCGGATTCGATGTGCCATCAAAGTTCCCTACTTTCGGGTGCTTGAAGTCCGAGAAGTCGTAATCATAGCCATGGATGATCACCGACGCGTCCTGTATCGAGCCGGCGTGGTAGCGGTTTGGCGGCGTCCCGCAGACCGTCTCAGTGAAACCAAAAGTGATAAATCCGACTGCGGCCATGAGCGCCAGGATAATTCCGATGAGACCTATCTTTTCACGCCATGCGCGGATTTGCTCGGGCGTACGAATACCTAGAGTACAAACCTACATGAGATGAAATGATCCACTATACTTGTCTGTGGGCCTCACCAAATAGTCTGAGTAGGGGCGGCGGAACTAGACACGTTATAATGAAACAGTACATAAACCATGGCCCCTTAGGGCCAGGCCCTAGTCTGTCCATACAGGTCCGCTTGGGCGTGCTGTCTGGCTCTGGGACCTTCTTGCGACGTTGTGTCTGTCCTCTTTTGAACAAGGCAAGACCCGACTCGTGCACGTCCTCTTCTCGCCCAAGGAGCGACTTCCCACGCCGCAGAAGTTGCGTCTGAGGCACATTTCCGGTTGCTGAGGAACGCGGAGAGAACGAAAAAAATGGTATGGCAGCCATACAGTCCACGTTGCACGGCGGGTCGCAGGAGCAACGAGATCAGGAGACAAGCGTGAGTGAGGTCCATGTGGTGAGACCCAAGCGACAGCAATGGAACCAATGCGATGAGGCGCATGTTGAAAGGCAGTGCACCGAAAACCGTTAAAAGACAGACAACGCATATTAGGCATTACGAGGATGTCGGAAGTAAGCAGTGGCCAGGTGTATGCATAGAATGGACGGGTTTTGCAAATTAACAGCGACGAAGCATGAGGTGACGATTCGGAGCGGGAAGCAGCAGGAAATGCAGAGTATCATCAGAATCGAGTATATGCGCCGCGAGGAAATATACGCACTAGATGGGATGGCATTTCCACCACCTTCGTCCTCCATCTGAGCTGCATGGTTCCTATAGTGGTACAATCTGTGTCCCGGCTCGATTTTCTCCCTGTCAGGCCTGACCAGACTCTTCTTCCTATTCACCGCAGTGTCCACTCCACCCGCTTCTGCAAACCCGGGGTCTGGGGGCGACTGCACCTGCGTGTGGTGGTACGCCGTGTACGCCCTCTGACGCTCCTGGTCGACAAGGCCATGCCTGTCGCCGCTCTCCTTCGTCTGGAAGGAGATGTTGCGCGAGAGCTCCGTCGAACTGGTCGGCTGATGGTACGAGAGGTACGGCTGCTGGTCGAGCGCCGGGGGCGAAGAGGGGGAGGAGGGCGAGAATGGCGGCGGACGCGCGGAGCGCGGCGGACGTTGGCCACGACGATCCATTGTTGACTGGGTCGGCGGCGAAAGCGTCAGCGCATGCGAGGCGTCGTGAGGAGGCGGGATGGAGGTCGAGTAGAACGTGAGAGTAGGATGGGGAAAGACAGCTCGCGGCCCAATCACTGCCAGCCATCCACACTACGTATTCACGCATATCTAACTTGTAAACATTTTGTACGTAATCCTTGTAGTGGCTCACACACGGGTTCACAGCTGTTTCTACAACTGAGTTGTCTAGACACAAGGAGCAAAGCGCTTCGACCGACCACATCGGAAGAGGGTTTCCGCGCTCAGGTGGACTGGAAAACGCTTTGAACACGCGACCGAGGTCGCTCAAGGATCTGCTCCATGACCGCTGAACTCGAGCTTTACCCTTCCTATTGCGCAGCAGATTCTTTGCATTGATGCACATTCAGTTATCCAGGAACGCGAGTAACTATCTCGGATGCGAAACGGAATGCAAAAAGCCGCCTCTTCCTGGGCATGCAGATGGGTTTCTCAGCGCGAGAAGCAGCGACATGACCTGACAAGCGTGCACGAAGTTGAAGCGCTGATTCGCTACGGACAGGCGCGGCAGTAGACACTACCATATTTATATGAGGTCCAAGAATAAGCCATGTAGCTTCAGTAGTGCGGCATCAGATACTCATCAAACACTGGCAGATACAACCAATACAACTGAACGTCTTCATCATACAATCATCTATAGCCCCGTCCCCGGTAGGCCGCCTGCGCACTGCGGAGTGGAACTCCATTGGGTATCAAAATGACCGTCATGCGACTATGTCGCTGCGTCGCCACGATGAGTGAATGGCGGGGAGCAGCGGGACTGCCCGATGTGCGTCCACGTGTGTCCTGGACCCGGTCTACATCGGCTTGCAGGGTAGCTGGGTCAACAGAATGCCATAACGTTTTTTGATCGTCACGCGGTGTCGCGAGAACTTGTCGTCAGGCGAGAACCTCGCTACAAACCGAAAACTCAGTACAGACTTCGCTATGTAGAGGGAAGACGAGGAAGATGCGCACCTGGGTGAGCAGACTTGGTGATCTTGCCCGAGTCTGTGATTTTCTGAACGAATGGTCAACACCCCCAGAGGGAAGACTAGACAGCTGTTTGCCCACCTTGAGGGTATACTCCCTGTTGCCGTTCTCATCAAGCGTGTACATGAGATGCATGGTGGCTGAGCGCAGACAACGGCGTGGGTGTTCGGGAAATTTGCCGACGTTATCAGCGTCAAATCCACGATTAACCTAATTGGCTTATCTTATCTTATCGAAATATGGGTCCGTGTAGGTCCTGGTGCTCACAATGTTCGCCTTTCTTCCAACCGAACAGATTAATTGCTCGATGTCATACCTATGTTATCAAGCGTTGTAGCCGTCTTAGACTCCTTCAGTCATTCTGATATTCTTCCAGTGCACGATTGGCCAAATGGAGCCGGTATGAACTGTTAGGCGCTGATTTAGAGTAGCTCCCTTGACCTCGTCTATCAAGTTGCTTGTTGTCGTCTAGATCCTCTGCGCGGCCCTACATTTCCACACATCGATGCGCTTCGTTCAGGGGATACAGACATCATGAGGTGTACTTATATTCATATAAGAGTGTTCTACTGTCTGGGTACGCGGAGATGATCACCAAGCTTCTTAATCATGCCTTTCATAAGCCACAGCTGTATATCGGAGGAACTTCATTACATGCGAGTCCAGAATGAACTTCATCTTAATAGAGTAAAGTCGGGGTGCTTAGCGCTGATGAGCGAGACGGTTGATCGGTGTACATAGTACATGCATGGGGCCAGCCAACATTCCACCCATCCTAGCTGCAGTTGTTGACGAAGGCACAAAGGATCATCGACTTCCATGGCGACAAAACACAAGGAGGTTTGGGCGTGTTGATCTCGGAAGATATCAACACCGGGTTCAACGTCTCCGTAAGCACCGGCGTAAGCGACCAATATGGCGACCGGAGCCCTTGCTCCCGCACCCATCGCGCATGACACCCGTATGCTGACCAGGGCGCCTTCATATTGTCCTTGGCTTACCTTCAGCCGCGTTCTGACTGTGCTGCTGCCATTTTGACCTCCAACTCGCACCTTCCGTCTGCAAGTTGGCTCGATGATGGCGAAGACAACGACGGTGATCAAGGCTCATGCACCAGGCCTGCAGATCGGGCCTGTGCGAACGTATACTGAGGAGCAGCAGCGCATGATTAGCGCGTTACGAAAGGTGCGTGTCGACAAGTGTCGACGCCCACACCTGCCAGTGCAAGCCACCGTACTGCGCGTCGCTGATCTATTTTTGCGTGTCTCCCATTTCACTGAATCTAGCACGCGGAGACGCTGCGTCTGCCCGAGTCCGACCCGTATGCCGAGTGGGAGCTGCGGTGGCTCGACAGATGGGACACCATCCCGCGCTACATGCGCGCTGCGAAGTGGAATCTGGACGATGGCAAGAAGCGCATCAAGGGCACGATGGAGTGGCGAAGAGAGTTCAAGCCGGACCTCATACCCCCAGAGGAGGTCAGGATCGAAGCCGAGACGGGCAAAATGTGCGCTGACCTTCCTATTACTTCACATTCATGAACTAAACTGATATGAAATGCACGCATACGCAGCATTCTGAATGGGTTCGACAACCAAGGCCGACCCATACTCTACATGCGGCCCGGACGCGAAAACACAGAGACAGGTCCCCGCCAGCTACGGCACCTCGTTTGGTGGCTGTATGTCCCGTCCCGCTCCTCTCCGTCCCTCTGACACGCGCATCCCCACAGAGAGCGTGCAAAGGACTTCATGCCGCCCGGCCAAGACTCGCTCGTTATCATCGTCGACTACAAGAGCACAACGCTCCGCACAAACCCATCCATCTCCGTCGCGCGAAAGGTCCTCACGATCCTCCAGCAGCACTACGTCGAGACCCTCGGCCGCGCGCTCGTCGTCAACCTCCCCATGATTCTCAGCTTCTTCTACAAAGGCATCGCGCCGTTTCTCGACCCCATCACGCGGGACAAGGTCCGTCTTATCTCTCTTCCTTGTGGGAAGGAGAACAACTGGCGAACGCCTTGTGAATCTTAGATGCGCTTCAACCCTGACCTGTACGAGCTCATCCCGAAGGAGCAGTTGGATGCTGACTTTGGAGGCGAATACGAGCTCGAGTACGAGCCGCGGAGCTACTGGGAGCAAATAATTTCGTGCGTGCCCCATTTCCGGCCTTCACGTTCGCCATCCCTGACAGGCACTCCCTAGGCATTGCGGCATAGCGCCCGACGGCACACGAGTCCAGCGACATGCTGAGCAGGGTTCTTCCTCAGAACAGGTATTCTCGGGTCCCACGGAGACAGACAAGAAGCCAGATTCCAACTCAAATAGTGAAGACGATACCGATGAGCAGGATATTCTGTAAGTCCAGGTTCACCTCACTGCAGCGTCGCCTTCCGACACGCTCTTCAGCGAACGGGAAGCCAACGAGACCAATATGGCCGAGATGCCAGAAGAGGTCATCGTTGCAGCATGATCTGATATCCCGGTTCCAGCGTATTTATATCGAGGCGACTCTCACACCCAGCATGCTGTGGGCTGTGCCTTATAGACTATAGAGCAGCATGATACCATAGACCTGGCTAATCACACACGTTTCTCACATCGGGCTCTGCGTCGCCGGCTCTCCTGGGAACTCTGTCTCTCGCATCTAACATTCAAGCTTCAAGGGAATGTTGTAGATTGCAATATACAGTAGCCTACACTCGTCAGAGGACGATATATGAGATGTAACAAAGCAATCCGGGGAATCAGCGATGCGGATACGTTATGTGTACGACCATTGCAAGAAACGTTAGGTAGTGGGCGTATCGATGTGTATGCATATGCGAGCATCGTGGAATGCAAGAATGGAGATGTGCAACAGGGAGTGACAGCGAATGGGTATGATATATATATAACATACGAACGAGCGAGTGATGTGTGCAGCACGGGAACCCCGCGCGTGGGCAGACGGTCGGTATCCTTTCCTGTATGCTGCATAATAACGGTTATTCATGATGTCAAGAAACGAGAGAACAAGCCATGATGCTGTTGAGATGAGATGGATGAACAAAGAAAAAGACCCGAGAGAAAGAGAAAGAGAGTAAGGCGAGCCCTCGTCGCTCTAAATGCGAGCCAGACTGATTGATAGTCGTAAAGCCTCTCAAGCCGGTCGCCCATTCGACCGCCAGCTTGATGGCGGAGGCGCCATGCGTCGTGGCCCTTCAGCATAATCGGACGACTGCCTGTCTCCAGACAAATTCGGCGCAGTCTTCGTCCTCGGCCGTGGCCCCGGCCTTTGCTGCTGCTGCTGCTGCTGTTGGTATTGCTGCTGCTGGCCACTTGTCGGCAGCGGCGGAACGGGGAATGGATGGCTCGATCCCCTGAACATCCCCGGGCGCTCGTTCCCAGCAGACGGGTCGCCATACGCACTGCGCGAGCCCCAGCCTGAACCGATGCCGGAGGTCCGCGGGCCAACACCGACCTCGCTACCTGCATACATTGACTGCGCGCTCGTCGGGAACATCATCGGGCCCGGCCACCCAGGCTGCATCATGCCCATATTCGCCATGTTGCCCATGCTGCCCATCCCGTTCATCCCGCCGTAGCCTGCAGGCCCACTGAACATCGGCGCGGGCGGATACGCGGCCCGACCATGCATGCCCCCGAGGACACTAGCGGCGGCGGTCGATCCGCGCTCCCACTCTTCCTCCGCGGCGGCCATCGCCTGCTGCGCGACCGCCATCTGGTACGCCTGCTTAGCTACAAGCATCGCTTGGTTGTGCGCGGCGAGGTACGCGCCATCCGCGTTTGGAGGTACCATCGGATACATGTACTGCTGCGGGTTGAGCATCCCAGGCTGAGGCTGCTGCCAAGACATGGGCGACGACGCGGACATATTCATGGGCATGGACATGGACATGTTCATTGGCATGTTTGTTGGCATGTTCATTGGCATGTTCATCGGGATGTTCGTTGGCATGTTCATTGGCATGTTCATGCTCATCCGCGGAGGCATATTGTCCAGCGGGACGTCATCGTCACCGTCCCCGTCATCCGCAACTGAACAACCATTGACTATCTTCCCAAGCTGAAAAGTCGCGCATATATGAGCTCGCGAGACGTACTTAGTAGACAGCAAACCAACTCACCTCGAGAGCAGCCAACGTCTCGCTCCGTCTCCGCTCCTTCCTCTTACTCTCCTTCACCTCCGCCAACCTCCCTCTCTCCTGTTCCTCCATCGTCGCGCTCGTGCTCTTCCTATGCACCTTCCTCACCCCCTGCCGCTCTCGCTCTCGCTCCTTCTCCCTCTGTCTCCCTCTATCCGGCGCATAGCCCACTTCACTCCCGTCCAGAGGAGTAACCGGCGTACGCCCGCTACTCGACTCGCCCGTCGAGCTCGCAGGGCTATTCCCACGAAACCCTCCCGCGAACGGCTTCACCGGCGGCGAGTTAAACGCGGTCATTTTCATATTCATGCTCAGGCTCGCACTCCCTGCTGTGCCCGCGCGTGCACGGCCAGTACCAGTCGTGCTCTGGAACTGCACGGGAGGCGGGCCCGTCGAAGCGGACGCGCTCGACGACACAGATGACGTCGAAACATGTGATGGGAAGCTCTTCTCCATGAACGGGCGCACAGGCACTGGCGCCGTGGTCGTACGTGCATTAGCGATCGTATTTTGCTCCGTTATGGCTGACCGGCGGCGCGCACGAGCGGATGAGCTCACAGAAGCCGACGAAGCTGACACGGCTGACTGGCCTGCACCGGCAAGCAAACCGCCGCCTGTGAATCCTTTCGGACGGTGTGCACCGTTGTCCGGGATGAGCGGAGCGCGCGACTGGATTGATTGATCTCTGCCACCATTTCCACTAGCCTGTGACTCCGGACGAGCAGCAGACGCTGGGCGATCCACAAACCCGATGCGAGACGCGGGAGAGACGAGGTCGTCCCTTAATTCAACTGTACGCATCCTCGGGCTCTTCGACGGTGGGAGCACTGGATCATCTCTCAATTCCACCGCACGCATCCCCGGGCTCTTCGACGGCGCAGGCACTGGGTCATCTCTCAACTCCACCGCACGCATCCCAGGGCTCCTTGCTAGCATCGGCACAGGATCATCGCGCAACTCGACTTTCGCCGCGGGGCTTTGTGAGCGCATGCGCGGAGGCAGCTGGTACGCCGAAATGGGCATGGGATCATCGCGAAGCTCAATGCGAAGCGCAGGCGACTGCGAACGCATACGCGGCGGGAGAACGTACGCCGAGTTGGGCGGGGAGGGAGGCGGGGAGGGCGGGTCAGAGTCAGAGTCGGCGGAGATACCTGGAGACGGGTGAGATTCCAGAACTGGGTGATCAGGCTTGTTGGTCGCGGTTGCGCTCGTGCTTGTCGCGGTTGTAGACGCAGACATAATCGTCGTCGCGACCGTACTCGTGCTGGCACCCGTGCTAGAGCTCACAACCGACAGAGCATGCTCCTCCCTCGCTCTCTGCATTCCCGCCTGGTTCTGCCCCTGGCTCACCTGGCTCGCTGGGCGGCTCATCACGCTGAACGCAGGCGGAGGCGTGCGCGTCCGTATCGGCGTAGGGACGATCGGAGTCGGATCGGACAGATCCTGCACGACTCCTTCACCCATACCTAAGGCGACGGCGCCCGTAGAGAGCGAACGCGCATTGTGCTTGCGCGGAGAAGGAGGTGCAGGTTGGACAGGCTGGATGTGAGAGATCGTCAGGGAAGTGAGCGTGGGCGCGGTAGAGCTGGCTGTGGAGGCTGTTCCTGACCCGCTGGAGGGCGGCGCGAGGAAGTCCATAGGGGCGGTCTGCGAGCGTTTCGGTTGTCTCCCGCCTTCCTCGTCTTTCTCCTTATCTAACTGCAGGTGCGGATGCAGATGCGGCAAGTGCGTCCCGCGCGCGGCTGCGACGCTTTGTGCCAGCCGCGAGAGGCGGTCGTTCAAGGTCGGCTTTGCGTTTGCGCTGGAGGTGCACACGGGCGACACGGGGCTCCTCTCTTTCTCTGCATCCTTCTCGCTCCCCACTGCCTCTGATATCTCCACCTTCACATAATCTCTCTCCGTCTCCGTCTGACTGTCTCTCTCTCCATCCCTCCGCCTCTGCCTCTCCATCAACTTCTCTCTTTCCTTTTCCCTCTCCCTCTCCATCTCCCTCTCTCTTTCCCGTTCCCTTTCCCTTTCGCGTTCTTTTTCTTTCTCCTTCTCCTTCTCTCTCTCCTTCTCTTGGTCCTTGCCTTTGCCCTTGCCTGCCTCTATCCTGTCCCATTCCAACGTTGGCGGGGGTGCTAGCCCGCCCAAGTCAATTAGGGGCTTGGGCTTGCTCAAGGTTCGCGCCCTCGAACCCGCCGTCCCAGAGGAGCCATTCGACACCGCGCTCCCCGGCCTTCGAGGCGGGACAAGGCTGGCCAGGGGTGCGTCGTCCGAGTCCTCAGAAGAGGAGTCGCTGGACATGGACGAGTTCGATGTGCAGTCGGTGCGTGCACGGGCTTTGCCCTTGGCTTTGGACGCGGACGTAGAAATAGGGGAGGAGGCAATCTTGGGTGAACCAGTGGAGGGAATGGGCGGCACCTGCGCGCCTGCGGTAGGATCAGGCGTATACATTAGTAAAGGGATTAAGTTATGAAGCGCGGCAAAAGCGCGGAAACTGACCTGGGCTGGCGTTGGCGGCAACGAGCAAGGATGCACGCTTTGCTGCGGCATTGGGCATCAGCGCGCTCGTCGATTGTGACGCTCGCGCACGCAGGCTCTCACGTCCGCTCGCTGAGCTCTGGTTTGAGGCAGAGGGCGTTATTCTCGGGACAGGGGTATTTAGACCACCGCGAGGTGTTACGGTGCCATTCGTGTTGACGCCATTGTTGCGCCCTGGGCGCAGTGTCGACGAACCCGCAGACTTGCCATCTCCATCTTCGTCCTCCTCCGTCGAGCCGCTCGTATTTGAGCTAGTAGCATCCGTGGAAGACGATGCAGGCGTCCGTGAGACGCGCCGTCCTGCAGCGGAGCCGAGAGACTTTGGCTGGGGAAACATAGAGGGCGGGCAGAGGAAGGGCGAGCCATCAGAGGGCGGGGACGGCGAGTTCTGTGCGCTGCGACGGGCGGCCATTTCGCGGAAAGCAGCGACTGAGATGCGCTGAGACGAGTCGACGGAAGAAGCGATGCTGTTGCCACGGGTGCGTTGCGGCGGTGTGAGGCTAGTGCGAGACGCGGAGAGCGCAGAGGGGGTACGGAGGGGCTGTTGCTCTGGGACAGGGGGCGGAGACGGGGAGACGGGCCGGACATGACGGAAGGACTTGAGATTGAACGAGTCGTCTTGGCTGCTGGGGACAGGAAGCTCGGAGGGCGCGGGGAGCTTGGACTTTTTGCGGTCCCGATGCGCCCAGGCGAACATCCCTTTGGACTTTTTGCCGCCGGTCGCCGACGCGGGCGTAGACATGGATGGGTTCAGGCTGGAGTCATCACGCGAAGGGACGCGCGAGTGGGCAGGGGAGGTAGGGGTGTTAGGGAGGGAGTGGGTTGAGCGGAGGCCTGCAATTTCGCCGTATGACGCGAACAGCTCTGCACGAGAGGGAGGGGGCCCGAGGGCGTCGTGGCCGCTCTCGGACTTGGAGGACGAGAATCGAGGCGATTTGGTGAGCTTGGAGGGGGCACGATGCGCATGCGGTGGGCAGAGGAGGCCATTGTCGTCTGCTACATGCTTCTTGGAGCGGAAGGGGAGCATGAGTCTGCTGGAGGAGGCGACCTGGCTGGCAGCGGGGTGGGGGTGGGTGTATATGCTGGCGGTGTTGCTCAAGCTGGGCTGGAGGGAGTGTTCAGAGCGTTCGTCGTCGTCGGTGACGGTGGAAGCGGAGGCGGGAGTGGGGGCGACGGCGGGGTCGTTGGAGGCGGCGTTGGAGGAGCGGTGGTGGGACGGCTTGTCCCTGCGGGCGAATATGCCCAGGAGGGCCATGGTAGGGAGAAAGAGCGTTGAGTGCAGAGCGGTGACGCCTGTGGGATGAGCCTGCTGTTGTTGTGCGCTTGTTTGCCTCGCTCCGGCCCTTTCTCGGCCTTGATCATACCATCAATCCTCTGTACGTCCTCATCATTGCCCCGCTCGACACCTCCCTCGCCTCCGCCTCGTCTCTTCATCACCGTCGACATCCCCGACGACGCCAGACACGATGCGCTCAGCACGCGCACGGCGGCGATGCCTAACCTTGTCTTCCCAGGCCATCCCATCTTAGCACGCTCTCGCGGGACCCCCAACTGCCCCCGCCGCGCATCTCTCCCACCGCGCACGTTGCCATCCTCGAGGTTGCTTGTCCATCTCTCCCACCTGGATTCCGTTCTATCGCCTGCTTCCATGTGCACGCCCGCGAACAGCACTAGAGCTGACTAGATAATTTGGGCTCGGACGGCGTCCCATTGATCACGCCTTTAATGTGCGTCTCTGCATTAAATGGCCTCAGCCGCCGTTCTACCGCGCCTCAAGGCGAGTCGCAGATGGATTCGCGCCGCGCCAAGCATGCCGGCGGGCAAAGCCTTGCCAGTCGACCTCGTCTCAATATCAGAGGTACCCGTACGCGCGCACCCGACCTCGGTATACTCCCGCTATGTTTTCGCAGATCGCTTCAACGGTATCACCCAGAGTCTCCGGATATTCATTTTACGGCGCCCGGCAAGAGCTATAACTTGCAGATTCCCATCTTTCTTGGCAACCATGCCTTCTCCACTTTGTTCGCTTATCCAATCGCTTGGGCCGAAACTCCCGAACTGTGGCGCAGCGCTTACCACCTTCCCCGCATCGGCGCGACGACGTCCATCGCGGATCGTCGTTTTCCCTACATACTCAGAGTTCATGCGTGCGAGTCTTTATTACGTCTCGCGCCAGACGCGCCATTTTGCTGCAACAGACTTTGATCATCCTCATCGGCGGATCCTTTTGCTGTATGGAACAACGTGCGTACATCGCTGCTTACTCCGCTAGTGAGCATATGCCTGCCGTGCTCCCTTTGCTAATCGTACCGCTACTTCGAGCTGGCACGTACCCACGAAGTCCAGCTCAAATTCATAGCAGGCTTCTATCCAGCTGGCCAATGCCGGGCGTGCCGAGGATAGCTTCCGGCGTACACAGCGGACTCATAATCCTGGCTCGTTCTTTTCGGCTCCCACCTCTGTACCTTGCTCTCTCCCACCTTCGAGACTTCCCACTTGCCTTTACGATCTCCCGCTCTCGAACGCTGTGGTATCGCGCCTGTCATCCCAAATGCCGCCGTCAAGGACAAGAAGGCGTGAGCCCGAGGGACCATTGCTATGCATACACCAACGTGCGCCATTTGTTCGAAGGATGATTTCCTTATAGTGACTGGTCGTTGCTTTCAGACACTTCCGAAACTAACAGATGCTCAGCCACCAACAGCAAAAAGTCGCTGTGTCTTCATATCGATTGCTCCAATGATCTTAAAAGCCGCGTTCTCGTTCATGGCTAGCCGTGACTCCATTTGTCGGCTGGTCTTCGTTCCGTGACACCTGTCATTTCCTACTGTGCACTCGATATCGAACGCAAACGTTCCTTCCAGATCTCATCCGATATGTTTATCGGCGCGATCGAACGTGCGTGCACTGCTTTAGTATCCTGCGAGATGGCGATAGAGCTCATAATAGTCAGCTGATCCACAAGGCATGGCCGGACGATGTCCACTCGCCGAATTTGTGGAAGTGACATTCCCCTTCATATTCTCGGTGAGCCCGCATCTGCGTCGTGATTGCGTCCCACATCTTTCAACCGAGGGTTTCGTGATTGTTCGTCCGGTGCGACTTTCCTCCACTATCGACGACCGGTTGACGACTGCTTGGTTCGTATGGGTGGCTTTGGGGGCAAACAAGTCGTTAGGCGCCGAATGACTCGAAGCTCTGGGAGCCACCCATATGTGCCGATTGGCGGCTTGCGGATCGTTGGGATGTGGTTGGAGAAGTGTCCGACTGTACGGATGCCCAGGGCTTTGATACATTTAAATGCGAGTTACCAGTGTGGTTCGGCAGGGCTGCAGTTATTGCAAGCCTATTTCGATTTTCGTGGTGTGTATTCAGCGATAGCCCAAATTTGATCGATGTGTTTGTTGATGTATGGAGTTCCCTGCTCAAAGTATCTTTTTCTGGCAAAAGGGACGAGTGCCTGAGTGCCTGAGCACCTGAGCCTCGGTTAACTGAGCGTCTGCCACGCGGAGCGGAGAGAAGTGTAAGAGAATGCCGTGTGAAGCGCACTGCGACTCGACGCGCTCTGCCCTCCCCGCTAAGAGCGAGGAATTGGAACAGTATTTGATGGATAAAGATCGGGGAAGAAATGGGTCCATTGGGGCCAGTGGAAGCAAACTGCGATGTACAGCCTGCTCCTGCTTCACTCGATCACGATATAGCGCCCACGACATTCCCACATGTCTCGCGGCGTTAACCACGTGACTCTCTAACGTACGCTTTAGGAAATTCAGAGCGATTTAGCTTTGTCGCTCAAACGCCTTTCGCCCGTCATCGTCTGCGCAGTTCAGACATCTACGTGGTGGTACATAGAGAGACATTTCATAAGGCGGTATAATTACGCTGCGCGGTACAGGTCTCAAGAACTATTGATAACGATAATCGACGCAGGAGGGATCGAGAGCCGATATCAGGGATGCGGTTCATGCCGTAGAGTCAGAAACTGCCGCCTTGATGAGCTCCTGCAGCACGCACGGTGCCGGGCTCAGCGACGCGGTGGATGGCAAGACGGATGAGGAGACGCACCTCGAGAGCACCCGGGTTGGCGCCTACGAGATCCTTCAGCTTCTGGCCGTTCTTGAAAGCTATGAACGTAGGCATCTGCGGTCCCGCGGCGGGGCATCATTCCGCCGTCCTTTCGCGCGCAAAGCAGTCTGAGGAATACGTACCGCGCGGATGCCGACCTCCTGGGAGATCTGCTCCTGGGCGTCGACATCGACCTTGTAAAAGTCGACGGCGGTGTACTCCTCGGACTCGGAGAGCTTCTCGAAGACGGGCGAGATAAACCTGCACGGACCACACCACTCCGCCCAAAAGTCAACCACGGAGACCCTGTTGCTGTTGATCTGCAGATCGCGCAAGATGTGTGCCCGTCAGCGGCGCTCTTGACTAGACGTCGGTGAGTGCCACTTACGATGGTGTGGAACTGGTCGAGCGAGTTCACGACGGTCACGGTCATGGCGAGCGAGATACAAGTCAGGTAGGGATGTAATGAAGCGAAAGAGGACAACCGCAAGTCTCAGGCGGGTTTGGGGCTTGCAGGTCGACGAGGACGAGCTTTTTAACGGCGCACACTCAGGGAGACTCAAATCGACTTCTGACTCGAGAACCTCCTTTTTGACTTGTTCTTGCTGGTATTTGCCTATACAAGAGAATAACTTCACGATCAGAAGCCTCCAGCCGAGAAAAAAGTTCAAAACAAGAAGGTTTTGAGACTTTCTCGAGCTTACGGTCTTTTTTAGTGACGGCAAGCGAATAAAAGTGTCCTAAGGCGGATTTGAGGTCTCCTGATGAGCCTGTTTGCGCAAAACAAGAATGTTCCGAGACTTTCTCGAGCTTACTGTCTTTTTTTTTAGTGATGGCAAGCGGATAAAAGTGTCCTAAGGCGGATTTGAGGTTTCCTGATGCTGTATGCTTTTGGTGCTCAATGGCTTGCTGACATTCGGTCGCTTCCTCCTGTGTACTCAGTATCGAACGCAAATGCTCCTCTCCAGATCTGAACCGATATCGTTATTGGTGCGATCGAATGTGCGTGCTATAATGTCCTGCGAGATGGCGAAAGCTCATATAGTCAGCTGATTCACAACGCAGGGCTGGACGGTATTTTTGCATCGGTGTCGCACATCTTTTAAGCGAAGATTTTCGCGATTGTTCGTCTGGAGCGATTTCACCTCCACTATCGACGTCCGGTTGATGACTGCCTTTGTATGGGTGGCTACTGGGGTGAACAAGCCATTGGAGGCGAATGACTCGAACCCTTGGGAGCCACCCATATGAGCCGCTTGGCGGATTGCGGACCGTTGGGATGTGGTTGGGCGAGTGTCCTGATTAAGGATGACTGCACGGATACCTAAGGCTTTAGTGCTTTGAAATGCGAGCGACCAGCGTGGTCCGCAGGGCTGCAGTTATTGCTAGTTATTGCGAGCCTATCTCGGTTCTCGTGGTGTGTATTCAGCGATAGCCCAAATTTGGTCGATGTGTTTATTAATGTATGGCATTTCCCACCACAAATGTGTTTTCTCTGGCAAAAGGGGCGAGTGCCTGGGTACCTGAGCACCTGAGCCTCGGTTAAATGAGTGTCTGCGCGGAGCGGAGAGGAGTGTGTGAGAGTGTCGTGTGAAGCGCACTGCGACCGACGCGCTCCGCCCTCCTCCGCCTAAGAGCGAGGAATTCGGAACAGCATTTACTGGATAACGATTGGGGCAGAAGTGGGTCAATTGGGGCCAATGGATGCAAACTGAGTGCGATCGACGGCCAGGCTGATCTGCACCACTCGACCACGATATTGCGGCATTCTGAATAAATATATAAGTGATTTTTGTCATACATTTGTATAACTACTGCGCAACAAGCCATATTGTATGCGCATATATCACCCTCCCTTCTCCGCATTGACCTGCGAGTTTAAGCAGCTCAAGGTACTGCATTGAGATCTGGATAGCGCCCACGCGTGGACCGCGGCGTTGACCACGTGACCTTTAGAGTACGCTTTAGGAAATTCAGAGCGATTAGCGTCGTTTTCGCCGCTCAAACGCCTTTCGCCCGTCATCGATAGAGTCTGCGCAGTTCGGAGATCTACGTGCAGTATGCCCATGGTACATAGAGAGACAATTTCATAAGGCGGTATAATACGCTGCGCGAGACAATTCTCAAGACTATTTATAACAATAATCGACGCGGGAGGGATGGAGAGCCGATATCAGGGCAGCGGTTCATGCCGACTTGACTGCCTTGATGAGCTCCTGCAGCACGCACGGCGCTGGGCTCAGCGACGCGACAGATGGCGAGACGGACGAGGAAACGCACCTGGAGAGCACCCGGGTTGGCGCCTACGAGGTCCTTCAGCTTCTGGCCGTTCTTGAATGCTATGAAGGTAGGCATCTGCGATCCCGCGGCGGAGCATCAGCACACCGTGTTTTCGCGCACAAAGCAGTCTGAGGGGGTACGTACCGCGCGGATGCCGACCTCCTGGGCGATCTGCTCCTGGGCGTCGACATCGACCTTGTAGAAGTCGACGGCGGTGTACTCCTCGGACTCAGAGAGCTTCTCGAAGATGGGCGAGATAACCTTGCACGGGCCACACCACTGCGCCCAGAAGTCAAACACGGAGACCCTGTTGCTGCTGATCTGCAGATCGCGCAAGATGTGTGCCCGTCAGCGTCACTCTTCCTCCGGAGCAGGCGTCGGTGAGTGCCACTTACGATGGTGTGGAACTGGTCCACCGAGTTGACGACGGTCACGGTCATGGCGGGCAAGATACAGGTCAGGTAGGAATGTATGAAATGAAAGAGGGCAGCCGCAAGTCTAGGGCGGGTTTGAAGCCTGCAGGTCGGCGAGGACGAGCTTTATAACGGCGCACAGTGGCTGTCCAAGATCAGATCGCGCCATTCGTCACGTGGGGGTGACAAATGGGCGCCGTCGTCGCTCTAGACGGTGGGGAGCGCTATGTTATCCCCGCCAGCGCCCTCTAATAGAAGTGCCCGGCACCGACGCCGATGGCTCTGCTTGGTCATCGATGATGCTCGCCACCCGCAGCGTGCGTGAATCCGTTGTCAAAAGTGACCTCGTTGCGCCCACGATGTCGACTACTCGTCTGTGCACCCCAGGATCGTCGCAGGTGTGCGCCTGGCCGACCCTGTCTGGAACGTCGCTAAATGCACCTTTGAATTGAATCCTGAGGTCAGTGGTACAGCAGAGCGATGCTACTAGTGTGGAACGATCGTATGGCTGACCTCTATGCGCTGCCAGATCCGTGTTCTTGCGGGGAAGCTGGCGGCCGTGGTTTCGTGGCACCGCCTTCATTTTTAGTATTCATCTGAAACACTAATGTATCTTTCCTGCGGAATGGTCGTCATGCTCAAGCCCGACCTCTCCGCTTGCTCTTGCCCCGCTTGTGGCCAGCCAGTGAAACTTCCTCGTTCTCACCGCGTCTGTGGTTCAACGGTCTCAGTCTCCACCCCATCGCGCTCTTGCGTTTCCTCCTCTGCGCATGTTCATTTACCCACCTAAATGTTGGTGAGCAGCGACTTACAACGCATATAGTGACCTCACATTTTCAGTGTGCCGTGGAAGGCGAGATGATGGGAGCCATTCCCCGCTGGGCCCAGCTGCGATTCTGTCACGTTCAGGAGCGTGGATAAACGAGGAAGCCCTGAACAGATTATATAAGATGGCAAGAATCTTGCGCAGTCTAATAGACTTTCGTCGCGGAGCTTGCCCTTCAGAGGGTTTACGGCATTTGAAGTTGGGTAAAAGTAGAGGTTGTCGGAACCGACTATAAAAACAAGCGCATGTGTGTGGTGCCTGTGGCAACGATGTTCGTCAAATTGGGGCCACCGCTGGAGGAATACCACGCTCGGCGTCTGTGTTGACCGACTCGAAGCCGAAGAAAGGCATTCGTGCTTCGGCTTCGGTGCTGGAAACGATGAGCGACGACCTATATAAGCAGTGGATGCGGGGTAGTACAGATCAAAGTTGATTTCCGTCGCACGAAGGTGCTTAATACACCGTTTGCAACGGATGGTGCCTCATCGTTTCCTCAGCTACGCGCGCCAGCAAGCGCCGCCTTCGATATTGATATCGTCCAGGCCAGTCTGCTCCCGTCTTACCTAGTGTTACCCCACTTGCCTCCACCCGTCTGGCTTTCGTTCCGTACCTCTATCAACTCTCTAATACAGACAGTCAATCACTTCCTTTCTTTCCTTCTATCCGCGTGCCGTAACGCGCGTCATCGTGAGGACCAACATCCGGGCGGTCAATATCGCGATACTCCGCGTTTTTCGAGGTGTATAAGTAACGGCGAGGGCAGGTACGACCTTCTCCATAAGTGCCTTGTCTGCGTACGAGAGAACGTAACCGCAGCCCAAACACCCGAATCCTCCATCTGTGAAGAGCGCGATCTATAATGGCTCCCAATTTCCTGTCCATGTTTACAAAAAACACGCCATCTCATGCAAATAGCAACCTCGGCACCCAGGGCACACCGAGTTCCCGGTCGGCGTCGCCGTCCTTCTCTAGCCGCAACCCACCGCCGTTCATCAACATCGACCCTAATGCATCCACCAGCAACAACAGTGCGCGCCCAAGGCGGCATACAACAGTCGGGAACCTGACGCCCTCGCTCGTCGGCAGTACTGAGTCGTTCCCAAATGTGACCGTGGTCCCGCCGTCCCCGCACACCACCCAGTTCGGGTCCGACACTCCAGACGAGCATCTCACACCCCAGTCTGCTCGATCTCCGAACGCGATCTCTCATGAAGATCAATCAGCCAGGCGGGTCCCGTCGCTGTCCAAATTGGGTGCACCCGCGCCCTCCCCTCGCTCAGTATCCTCGGCGACAGATGATGAGGGCGGCACCACCCCTACCCCCGCCACAACTCGCACCGCATTCTCCGAGCAGGCCCAGGTAAAAGCGCAGGCGCAGGCGCTCTCGCACTTCCATTCAACCGGGAATCTCCGTGCAAAGTCGTCTGCGATGGCCCCGAATGAGACCACTAATCACCCGCGCTCTGCCACCATGGCCGACCAGCGGTCGCTAACTAGCTCGGAGGAGAGTTCCCAGCGCACGCCGGGCAAGAACTCCAGCAAGGACAAGTCACGCAGTGCATCGCGCAAGAGCTCGTCCGCGAAGAGCCGCCATGATCGTGCTGCTTCCGTGCCGTCTATCCCGACACACCCGCCCAACGCCACCGTCACCGAGGACGGCGTCCTCACTTTCTCGCCTACCTCGGACTCACCTCAAACGTCAATGAGTGCCCAGCTAGGCAGCGGTCTTCCTGGGACCGACCGTGTGTTGCTTGTCCCAGACCCCTCGGATGCCGTTTCTACCAACTCGAGCAATAACCCTTCCAAGAACCCAAAGAAGAAGCGCTCCTGGACACGCGGCGGAAGAACGACGAATATTGCGAGCTCCCCGGCGCCGTCGACCGTGTCGTTCTCGCCGACACGGAAATCCGCAGGTAGTGTCCCTCTTGCATCGGCGATTACTGCCTCCTGCTTGGTGATGGCTAATCATGGTTTTGGTCTCGCCTGCAGAATTGCCCCCCACGTCCGGCACCGGCTCGAGCTTCGTGTCGCCGCGTGCTCGCCGCGCGTCCGACCTTAGGAGCGACGGCTCGCGTATGACGTCTGCTGGCTACGCTGCAAGCGACGCGTCGGACCGAGAGTCGTATCACTCTGGTACCGATCTGCTTGAGGAACAGAGCGGGTTGGACGATGAGGATGATTTGGACTTGTCTGCGGAAGACATTCCTGTGACTGGATTCGCTGTTGCGAGTAACAAGCGCAATCAGGATTTCCATGAGTTGTTCCCGACCGTGCCAGAGGGCGACTATCTCATTGAAGGTGCGTATGCATGCCATGTGCTACTCTCGTGCTGACAAGCGCCCTTGGCATTTCCTCACTACGACAGACTACGGTTGCGCGCTGCAACGTGAGATCCTTATCCAAGGCCGGATATATGTGTCCGAAAACCACCTATGCTTTCATGCAAACATATTTGGCTGGATTACTGACGTGAGAGGCGCCGTCTTCATTGTGACATGACCGTCTGATGACATTCTCTATTCTAGCTATGCATCCCGATGTGCGAGGTCACCAGCCTGGACAAGCGCATGACCGCGTTCGTCATCCCGAATGCCATCCAGGTCACCACTACCACCGCAAAATACACCTTCGCCTCCTTCCTCTCGCGCGATACAACCTTCGACGTAATTTATAACGTGTGGAAGCTGGCCCGCCCCGAGGTTTCTTCGTCCGTGAATTCGCAGATGCAGAGCCCGCGGGCCTCGACGGAGGTCCAGCGTGAATCGGTCGTGGTGCCAAATGGCAAGGCACTCGTCTCAATAGCCTCGATTGGAGAGAAGGGCGGCGGCAAGCAAAAGGTCACGCAATGTGCGTGCTCGAAGAGCGGCGAGCATTACAAAGAGCTGGCGATGGAGGCGATCATCCCAGGCACTCCTGAGAAGGTCTACAACCTCATGTTCACGAGCGGGTTCATCAAGGACTTTATGGTGCAAGAGCAGAAGCTCACAGGTAGGTGGTCGCGAAGCACAGGGGATCGTGTTCACAGCTGACACTATCTGACTATCTGTTCAGACCTGCAGATCTCCGACTGGATGCCCACTGCGGCCGATCCGAAGCTGCTGTATCGACAGATGTCCTATATCAAACCATTGAATGGCGGCATTGGCCCGAAGCAGACAAAGTGCGAGTTGCGCGACGAGATGCTGCATTGCGACTTCGATGACTACGTGTCGATGCTTACGACAACGAGAACGCCCGACGTGCCGAGCGGCGGTGTGTTCTCTGTGAAGACTAGGACATGCATCACATGGGCGAGCAATATCTCCACGAAGGTCGTCGTCACCACAGAAGTGGAGTGGACAGGCCGTAGCTTCATCAAAGGTGAGTTCTACAGAATCGCTGACACAGTTTAACGTGAACCAGTATCTGTGACAGGCCTGATTGAGAAATCGGCAATCGAAGGGCAGAAACAGTATCACACCGACCTGGACAATTGCATGCGGCAATATATTCACGATCACCGTTCCGAATTCATACCGGACGGTGTGGACGTATCTGTAGTCGAGGAAGTCGAGACGCCGCCAGCAGAGACGCCCCCGAGGCCGATACTAGAGAAATCCGCCCCGAGTGAGCAAGAACTCCGCGAGTCGCGCACGCTGCGCAGCCTGCAGTGGGCGTATGACACCTACGAGGGCGCCGTCAAGGTGACGAAACAGAGTACGGAAGGCCTCCTCGACCTGCTAATGGAGACGTGGGACCAGTCGACAACGACAAACGTTCTGTACTTCATCATCGTCTTCCTCGTGATAAGCAACATCTGGACGCTCGTGATAGTCGGCAGAAGAGAGGAGGCAGGCCGAAGGAAGGAGATGAAGAGGACGGAAGAACGAGAGAAGTGGGTGCAGAATGTTGTCACCGCGCTGTGGGATGAGCTCGTCGCGACGCGAAGTCCTCCTGAGGCTGCTCTTTCTTCTGAACCGCGGCCCATCAGCGACTGGAGAGAAGATGTCGATGAGATAAACGCGGTGCTGGACCAGATTGACGCGAGGGTGCAGAAAATTAGGGCAAGCATAGCGGAACTTGATTGATTTGCGGCTGGACTATGGCTTTCTTATTTACGGCTGGGTTAATTCATCACTGATAGATCGTGGACATGCACATTGTGTACTATATTGGCTGTATCTCTCTGCTGATAATACCTTGTGCACGTTGGTGGCATAGATGAATCCGGAACGATACTGTATTAGAAAATTTATCTATGATGAGATGATTTGCTGTTCGAGAGTTACACAGTTGCACTTTTACCGCAATGCAATACACAGAAGCCAGATAACGAGTGGAAGATGAGATTCTGCAACAAAGATCCGTGTCCAGAGCGCGAAGACGAAAACAACCCCGAAGGAAAGAGCGTATGCTAATTGATTGAATAACCAGTAGATGTGTATGCATGTGAATATTAGAAAATGCGCAGGAGAGAGGTAGCATAAGATTGAGCAAAAAGAGGAGAGAGGAAGCTACCGAGGCGACTGGAAGATGGAGAGGACCTTTTCCGCTCCTTCCTTGTATTTCTTCAGGACCTTGTTCTTCTGTTTGTCGTCTTCGGAGCCAATCGCAGCAGACCCTCTGATCGTGCCATCACCTGCAGCTCTTGCATCGCCATTGACAGATTGCTCTGACTCGCTCGGAGACCCCATAGATACTGCGGATTCCTTGGACCTAAGCGATGGAGGTGGTAACGTGGAGCCACCATTTATAGACGGTGACAGCAGTCCACTGCTCGACGGTGAGAGAGTTGCCGACGCTGTGGGTGAGAGCGGATTTGAAGGCAGGGTCGTTCGAGATGCAGCCTGAGGCGATTTCTGACGGAGAAACTGTTTTGGATGCTTCCTGAAGGTGAGCCCTGGGGCCCTTCCTCGTCGTTTCTCCGCGGGTGGAGGTGAGTCAGCGGTACTAGAACTGATGAGATCACTGTCAGCAGCGATGCCGGCGAAAACGCGAGGACCGCCGTTCCATCGCGGCGTTGATTTGCGGAAGACCGCGAGCTTGTATCGGTCGACAACGCCGCGTGCGAACAAGCTTGTCCCCTTTGCGCCATTCCGTTCTTCAACGACCTCTGCCTCGACAAAGTCCCACTCATCGTCCTCATCATGGTCCGCATTGGGTTCGTCTTCATCGTGCGCATCTGAGAGATCGCGGTCCAATGCTGGGATCCCTGACTTCTCCCTACGTCCATTTCGCCGAGCAGCGGTGACACGAGGTTGCTGCGTCTTCGTCTTGACAGCCTTGCTCTCCTGTGCCTTGACCGGCTTGATCTCCTCGGGGGCGGGGCCAAGTTCAGGTGGCACCGCTACTGTCTCGGCGGCGACAGCAATTGGTTCGGTGGCTGCTTTCTCGGTTGGTTGAGCTACTTCCACCTTCTCCGCCACCTTCTCCGCCACACTCTGTTCTGCAACCGGACTTGCAGGCGCTTCCGATGCTACAGGCTCTGCAGGCTTCGGCAATTCCGCCCGCCGCGCCTCCGGCGTCTTATGCTCGGGACCTTCCTCTACCACTATGGCATCCTCGCGGAGCTCTTCGACACTGTTTGCAACAGTCTTCGACAACTCCTCTTCCGACCAGATGTTGTCTATGCTGGCTGCGCTGATGGAAGTCTCCTCGTCTTCCTCCTCGTCTTCTTCTTCGTCTTCTTCATCCGCGTCCTCTTCCTCGTCATCGTCCAGAATTATAGAGTGCCGGCCCTTGTAGGAGTACCCATCGAATGCGTCCACACTATCCTCCTCCTCCTCCTCGGGATGCACGGACGGACTGCGGGACAGCGAGGGTGTGGCTAGAGAGTCCTCGCCATCGGTACGCTCAGTGTCGGTGTTACCTTCCTGGTCGGTGTCTGTTTGTTCATTGTCGTTGTCGTCATTGATTACAGGCTCCATATCCAGGAAGGTCTCATCGAAGTTCTGGGTGTCGCTGGCATTCGACGGGTCGATCGGCGGAATATATGGGGCTAAAAATCAAACGTCAATATATGTGCAAGGCTATTAGGCACAGTGAATGAATTGCACGTACGTATGTATCGCTTATAATACACATGCGACCAATCTCTATATGGGGCATGAATACGTCAGATTCAAGCATTGTAGGTAATAATAGAACGCAACGCACATCATCGAGAAATAAGGATGTTTCTTGATTCGAGGTTCCTTCATCCGTAATGCGGGATTGCGTTGAAGCAACTACAGAGAACGACGGTGAGCCTCTCATAGGCGTCCCCGAGAAACTGGAAGAAACTCACCCCGCGGATCAAGCTCTTGGTATCCTGATCCATTGTTCTATCCTCTGGAAACTGTAACTCGTCCTGCAATACCCTGTAGTACATATCAGAATGGTTGTCGGCCCAGAATGGGGTCTAAACGGAGCAGCTGTGAGCGATCACGACGACATGAAAGGTGGCAGACACGCACGATTCCAGTCAGCATCTCGTACAACATCGTGCCAAAGCTCCACCAGTCTACCTCATAGCCATACGGCTGTCCCTGGATGACTTCGGGTGCTAGGTACTCAGCCGTACCACAGAACGTGCTCGTGCAATCAGCCGGCCCCGTCGGCGCCCAGGCGTTTCCAAACTCCTGGCTAGCTTTCATCCAGTGAGGGGCAGCAGGAGCCGGTGTCCCGTTCGTAAACTCGCCGCGGAAGCCAGACGGCGTCGGAGGCGCAGTGATCGCTGTGGTTCGGCGGGGGAACTCTTTCGACAGACCGAAATCCGTGAGCACAATATGTCCATCTGCACCGATAAGGATGTTCTCGGGCTTCAGATCGCGGTAGATCACGCCTGCTGCGTGGAGACCTTCGACACCCTCGACGATCTCGGCCGCGTAGAACCTCGCGCGGTCACGTCCGAGACGTCCCCAGCGGGCAAGTTGTGTGGCCAAATCTCCGCCGGGATGAAAATCCTAGACCACGATAAATGAAAGGAAGGTGAGAGACGAAGGACAGCGACAACATACCATGACCAAGAACAGATTCTCCTTGTCGTGGAAGCTCCACCATAGCTTGACGACGAACGGGTCGGTGCCCTCTGCGGCCATCCTCTTCAGCACGGCCTGCTCCGTCAAGGTATGCTGCAGCTCCTGATGCGCAAGCACGTGCCTCTTCGTAATAGCCTTCAGTGCGAAGACGTCCTGCGTGGGTTTATGGCGAACGAGAAGCACTTTCCCGGCGCAACCCTTGCCCAGCACGCGCATCATCTCAAAGTCATTGATGGCCACCTTTCGCTGCGACTTCTTCTTTTCGCTGTGTGGATCCATCGATTTGGACCGCTTCTTGCGCTCCGAGCGCCGCCCGGTCGTCGAGATGGACGAGTCGTCTGTGGACTCTTCAATCTGCGAGGTCCGCGAGGAATTCGCCTGGCTCTGGAGCGGGGAAGAGAAGAAGGTCCGGGACGCACGCGACATGGGGTCAGCAGATTGTGAACGTGGGATGCGGTGTGAATGGCCGTCCGAGGGCATCGGCGTGGCAGGAGCATTCGCATCCTCGTCATCGATAGGCTGGCGTATAACGGCTTTTGTCTCGATAGGCGCAGGCGCCGGAGACGCATCTTGCACATGAGGCGAGGATGGCCTCGAGGAACGTGGAGTTGTCGCCTCATCCTGTCCCTCGACTGTAGCTTCATCCGTGCTATCCTCAGCGATACCATTGTCCTCACTCTCCCGTGGCCCTTCTGCATGTTGCGAAGCATCGCTCTGCACCGGGAGGTCAGCGGGCACCACCCGCGCCGCCATTTCACCGTCTTTCACATCTTCTGCCTTGATATCCTCTTGCGCCGGACCATCGGTTTGAGTGGCCTGAGGCCTGTCCGCGGTTTGAACGCCGTTTGTACTCGGTGCAGATAGTGCAGACGATTCGTGTGTGTTCTCCTCGTCTCCGTTCAATACCACTTGACTTATTGACCGATTGATGTCCGTCGAACTCCCGGGGCTCACGTGCGCTGCCAGATCGGACCTGACACGTTTGATTGCGCGCTCCACCCGAACGCTCTGCAGATCGTCCGTACGTACCTTCACGAACCGTTTCCATACGCGGGCCTGACGAAGCAAAGAGTCGTTCGCGACTGTGGTAAGATAGGCTGCGAGACCTGTGACGGTACTATTGGCTGTAGTGAGAGGCGCCTGAACATCGTCTTCATCCTCGTTGTCGCTGAACGGATCACTAATTTCGTTCTTCGGTGATGCGAGTGGAGTAGGCAGCGCGGAAGAAGACGCGCTGGCAATACTTGCAGCGTTTCCGGTGGATGTGGACGTCATTGAGGGCTGGCGAGACAGCTGGCGCTGACCGGATGCTTTGGCGGAGGGTGATGCCAATCGCGAGAGGGTGTTCAGGAATACTGACTTGCGTTTCGGCGGTGCGGGTATCGAGGCTGCGTCGATAGGCAAGGGGGGCATCTTGAAGCCTGGGTGTGAATCGCGTAGCTTCCCGTGCAGTTCGACGATCTCGACCGCCGTACGAGTCAAGGTGATATTATGTGTAGGCGCTAAAAGAGAAGTCAACGGGTCAGCACAATGATGGCTTGACGTAACGGAAAGCCGTAAAGGGATGGAAGGCTATCACAGCACAACGATGGTTTTATTCATAAAAGGACACACGGGACAAGAAAGCACCAAGATTTTGGGCGCCGGAGAACACGGGGTGCAGGAACTTACTCTTGATGTAGATGCTGTACGAGCAGTGGTCATGGGGCGTCTCGGCGACACTGACTGTCCACGGACCATCCTGGTTGTCAACCCGAAAGGGAATTCGCCGCGTAGGCATGGACTGGGTCGCCATCGAGTTCTTCATTTCAGGTAGCGTAGAAGAAGGGTCCGGCTGGGCTGGGCAGTCCTGAGCTTGAGAGACGGGAGACGTATCAATGACAGGACTCGAAGACCCTCTGTGATGCTTCCTTTGAATGGGACGGGCGACTGCGTCTACGCTTCGTCTGGTAAACGAGCTACGCAAGCTGTCTTCTGTCGCAAGGGGAGACGGGCTGGGAGCGTCTGCCGGGCCTCTCTGGGAGATGTTCAGTCCAAGGACGGTCCAGAATTTGGCAGGCGAGGAGTCGTTGGACTGTTGCTGCTGCGAGGACACTGAGCGGAGAACGCTGAGCATAAGAGGGCGGCGCTCGAAGCGGACGACGACGACAGCAGACCGATCAGCGAGCGGTGTTGGACAAAACGACAATGAAGGAAGGTGGTCGAGAAGTAGTGTATGGAATTAGACGCAGAGCGGAGGGTGCGTGGGTTGGAAGGCGTGCAACCCACGAGTACAGAAGACAGCCGAGAAGCTGGAGATGCGGGTTAACGCTGCCTCGAGGCTGTCTGTGTCGTTTCCGCGATGTGTCTGCTGCCGTGGGAGACGACGAGGAACAGAGAGCGAAGCGAGGGAGGGTGTCGAAACGTTGAACGATATAAGCGAACAGAATCGGTCGAGCAAAAGTGGGAAGATGGATAAGGCGCTTTCACGGACATCTCTTGTTGCCACCCATCATCTCCGCGCCTCGCTCTGCGCTCACGACAATGCATGCTTTCCCGCAGCTTAAGCGTCTCGTCCAGCACCCCCAGCGGCGCATGCTCCTTGAGCGTCAGGAATTATCCATGTCGTATTCACACTCGCTATCACATGTAGCATCATATCAAGGGACAAAGATGACCGAACCATCCCAGTATAGCTCAGTCCTTTCGTCGTTCCCACCGGAATAGCTCTGTCTGGACTCCGGGGCACTGGGCAATGCCGTTCCAGGACCATAATGCACAGCGCAGCGGAAAACTCTCAGCGCCGCGAGCCTTTATCAACGTTGTGGCGAGCATGACGTTGGGAGCCAGCCACATTTGTCTGAGCAGTCGTATCTTCCCATCGTCAATGCTGTGCGCGAAGCTCATGATTCCACACCCGGCGAGACAGCGGCTCTTCTTTGCACAGCATGATCATGACGGTTTCACCGTACGTTCTCTCCAGGCTCGCACGGTGACTACACTAGGAACGGACATCATATGTCAGTTGCCGCAGACGTAGCATCGTAATCAAATGCTGATGTACTCACACTCGTCGCGATTGCCCGTGGTGACGTTCCTCCGTCTATGTAACCGACTCGGGTGAGCATCGTGATTGCTGGCTTAGCAACTTGCATATGGCTACATCCAACAACTAGTTTTCATGAGCTGTGGCACGACCGCCAGACTCCGCCAACTTCAGGTTTCCATTTCCTCATGGGAGAACGCTAGGTAGTGAACGACCACCTTCGATGAAAAATCATGCCATAGTAAACACGCCTATGGCTTCGAGCTCACGCGTTTCTTGCCGCCTGTGGAATATGCCGACGACGTAGACTTGTCGACGTTGTGTATGCATTCCTACGGTCAGGGCATCCGTCAGAGACTAAAGCATACATCATAACTGACAATCCGTGGGATTTTGAGGGGAGCAGCAAGTACTAATTATATGCTGCTTCCAACAAGCAGTGAATCGTTCGGTGTGCGATAGCTGTGGAGACCAGATTATATCCTAGGCCGGTGAAACCTTGCAGCACAGAGAATCGGCGCCATATGTGACTTATTTGTTCTTCCCACACTTACTACTCCTACTTTCCCACAGTCAGCATTGGTCTGTTGGCTCCATTACGATTTGCTGAAAGAACCTTAGCTCAGTCACATTACGCTTCAATGTCGCGCCTCTCGGTCCCGCCCTCCATCACCCTCGTTCTTCCCTGTCATCCAAGCGAAGCCCACGGCCGGTTCGCAGAACACATAGTTGCCGTCGCTGAATACGACGCTGGCAAGTCCGTCGTCTGCGATGTACAGGCAAGGGAACCAAGTCAATGAAGGTGAGACTCTCGCCTTACCAGGTTGTCCTCACTGTTTCCCAACGTTGCCCTTAGCCGGTAATGGATGGACTGTTGCACCTGTGCATCACCATGGCTCCGACGTAGACTCCTCTACGGAACGCGATGTGCGTTCCACGGCGCGTTCGGAACCGTCTTCCTCTCGCACAAGGCATCCGAATGACGCAGTAGAGCGCGATATGCGCCATCCAGGATCCGTCGCCACGCTCCCCGATCCCGTTCCTATCATGCCCTACTGGTCCTCAAAACGCCATCTCACATGTGGCAATCCCGCTCCTCCCCCATTGTACGCGATCAAGATGCCCCCGTGGCGCACGACGCCGTCCAAGCTTAAAACGGCCAATGCGCTCCTTGTCCTCTGCCTGAACATTGACGTCGACCCGCCAGACATCATCAAGACCAATCCATGCGCCACACTGGAGTGTTGGGTCGACCCGCACACGCTGCCCGCACAGAAGGCGCTCGACATCATCGGCATGAATCTCGCCCATCAGTTTGAGGGGCTGAGTGCGAAGATCACGTTTAAGCCTTTGCTTGACCCCGCAAACGACGATCTGCGGAAACATTGCAATTCATTACGCAAGACAGCGAAGGAAGATGCGATCTTATTCCACTACAATGGCCACGGCGTTCCCAAGCCCACGCCGAGCGGGGAACTCTGGTGTTTCAACAAGGAGTACACGCAATACATACCCGTGTCTCTACAGGAGGTGCAGAGTTGGTTGCTATCACCGTGCGTGTACATTTGGGATTGTTCTGCAGCTGGGCACCTCCTGCAGAATTTTATCACCTTTGCGAAACGCCGCGACAACGATGCGCTCAATCGTGGAGGGTATCCCGAGGGTACGCCACCATTCTCGGAGAGCATCCAGCTTGCTGCCTGTGCCGCTGATGAGCAACTACCGACATGTCCTGAACTACCGGCCGATCTGTTCACGTCTTGTCTGACCTCGCCGATTGATATTGCATTGCGTTGGTTTGTGATGTGCAACGAACTCCCGGGAAATATCACGGGTGATATGGTGATGCAGCTTCCTGGTGATCTCAAGGACCGTCGGACGCCTCTGGGCGAACTGAACTGGATATTTACTGCCATCACGGATACTATTGCTTGGACAACATTCCCTCGCGAGCTGTTCACACGCCTGTACAGGTCAGACTTGCTAGTTGCGTCTCTATTCCGGAACTTCCTGCTGGCGGAACGGATCATGAAGAACTACCACTGTACCCCGCATACCTACCCTCCGCTTCCGGCGACAAATACACATCCGCTGTGGGCATCTTGGGACCTCGCAGTAGATTCTTGTCTGCGGCAACTGCCGGAGCTGCTCAAACACCAGAAGCCTGGTGCTGTAGCAGAGACTTCACTCACTGGTAGAAGGTCGACCATGTCGCGGCCTCACCAACCAGGAGGCTCTGGACATGCCCCACCACCACCTGCAGATCCATCTTACACTTATATCCGCAGCAGGTTCTTCAGTGACCAGCTCACGGCATTTGAAGTGTGGATATCTCGCGGTGGGTCGGCGCTCACCAAACGCGGACCTGGGTCGCTGCCCGAGAGCTCAGAAGGCGAGCAGGCAGGCGTTGATGCTCTGAATGATGATCCGACACATCTTATGACTGCCACGGGCCAGAATAAGAATGATGACGACAACCTCGTTCCCCGCAAGCCACCAGACCAGCTGCCGATCGTCCTGCAAGTCCTGCTCTCTCAGCCTCATCGTCTCCGCGCGCTCATCTTGCTTTCGCAATTTGTTGACCTAGGGCCGTGGGCGGTGCACCTCGTGCTGACCATCGGCATTTTCCCATACATCTCGCGCCTCTTACAAGCAGCGTCGGCAGAATTGCGTCCAGTACTGATTTTCATCTGGGCACGCATCATTGCGGTGGATCCGTCTTGCCAGATCGAACTGTACAGCAATCAGGGCTACCGATACTTTGCGCAGATTCTCGCAGCGCAGGATGACCTCATGCAGCCAGTGATCACGAACAGCTCGGAGCACAAGGCGATGTGCGCATTCATCCTATCCTCCATCGCGCGCGACTACCCTCACGGACAAAGTGCATGTTGGCGTGAACACGTCTTCGACGCATGCTGCAACCGAATGAACGACAGTGACTTCCTTCTGCGGCAGTGGTCCGCGCTCTGTATTGCGCAGATATGGGACGCTAACGACGAGATCAAGACATACGGCGTGGACAGAGGGATACAGGACAAGCTGATCGAGTTGCTGTCGGATGACTCGCCGGAGGTACGCAGTGCGGCGCTGTATGCGCTCGGGACGTTCTTGGGCGCGTCTGGTTCCCCAGACCTGGCCAAGCTTGGAGGCGGGGGCAGCGGGACGCAACTCCAGCTGGAGGAGCGCGTTCATTTCCGTATGGAGGTGGCCGTGGTGACAGGGGCGACGCTTGCTATCAAAGAAGATGCGAGTCCGATGGTCCGAAAGGAACTGCTGGTTCTCATCAGCTGCCTCGTCAAGGAGTGGAGAGGCTACTTCATTGTCTGTGCATGGATCTATTGGGAAGAAGATCGACGGTGGAAGCAGGGCAAGCATCTCCAGCAGCATGAGGACGACATTGCGTCCCAGGCTGTCGCCGAATGGCTGGACAGACTTCCTGATGACGAGGATTTCCGAGGCGAGAATCGTGTTCTTCTCTCTTCTTTCTTCACCATTTTCTCCGTGCTGCTCGAGCTTTCGGTCGATCCATATCATGAGGTGGCCACAAATGCGCAGACGGTCGTTGACTACATTGTGGCGTTGCTGCTTGAGTCCCCGTTCAGCCGACTGGAAAGCACGACGCTGCGCGGAGCTCCAGAGCCATCTCAGGATGCAATAAACGTAGTCAATGGCACACGGACGAGAGCACCTTCGCTATCTGAGCAAAGCTCGCTCCCACCCCTCTCGCCAGGTGCGGGCAGGCCAGAGATGCCTCGCAGTGAGACGATGCACAGCAGCATCTCGAGCGGCGTGACGAGCACGCTCAGGCGTACACATTCCTTCGCGAACGCGCTCAGGACGCTTGCGGGCAACATCGCCTTCCCCACCCTGGATGACGGCCAGGGATCGCTCAAGCCTACTGCAGGTTCCATGCTTCACTCAGAGGCCGCGGACGGTGTGTCACGGCCACCTTCGCCGAATCTTAACTACGCACAGTATACGTCGCCATATTCCCGCCCGTCAACCCCACCTGCGGTGATCCGCTCGCAAAAGACCTCTCCATATCCTTCGCCAAAGTCGTCGTATGAGTCGCACAATCCGACAATGGACTTCCTTCCCTCGGATGTTATGGACGTGCACGTCATGGAGGCGCTGATGGAGGAGGACATGGAGCGGCTGAGGGCAAGGAGACGGACAGGCTCACGCTACCATCATCATGCGCACCATCATGGTGTGTTGAGCAGTCCTTCGGGCAGCACTTTCTCGATGGACTCGAACATCATACTCGGTTTGGGCACAGGAATTGGGGTCAGGGACGTGCTGCCTCTGAAGAGCAGATTCTATGATTGGTGCTGCGAATACTACAAGGAGCCGCAAATGAGGGTATGGGCAATCGCTCGCTGACCACGTTGGTTCTGACTGTTTTTGAAAAAAAATTAGCAACCTGAACAAGAGGAGCCGGGAAGTGTGCAATACAATTATCAGATCTGGCGCCAGCAACAGATTGAGCAAGTGCTGCATACCACCCGTGCACAAGCGGAGGTGGCCGGTCAGTATATGCTCCTCCTCGTTGACAAATTCTAAGCGAGCGCTCATACACTTACTCCTTGCAGCGAGCTGCAGATGGGACAGGCAAGTATCGCACATACGAGTCCATGGCCTGCCGGTTACGATGGCTTTCCATTCCTTTGATCCACATCTTGCAGTTGCAAACGAGTCGGACGAGGTCACGTACGTAGGCACCTATATTCCTGTTATGACTGATTCGAGCGCGTGACTTAGGGTCTATGATTGGATTCGGCGGAAACCGATGACGCACTTCTTCAACGGCAACCCACGAGGTACCTGTATCACCTCTTTGCATTTCATCAACGAAGATGTTGGTGGGATTATACTCACTGCTGCTGGCAAGTGCTCGCAACTATTATCTTGTGATGTATGCTCATTTGGATGTGACATAGCGGACGGAATCGTGCGCTTGTATCGCAACTATGATACATCTGTCACAAAGGATCCGGTACAGATGGTCAGCTCATTCCGTGGGGTCAACGAGATGTTGCCGGTGGAACGCGGCAGTGGCCTTGTGACGGACTGGAAACAGATTGGAGGCAGTCTTCTCATCGGAGGCGACTCGCGCGTGATTCGTATGTGGGATGCGCACACCGAGAGCCAAGTCAATGTGGGTCCATTTCTCTATCGAGACAGTCATTGGCCTTGTTCTAATGTGCCACATAGGATCTGGAAACAAATTCGGATAGCCCGGTGACAGCCCTAGCATCTGATGAAGGGTCCTCCTCGGTGTTCCTGGCGAGCTTCTCGGACGGCGCAATTAAAGTATTCGACCGCAGACTGGACGAGGAGGATGCAGTCGTGCGCGTATACCGTGATCATTCCTCATGGGTGCAGAATGTCAGGTGGCACCCAACTATCGGCGGCACGTTCCTTTCCGGATCGTGCGTCAATTACTCTTTGACAAACTATTCCTTTGCCTTATGATTGTTGGCCGAACAGGTTGGATGGCGAGGTCAAGATGTGGGATGTTCGGGGAGGCAACCAGGCGTTCAAGACGTGGGATTTGCATCCGCACGGCCTGTCTGCCTTCGACGTCCACGAACAAACTGAGGTGTTTGCTGCGTAAGTCGTAACGCTGTCGTTTGCCAGCTTCTTGCTGGTTCTAACCTGTCGCGCAGCACATCGTCCTTGCTGCAAACTAACTGGAAGTCGCAACGAACATCTGTCCGCTCTTTGACAGCATCGCCATCATCACTATGCTCCTTCACGACGTCACTAACGATGCCACCGCCACGGGATCACTACGTGCCGTTTGTTCCTCGATCCAGCAGTCTTGTCTTCCATCCGCGAGAAATGGTATATGCGCTGGGTTTGTGGGATGGGTCCGGTGAGTGCGTCAGGTTCACATGCCGATATTGGAACTCACGCATTGTGCAGTGCGTATCATGGGCTGCAAATTACCTTGATATTCTTCTACGTACTGCTAGCGATACTGGTCACCCACAGCTGGTCATATAGAATGAACACTGTACTGCCTGCCAATATTTTATTACCGTTGTATGTTGATCTATGCCTGGTCCCACATTCGTATAGATAGCGCAGAATTCGAACTTGCTGGACCCGCGGTTGCTTATGACATCATGCCAGTGACGACTGTGACACGTGCTTCCCGGCATTCCCGGCACCAGACCGGCCTGCTGCTCCTATCACGGTCACAACCGTCACATCACGCAGTTGATAGCCACCGCAAATTGCCACCCAACTTTTCGCCGCCCCCCTCCACGCCACCGCTCTGCCACCGTAGCTAACGCCCTCCCGCCACAGTTCCCCGCAGCAAACTCACGACAAGCAACCACCCAGAGTATAAGTTCTGTTGAAGACGGTAGTGTTGCTATTGTATTTAGCCTGTCAAGATGGTGCGAGCGCATATGAAGCAGACGGTGAGCGTCGCTCGATCCAATCCCGATGGCTTCAGCCACAGGCGATGTGGCAGAGGTGGCTGATGTACCATATACAGTCTGAGAAGAAGGAACATAAGAAGAAGGGGCCTCCCAAGAAACCTGTACCTGAGAGCGGCAACTGGCCATGTAAGATGAATGGCTGTAATAAGGTCTTCGCTCGTGAAGCGGACCTGAAGAGGCATCAGAGGACTACCAAAGTCCACTCCATGCCGGGCTTGTGAGTTGACGGACAACCCCGGTGGCGTCATGTTCTATTGATACTAATTGGATTGTAGTGCGTGTCCTCAGTGTGACGCGACCTTCACTCGAGTACGGTGACCGATGTCAGTCATTTAGATATTGACGAGTCCTCATTTAATTCGCAGACCGATGCTCTCCGCAGGCATCAGAAGTCTCGGTGAGTATTGAGCATCACATATTTAATCGGAGTCATTCATGAAGGCCATTACTAGGCACAATGGTGTCGTCATGATGCCTGAGCAGCAGCAAGACGAGGACCCTTCGAAAGGCAAGCAAGTCGTCGAGAGCAACGAAGCTGGGTCGCCTGGCTCAAAGTCGCCTAGTCGAAGTGCGACCCCGACGAAAAGTCAGGGAGATGCTCCCAGTACTAAGAGCACACCGTCATCTTCTACCGCAACGCAACCACAGAGCTCCGGGCCCACGAGCTACTATCGACAGCATACGATGACGCAAAGTAAGCGGTTCTCCTCGTTCTGACGTTCCCAGACTAAGTCAAGAGTTTCAGGCTATGGACCCTCACGGATTATAGATGCTCACTATCCTCAATCCATTGGGCCTCCGACGTCGGCTGCCAGGCTTCATCAAGCCAGCTGGGCTCCTCCGGCACCGTGGTCCCCGGAGGGTCAAGCGGTGCCTCCTGGACACATGTATGCTGTCCCGCCGCCGCCGCATTATTACCCTCCATACTATCGTCCGCCTCCGGGCATGATGCCAATGCCTCCTCCGCCAGGGCACCCCGGCCATATGGGTCCGGAGTACATGACGCACCCTCATGTTGCGCCAAATGGCGCGCCTTATCCGCCCCCGCCGGATGGCAGGAGCTCTCCTGCTGAGGGGAGCCAGGAAAGCAAGGACTCCGACGCCGAGATGGAGGATGGCTCGTCGGTGGCCTCAGCGCCAGTCATTGACCCGTCTCTAGAAGGACCTGGGGATGCATTGCATCCGAGTTCATCAAGCGGCGGCGGCGCTCCAGCCAAGGACGGGGAACAGAAGAAGCAAAGTCAAGTGAAATTGAGCGCCGATGCCAAAGAAGCCGTCAGAGCTGTCTTAGAATTGCAACGGCTTGAATCCAGTCGTACAGAAGCGAGTAGCGACGAACCTGATTCACCTCAAAGGAGCAAGGACAAGAATAAGGCCCGGCAAGCGAGCGTTCAATCTCAGACTGCTGATGCCACTTCGTCGAAACAGAAGAAGGCTGTTTCCCCTCAGACGCGGGGTGCACCTCGGTCTCCTGCACCAGCAGCGGCAGCCGACGCTGATGTCGATGTCGATGCCGACGGAGAAGCTGACGCCGATGGTGATTCACCGAAGGGAGGTGCAACCGAGCAGGCGGAACAGCCGATGGCGGTGGACGCTCCGAAAGAGCAAAAGTTGAAGGAGGAAGTTGACGATCACAAGATGGAAGAGATTGTAACTGAAGACGGAGTGACAATGTTGAACCCTGGTAAGCAACCTGTTGAAATGGACGCTAGCGCAAGCTGACTACATTGTTGATTGCGCATATTCAGCCGAGCTACTAACGCAGGTTGGTGGTCATAATCTTCATTTCATACATCTGTTATTCATATTCGCTGCAGGAATCACTAGCTTCGCCGCCACCTTCCTAACCGCGAAATTAATGTAGAACGTGGAAGGGCTTGTGTCCGGGATGATTGTGATCGGTCTTCGATTTCCGCTGTACATACCAACCTGTAACATTTTAGGGTATCTCTCGCCGTAATCTTAGTACATTCGTTTCAACTTCTAGCGGATGAATATCAGGTGTATGCGAGGGCAAGAATGACGATGCAGTGACATATAAACGATGGTTGACTCGATATTGTACAAGTTGAGATGTGTATCTGATATATTACACAGCACCGCTGTTGAGAGCGAGGTGCAATAACTCAAGATAAATCGGCATCGCATCACTTCGGCAGGATTCTTTCACAAGATTTGGACCTTGGGCCATTTGTATTGTGGGCCGACCTGCTGCACGCACATCGAGCCCAGCTTATGACCGGCCTCAACACACTCGTCCAAGCTCTTCCCAACCACATATGCACCCAGGAATCCACCCGCGAACGCATCACCCGCAGCGTTCGTGTCGACGATCTCCTCGTCCTTCAGAGGAATGACGTTGACGACCTTGGGCGCGTCGGGCTCCGCGCCGGACACAATTGTGGTGGGCTTAGGACCGTGCGTGATAATGACAGTGCGCGGGCGCGAAGGGTTCGACTTGGGCATCGTGGCGATCGCGGCAGCGATCTTCGAGAGATCCTTGTGCTCGGGAAGGCCACTGGCGCTCGCCCATGCTTCAGCCTCGGCCTCGTTGCCAATGATGATGTCACAGTAGGGTATGATCTGCTGCAGCTGTACTTGGAAGAATTGCGGAATGAAGGGCGCGGAGAGGTTCAGGACGAAGACCTGGGCGAGTGGTTGGAACGATGTTCATTTTAAGACGGGGTGACGCTGCGTACCTTGCCTGCCTCCGACGCCTTCTTTCCGAGCTCGAGCGCAGACTCGACACCATGTGTGAGGAAGTAGCCCTCCACGTAGAAGACCTTTGCGCTCTCGATGCAGGGCGCAACCTCCGGCGAAGCGAGGTGCTCCTTCTCGAACTTCTCCGCCACGCGCAGGGTAGTCACCAGACACCTGGGAGAAGCTCAACACGTACAGCCGATGCTCTTTGGAATGAGAATACGCACCGGTGGTGCCCAGTGATGATGACCGCGCATGCACCCGTCTTCTCGCCCTTCTTGACGAGGTAGCGCTCGTCAAGGCCCTCGCGTTTGTTAGCCGTTTTGAGCTGCTCAGCGAGCTCGTCGTCTCCCACACACCCCGTGTACACCACGGATCCGGGAGGCAGGACGTACTTCGATCGACTAAACGAATGCACTTCCCAGGAAAAAGTGTAATCGCACTCACGGCTGCCCCTCTTGCTGCATTCTGAGCAGCACCTCCCGCGAGATAGGTTATTTTGTACTTCTGCACGAGCTCGTCGTAACTGCCGAGGGTGATTGTTAGTTTTCCAACGCACGCAGGTGCACGGCCTATGAAGTGGACACGCACATAGGCATGTGCTTCTCCTCGGCGAGGATGGCATCGTTCGCCTTGAGGTCGTATTTTTTGAGGAGCTCCTCCCCGTTGGTGACCTGCATGTCGAGCAGGGGATTGCCCATGCAGAAAAGGGAGTAGGAGGCCATGTGAGGAGCGGATTGTGAGGAGGGAGGGCAGAGTGGAGAGTAGCTTTAATGGCGTTTGGTGTGAAAGGGTATAATGAGCTCCTGGGGAGAGGTCGCACAATTCGGCACAATTTCTCAGCGTTTTCTCAGCTTGCACGAGAGAATCGCTTGCGCGGATTATCTGTTGGGTGAGATGATAGTACGATCCGACGTTTATCGCCATCTCCGGACTGTTCCTCTTCACATCTCGACACTCATCATCTACTCGCATGCAACAAGCTATTCGCTGTGAGCCCGGTTCACCTAGGAGGCCTGTCGTTGCAATCTTCGTACGGTTCTGGAAGTGCTCTATTCCAAATATAATTTTGCAAAAAATCAACACTCTAGGAGGCTCCATTTGTGCACTGAACGTGAAACTAGGCTCGTTATATGGAACGCGCTCCTTCAAGCTGGTCACTACAGCCGACTCCTTGAAGTTTGGGAAAGGTCACCATCTCCAAACGAACTGGTACCATGTTCTTGAAGTATATGGTGCGGATCTGCGAAGATCGCGACCTAGAGTGCCAGTGGGACTAGCATGCCAGCTCTCTTCGCAAGTACTGTTGATGGTCGTCGACATCGCGCGCGGCGAAACGCCTAAATTTCGAATGTCGTTGAGTAATTCTTAGCTGATCTTACTAGAGACGCAATCTTGAAAGGCTCGTCCACTGGCTACATAGCGCACTGGGTAAGTTCGAAGCCCTTGATCTCCACCGACGTGCTGGACAATCATGCCGCGTTCCCTACGTGAACCCCGTGCTCATCTTGACTGATCGCAAGCGACACAGCCTTCGCATTGACTGCGCACACTCTTTGGAGCCGTCATCAATGTTAATAGTGCAGCGAGGAATGCGTTGGAAAGACATACCTCGCTGTCCTGACAGAGCTAATAACGACGCTGCATGTCTGAGCGGAAGCGGAATGGGGATAGGGGAGTGGGCATCCGCTAATCCGATGTGTTTTCCCTCTATCCTTCCCTCGGTGACATATAGAACGAGATGTGCTCTTGAACGCAATCGCTCAGACGAATACTACTGCCGTGGACCCGTATCTTGTCTCTCTGCGACTAAAAGCGAGAGAAATGTACTGACGCGCGCATGGTGAATCAGATGTATCATATCTGATACGGCTGTTCTGTTTGAAGGCGAGACAGATGGTTTTCGGCAATTTCTGATACCCCGGGTAGGCCTAGGGTAAGCCCCCATCTGAACCTTACCTCTGCGTTCATGTCCGGTCAATCAGGCAACGTATAACGATGTATATGCAAGTCGAGCATGAGTTATCTGTTGGCTGAGATTGTGGGTTCCATGGAAAGCGGACGCGGTCATTAAGAGCACAAAGTTTGACAGCACCGCAAATTTTGGATGCCACGGGGAGCTCCTGGATTGTTATCGCACTGCTCTCATGACTTCTTCCTTAACTTCTCTCTGCGAATAGAAGTGAGGGATTCCCAAATGTACTCACGCGCGCATGATGAACCAGACGTATCATATCTGACACGGCTGTTCTGTTTGACAGATGGTCTTTTCGGCAATCTTCAATACTATGCCATCCGTAAGCCCCCATTTGAACCTTACTCTCTGCGTTCATGTCCGGTCAATCAGGCATTATATAAAGATGAGTCACGCACCGATGGGCATCCTTAAAGTCCCTCCGAGAACTGTTCTGTCTTGCATTGACCGTTGTCATCGACGTTGATACCTCTACAATGTCGAACGCGTCACCTGAAATACTGGGTCTGGAATTTGGCATATCCCAGCAAGGGTGAGGACGACGATAGTTTCTGAGGCGCTCACCCGACGAGTCTGCGATCACTGTCGCAGGTACACTTATGCCTACTGCTATCTCGCAACGACTGGTACGCTCCGGGTCGGACCACTATAAGCGATCGAACTCAACTAACAGACTGGACATGTTCAGCCCTCATCTTCTATGAGTACATTGTGACTTTTCCTCAAGAGGTCCACGTCATCTGGGGAGCCAGGTTGACCACTGTCACGGTCATCTTTGCCATCAACCGTTATATGCTCCTGGTAGAAGGCATTAGTTTGGCACTATATGCCACGTGGTGGTATACTCCACTGGTAAGTCATGTCGTGTCGTGCTGCGAGTGAATCGAGCACTCACGATCTACGCGCACACAGAGGTGAGCGGCGATGATCGCACCGTATGTTCAGCGCAGTTAATAGATTGTCGCAGCTGCGATGCTGTCAACGTATTGAACGAGGTGACGAGTGTTGTTCTGCAGGTTGTGACAGCAAGTCAGAGATTGTTTGACCTCATATTTCATGGAGAGATTGATTGATAATTTGTTAGGCTTTGCCGCGTTCCGCACATACGCGATTAGCGGACACCAGATCGTCCCTGCATTGTTAGTCTTGCTACTGGGGCTTGTGCCAGTCGGCTTCCAAATCGTGAGTATATATGTTCCCCGCCATCATGTGTCCGTTGAGCATCTCTGGGCAGTCGCTGTTTGCATATGCAAATGGGTCATGGGAGTTCGCCATTGACGTAGGCAGCTATCCAAATTGTTCCTATGGCTCATCCCCGTACGTCGGGATAGATGGGTTAGTGCCACGTCCACCTCTCCGACGTCAGCCGTCCTAGGACTGACCTTCCTCTGTATAGACGTGAGTTTGAAGACCGATTAGTTGTTGCTCTGACACGCACGATTCCTGCAGCCCTCGCCACGGGCATCTGCCCGGCTGTATCCGACCTGATCGTGGTCCTTGTCACTTGGTATAAAACATTCCGACTCGCCATAGAAGTGCGGAAGTTACGGTTAAAAGGATCGATCGTGACGATGCTGATGAGAGACGGTGAGTACGTGTTGCTCTCTTGGTACATGCTATGCCTTACGAGCAACCATTTCAAGGCACGCTCCACTTCATGTACGTCGGACTCTCTCACAGTGCTTTGTCTTGACTCTGTTCTTCCACCGTTCGCTAGGGCCCTTTTACTTCTCAACATCTTCAATATCAGCAGCGAGACTTCACAGGCAAGTCTACCCATACAAGTGTATGGCTACCTTAAATTGAAGTGCAAGCAGACTCAGTACTCAGCCTCCGCCGCGATTTTCCTGCTACCGTGAGCGACCGACCATACCCAATTCAGCTCAACTCATGCTTACCGAGTCAATCAGAATGACGTCAATCTTGGTGTCGCGCTTCATCCTCGATCTACGACAGGTATCCCTCGGCAGCGTGGACTTGAATCCGATGTCTCACAGCACCCTGAACACGCCGGACGGTCCCTCTCGCCTGGTTGGCAACTTCGGCGCCGAGCTCCAACACACGTCTCTTGTTTTTGAGAATGTCGAGGATAGCATTGAAGATGAGCAGAGCATCAGTGTGGACTGTGAGACCTATGAGTTAGCGCAGGTGCAGTAGTCATCGTACATACAGCCATGCGATCGTGTTCCATAGTGCCGACTCTGTAGCCCACGTTTGCACCTTGACATAGTTCACCGATCGCGATATTCCAAGCAAAATGTTATGCTAATCTGGCACGAAGTATACGCTCAATATAGCATAACTTCAGCAAGGGAGAGATTCGCCAGGTCAAAAACTGATCCCGCTGCCGCAATGCTGAATGTTGTCCGAGACACAGACAAAAGTCGGCGAATTGGTGGCAGCAGTCACTCAGTTGCACGCCCCAAACCATGTTCACAGCATAGCAGATGTTTAGACCAACATTGCAGGTAAAGCGTCGCAGTCTCACGAAACATTGGAGACACCTCAGTGGCAAATGCTATCGGTCGTTTACGGAGTTTGAGAGATTCGCTGAGCAACGATTAGAGATGCCTTTTTGGGCATGCAATGTTGGCACGTGGTTGAACGGTCCTTTGCCTGGGCCTCTTGGACCATTAGCGTTAGACATATGTACATCCTTTGGCTTTTCTCATACGGCTAAGTGGGTTCGTTCGACGAGATATTTTCTGTGGACGAGACGGAAAATAACGAATACCCTCGGACAACACTTGCAAATTTGCGCCTGAGCGCTCACCACCATTTTTAACTTTCTTCGTTCGCTGCAGCGAACTCGTTCGGGAAAACCAAACCGCTTCGCAGCATTCATCATGCCAGGCTTGAGGACGCAAGAGCATACGAAATTGGGAGGCTACGACTTCTACCGCGAGGTCTTGGGCAGCCCGAAGTATGTGGTCGCACCTATGGTCGACCAGAGCGAATTGGTGAGTGTACCCGGTTTCAAGGAAAGTCCGTTCGTTGATCTTGAGCTGCACCTGGTAGGCGTGGAGGAAGCTCTCTAGGAAATACGGGGCACAAGTAAGTAAGCATCTATGCGTTACCTCTCGATTCGCAGCAGTAGCTGACCCGTCCCCCAGCTCGTCTATACACCGATGATCAACGCCAAGGTTTGCAAATGCGCTCTATAACACTTACTCGCCATAGTTCAGAGCTCAACCTGCTGTATGCAGATGTATGCCGATGGGTCGCATAAGAATTATCGCCAACAGGTTTTCAACACCGCCTTCGGAGAGGAGGGCGGGCCTGAGGACCGGCCACTCATCGTTCAATTCTGCGCAAATCACGCGGAGAAACTTCTGGCATCAGCCAAGATGCTGGAGCCGTATTGTGATGCGATCGATATCAATCTGGGATGCCCTCAGGACATTGCGAAGAAGGGGCATTACGGGTCCTTCTTGCAGGACGAGTGGGATCTGATCTACGAACTGAGTACGTTCTCCTACTAACTTCTTTACTGCATCATTTTCATCGTCCGCTCCAACACAGTCAATACATTGCATTGCAACCTATCAATACCTGTGACAGCGAAGTTTAGGGTGTTTTCGACGGTGGAGAAGACGGTAGAATACGCGAAGATGCTAGAGCGGGCCGGAGCGCAGATTCTAACATGCCATGGTCGAACGCGCGAGCAGCGGGGGCACCGAAGTGTACGTTCTCCATATGCAGTGTCCCCGTTTGCAGTGACTCACATATACCTTAGGGTCTTGCCGACTGGGAGAAGATCCGTGCGGTCAAGGCGGCCGTTTCGGTGCCAGTGTTCGCGAACGGGAACATTCTCTTCCATTCCGACATTGAGCACTGTCTTGCTGCCACTGGCGCGGATGCTATCATGTCTGCGGAGGGCAACCTCTATAATCCCGCCCTGTTTGCTCCTTCTTCCCTACCACGACCACCAATAGCCTCCAGCTCCTCCCTTGGCTCTTCTGACTTACAGTCCGTACCTATATCAGCGACGGCCTCGGCAGCCCTCCCGACATCTTGCCTTACAGGCGACCACCCGCGACATACAACCCTTGCACTCGAGTATCTTGCGATCGTCAAGGCGCAGCGCACGCCGACCTCTCCGAGCGCGGTCAAAGGGCACCTGTTCAAGCTCCTGCGGCCAGCACTTGGGCGGGAAAAGGACTTGAGGGAGCAGCTCGGACGCGTGCGAACGGATAAGAACGAGGATGGTGCGATGTGGGAGAAGTATGAGGAGATAGTGAAGGACCTTGCGGAGAGGATGGAGGTGAGTTATCGACTCGACCTGGCTGATCTTAGTGGTTGGCTGATCATTAGGGTGGCCATAGCGAGATGAGAAGGCGGTTGAAGGACGGGAACTCGAGTCCCTTCTGACGATTGATAGCGGGACGGGCTTGCCACTATTACCACACTGGCTTGCACAGCCGTACTTCCGACCATTGCCTCCAGTCCCTGCTGAAGATGAGCAGACGAAAGGCAAAAGCAAGATTAGTAATAAGGCTCAGCCTGTCAACGTTGAAAATGCTCTAGGTAAGTGCTTTCGTGAACGGTATATACCTTGCTCGAGTGATCGTAACTCTTTCTCAGTCTCGAAGAAACTATTGTCTGTGGCAGATGCTGCACATATACCCTCTTTGGGGAACGAAGCTAGCTCGCAAAGCACTCCGGTGGTGGTTGTGGGCGAGAAGCGTTCCCCACCTGAGCTTGAAGGAGTAGAAGAGAACAAGCGAGCAAGGCTGGAAGATGACGTCGGCGCGAGAGAAGTCATCAGTGTCGCTTAGCTCTACGACGACGGCAATCATTGCATTTAATTTACGAACTCATTGATTCTTGATCGTCGACGATTGCTATATTACACAGAGATTGTATATCCACATCAAAACGAGCCTACAGCAACCCACGAAAGCGCCATATAAGTCGGCAAATGCGCGGCAAGTTGTTGATCATTTCTATCGAACGCCGTATATACGGAACCACAAGAGTCGCGACCTAGCCAGTGCATTTACAATCCGCCGCCGCCGAGGATGTACTCGATAGCAGCGTTCACGTTTCCGGCAGTGGCGAGCAGCGCACGGACGTTCTGCGAGGCGTTTGTGAAACCCATGTCTTGGAGTTGCTGCAGCTCTACAGTCAGCACATAACGATACGGTGAGAAAGCGTGAATCACCCACTTGTAGCTGCACTTGGAAGCGCTCTTCCGGTGGCCTAGTGTCCGCCGGGGCAGCAGGGGCTGGGAATCCACCGCCCAGCGCACTGAGTCCAAACGGATCCGCACCGCCTTGCCCTCCCATCGCAGCGAGCATCTGCTGCATCATTGCGGGATCAAACAAACCAGCACCAGGCACAGCGCCAGGCGCAGCGCCTGCCCCTGTTCCTGCGGCACCCGTCGCGCCGGGCGCGGTCGGCGAGGTGCCTGTGCCCGCGGAGGCGCCAGTGGCAGGGGGTGGGGGGAAGAAGGGATTGAAGAAGGGAAGAGGGGGGTTGATTGTGCCGGGAGAGGTGGTTGTGCCGGTGCCAGTACCTGCGGCTGGCTGGACATTTTGTCGAGCGGTAGAGGGCAGACCAGGCGCTGGGAAGGCTCCTGCACCACCACCTGCACCGCCCATATCGCGCATCATCGTGGACATCTGGAGCATCATGCGCAACGTCTCGGGATTGGAGCTGTGTGTAATTGATGTGAGTGAAGGCAGCTTGGAGATGGAGACAGTAGGGCAAGCTGCGTACACCATGTTACGGAACTGCTCGCTTTGGAAGACCTGCCGCACTTGTGGACCCATAGCTGCCAGTTGAGGGTTGGACGCGATGATCTGGTCAAGCAAGGCGGGGTTGGACATGATACCAGACATTTGCTGAAGGAATTGAGGCGATGTGAGCATGGACTGCATCTGTAAACAGACATATCGATGTCAACTATCATTCTTTCCGACTGATCATCAAGTAAATGTCATAGAGTGTGTCAATGAGGGCAAATATCAGAGTTGTGGGGCAGGTTTCAAAGAAATCGTGGTCTCAACAACACCGGAGCCACCAGTACAGCTCGCTGGCTCAAGCAACGATCAGATGTCGCGACAAAGCCGCCACTCACCATGTTGGGGTCATTGGGATTGAGGCCGAGCTCGGCAAAGGGATTAAGACCAGCCATCGCCCCATACCCCATATGGCCAGTGAGCTGAGTGAGAGGATCGTGCGGGTTCTGCCCAGCCTGCATGTTGGGCAGCGGCTGCTGCGCTGCGGACTGCGACGTCGATGCGGCCGAGCGGGCTGCGCCCTTGACCATGTGAATGGTGTGCGAAGACTGGATCTTGTAGGTGGAGAGCACATCCTCGTCCTGACGCGTATACAGCGGGCTCAATCAGTGCGTCGCGAGAGTGGAGATACGATCGCACCTTCAACACACGCCCTGAAGAGGGGATTCAGCGAGGGAGTACCTCAAGCAGCGAAAATATGCACGCACCGGAGTAGATGAGGCGTTGGCGGTCAGCAGGGACATCTGACTTCTCCGCAATGGCCTGCTTCAGGTCAGCAACAGTCTTGTCGGTAGCTATTGTGATCTGGAGCTTGAGCTCGCTGGGCCCTGTAGCAGGGTCGGTCAAAATGGTAGAACGCAGAGGATGAGGCACCACCTTTGACGTTGATCTGAATCTCTGAGGTAGATGGGGTATCGGAGGACATGGTGTTCAGTACCAAGCAATAATGATTAGGCGCCTATTCGATGCTGACCGAAACTCTCGGGAGTTCCCATCATCTCACCAGATATGCACAGTTTATGAAATGATCATTCACTCATGACATCAATTGTGTATATACATAGTATCCTTGTCCATAGAAATAAATTCCATTACGATGTGCCTGCATTGTCAGTGACCTCTATTTGTGTCGCGCAGTTGCCCTCTGGTATTGCGCGGGTGCTTTCTGGTATGGCAGCGTGACTTGTATCCCCATCCGTGGCACGGGCAGGCCGCAGAAGCCTCCATATTCTCAAGATAGCTCTACCGCAGAGCCTGCCCAACCGATCGCACCCATACACGAGGTATTGTAACGTGAATAGCAAGCCTCCTATGAATGATAGCGCGAGCACCGCAGCTGGCCATGCCGTCCAAGCCACAGCAAGCAGGAAAACCATGAGCGTGCCTGCCGACATGCACAGGCAGAGCGTCGGGAGCCTGCATGTCAGGCAGAAGAAGAAATATGACTTGTACACGTCTAGTGCGATGCGCTGTGATGGCCTAGTCAGCCTGCCGGAGAAGTGACGCAGATGACTTTGCTGGACTTACCTGAAACTTTTCAGCATCAGCACCACTGTAGAGCAGTATGAATATCGAGTCGATCAGGATACCAAGACCGGAGCAGACTGCCCCGAATGCGACCGCTCTCTGTGCCAGGCTATCGATGGCGAAGATCGAGCCTGGAGCAAGCCCGAAGATCGTCGCATCAATGCTGCATGAGTCGACGGATCGTCAGCATCCCGCGTGCATCAATACCGACTGACATGCATACCCAGCGAGTGCCAACAGCTGTGACAGTGACAATATATCAGGTTAAGAAAGAAATAGTACAGAAGGACGTGCGTACAGCGCCACCGACTGTATACCACTCCGCCATCAACCTAGCCAGCACCTTTTCAAAGTCGGCGTCAACCTGAGCATGTCTTAGTTCGACATATGGTGCATGTCGATCCACCAACATCTCTGCTAACGAAAGGGGGCGTTCCGCGATTCTGTCGTGCAGGGACACTGGAAGGGCACTGCTAGAAATCAAGTTCCACGGCGAGCTCGGCGAAGGCTTTTCGTCAATCCAATTCAAGACCTCGCGCTCATCCTCTGGAAAAGAAGGAAAGTATTCCTTCCGGGGTGTTGTGACGTATGTAGACTCGTCTGATAAGCTTTCTATCTCATCGTCGGAGTAGATGCGGAAGCCTTTGGGCCGCGGTTTTCGTCTACGTATCAGCTGATCGCCACTTTTGCCAGTACTGTCCACCAGTTGCTCCTTCGAGGGAACACTCGACTCGTCCATTGAAGATGGCTGCGCATTCCTAAGTCCCGTTCTTGATGCTGCTCATAATAAATATCCGTTAATGCGCTCCTACACAATCAGATCGACGTACAACATGCCGACGAATATCCGTCTTCATGGTCGGACGCAGGCTGGGATTCGACTGCAGTGATGGACGAGGACGATGACAACGACCGGGGCGCGTGCAATCTGACCGCGAGCATAGCACTATGCTTTTGCCGGCTTCCAACCGTAGGGCTTCTCTTTTGAGGTGGTGGGCAGTTCAGGCGGATGTCTATATCTGTGTGGCAAAGTTAGAAAATGCGATCTATGTGAAGATACACCACCATATGAACACTAACTTCTGCCCGCGCTGGAATTTTTGAAGAGCTCGCCCAGCGATACGTAGGCTGATCCTATAAGATGTTTCTTTTTGCGATTCTTGCCGTGTGATTTGTGCCAGACCTTGATGTCCAAACGCGAATCATGGTGGACATCACGTCTTAATTGTCGAGAGCGCTAGTTTAGAGAATATCATGAGCAAGAGCACAAAAGTGCTCACAGAACGAATGGGGTTTTCAAGTTGGGATTTTGGCCGTCACATCCAAGGACAATTTCGTGTATCTGGTGCGTGTCTACCACGACCACCGTGACGACGGGCCTCCACGACTTCTCTGGCTGGATGAAGAGGACCCCATGTGTACGGACAACTAGTAGAAACAAAGTCCATCAACGCAGATCACATTACTTCCATGATAGATCGATCAGCATGAAAGGCAAATCGTACCTGTGAGATACCACGGCCTGTAGCGCAAAACAGTTCGCGACTGAGCTTGAGTCTACGGCTCGACGAAGACAAGGACATACTCAGTAAACATGGCGCGTGGCGAATCGGTGATCTATCCACCCAGTTGGTTACACGTGTCCCGATGGCAAGTATAAGGCGGCGTCGACTGCGATGCGACGCGTTGCCCAGCACTTGAAACCAGAGCAGACGACTCAGCGGTGAGTGCCTTTAAAACGAGACGGCGGCAGCAAAAATGGTGGCGAATGGGAATGGTAATGTGGGGACAGCATGACCGCGCTAGCCTGTACGGCGGACATCAGCGCGTTGCGAAGAACTGCCTCGTTCCCGAAAGATGCTGTGCAGAGCCACAGTCTCCAGCCTTTAACGCGAAACCTTCGCCACGATGCCCAACTAAATTGAACGTTCTTCTGATGCGGCGGCACCACAAGATAAGACGATTTTAGAGACAGGACCAGGACACAGGATGACAGTGCAACGTTCTTGCTTTCAAGTTTCGAAATGTTCTGTGCCGCCACCGAAGCTTGGCGCTTCCTGCCTGGGGCGCTAGCCTCTTTAAACACCGACTTCAACAAGTATCATACATGCATATCCATCTGTCCGAACTTGCTGTTCGCAGATTCTTGACAAACCCTACAAGGCAACCTGAGCAGGACGAAGCCCACAATCACAAATTGGCGCAAACCAGAAATGCTGCAAGTGCGTTACTGATCTTGATTCGCAAAGCCAACTGGGGCCAAGTGTCTCTCGTCAATATTCCCTCGATATCCGCACTGGTCACAATATAGCAAATGGTCCCTACTCTGTCCTGAGAAGTTGACTGGATGTGAATGCAGACATGCGCTTGGTGAGGGGCTGGAGTTGAACTCAGGTTGGACCCACAATGTCTCAAATTCAGCTCCGACTCGCTCATATGCTCCGCAAAGGCTCGTGCGTGCTAGCCACGCTGATCTCTCATAGATAACTCTCCAGCAACTCTTCCACTCGTGCCCGCCAGGTATCTCATCTGGTGAGTTCGCATCCTAGCGCAGTTGCAAGTGAAAGCGAGACTGAACCATCGACTTGCAGATATTGTACCTTCGTCTGCTGGGCCGAAGAATGCTTGTTCGCTCACTGTCCATAGCTCCAGCATGGCGTAAATCGGGGCTATATGCGCTGCCAACTGCGAAGTAAGCAGCCATTCATCATCGATGTCTAAACGTCTAAATGTTGGAGTGTAGATCCTACCTTACATGCGCAGGAGGCTCTGCACGTACATCGGGTCACTCCTCACCTCGTAGTTATCACGTAAAGGCTCATCGATCTTCATGCTTCCGCGCGGTTCGCCTCTTCAGCTCGAACACCACCTCATTCCCGGTCCAGCAACCCGGAGCCCCAACGACAGACCGATCTGAGGCTGATGTCTTTGCAGAGAAACTGCAACGTTTGCGAGATGCAATCATCAACAAACCGCCTATATGCTCTGGGCAGTTCGCACTCGCACCGGAAGAGCTCGTTATGTATTACTCCACCAAAGACGGTGGTGCACGGTGCGAACTCCTCCCGTCTCTGTTAGAACGTACTTGCTCACAGTACGCTCGGGCGCTATAGACGGCTGGACTTCGCTACCGCAACGGAGGCCGAGCTCAAGTCGCTTGCAGACGCGTGCGATTTGGCGACGTTTGGCGTGAATCAAAACGACGTCTTCGATGAGACGTACAGGAAAGCCGGCAAGCTGGATACCTCAAAATTTGCATTGAAGTTCGACCCAGCCACTTCTGGTTTGCTCGATGCCTTCAGAGGTGACTTGTTGGAGGATGACAAAGACAAGCCTATTCGTGCTGAGCTGTATAAACTGAATGTTTATGGTACGCGGTTGGTCGACGATCTCACTAGATGGTTTTCTCATCTCGATTTAAGGTCCGGGTTCGTTCTTCAAGATTCACAAGGACACACCTCGTGGCACGGACATGTTCGGCTCGCTCGTCCTCGTGCTCCCCACATCCCATACCGGCGGTAGTCTGAAGTTCTCTCTAAGAGGCTCTTCATGGACGTTCCCCACTGCCAACATGGTGTACGCCGACGGCCAACCTCGGCTCGCATATCTGGCCTATTTCAGCGATGTCGAGCACGAAGTCATGCCCGTCGAGTCTGGATACCGTGTAACGCTGACGTACAACCTCTACTACGCCGATCGCTCCGCGGAGTCTGCGGGAAAGGATGTGCCAACGGTGCGGCGGGAGCTTTCGCACAACCGGGATACGTTCAGGGACGTCTTCAAGACATTGCTCGCGGATCCTACCTTCATGCCGAAAGGTGGTCTCATCGGTTTCGGCCTTCGTCACCAGTACCCATTCATGCTGAATGAACCACTGAACTTGCAAGCATTCGCGAAGCGGCTAAAGGGCAGCGATGCCGTGGTTGTTGATGTCTGCAAGGAACTTGGTCTGAACGCGTCGTTCAAGTTCGTTTACCGAAGTGATGGATCGGAAGAGAACTACAGAGTGCTGATGGATCACTCACTGAAGCCTTGGATGGAGATAGAGCCGTGCGGGTATATCTTTAGCGAGCTGCGTGATGCTCACGAAGGCGTGGTAATCCACCGTCATCCACAGCCCGTGACATCTGCGGAGGAAAATGACCAAGATAAGAATGGAGATGAGAAACATGACGAATCGGATGATTTTGACGAAGACGAAGAGTATTGGGAGGAGTGGGACGAAAATGGCAACTGGAGGCCTACTGCAAATGAAGCAGAGAACGTGCACTGGGTGACAGATGTCACTCCCTATACTGAAACTACCACTGACTGGATGGCACACGGAAACGAGCCCATAATGGGCACTGTGTATGGCGATGTCGCTCTGCTCGTGAAGGTATGGTTTCGCGTTTACCGCCCGCAGTCTTAGTCTCACGATGAACTGGTGGCAGATCGAGCGCGACAAGTCCGAACAGAAATAAGGATGACTCCAGGTGATGAGATTTTTTTGTTATCATTACACACTACACCAATCCATATAGAATACGGAACTGAGCCGAAGTCGGAGTGTCTTAAACGCCACATCGTCCGGGCATGAAGATCGCTGTACAGGCTGTATGCTTCCAACTTCTACATTGTTAAACTTGAGCTGTACGAGACATTCATTGTCGTTATGCGGACTCGGTCGGCTGTCTCCCAGGCAAGATGTTTGATCCGACAAGTACAAACTCACGAAGAGATAGCTGTTGGGTTCTCTGATCCATCACATTTGTTGTGCATCAGTTGGTGAGTGTAAAATGCTGGTGAACGCCCGAGTGGAGGTGGTATGTCGACGCATGTTTGGAGCACACAGATGGAGGTATTCAGATGGAATTGCGACTTGTTCTCGAGCTACACTCCGGGATTCTGCTTCGCTGATCACCCGCAACGAACTTGTCGCAAATGAGTATATAGATCTGGCTACGTCTTAGTAGGTATGATGTTGCTCCGGCGGAGTTCCCATAGGCACAGCATCTTCAAGCGTGACCGTTCAATGTTCAACCACAAAGTTCAGAGCTTCAGGGAAGCTACTGGCAGTACACCGCGGGATATACAGAATGAGCGGAAGAATGTGTGTGTATTGAAAAGATTCCAAACCGTTGCTGGTTGCCAAGTCCCGCATTGCACCCAAGGTCACCGAGTCTCGTGTTCTGGTGGTGGCTTCGCACGTTTGACAAAGGCAACCCATACGCCAAACGGGAGCACTGTCCAATGATACCGTTAGCTTTATATGGATACTAGGTGGATGTACTGCTGATGCATATCATTAATCCACAATGCATCGTGGTGCCACTCACTCGACTCCTAACGCGTTGCTGAACATGCACCACGAACACTCGGCAATTAGAGACGAAGAAAGGTCACCTCGTGCCAAGGGGCAATGTTAGACATTCGCTTGATGCGAGCAGAATCTATTGCGGATATGCTCAACATGTTACTGCCGCACTTGTGTGACCGTGGCACGAAAGTGAACTGAATCCTAATGTCAAGAACACCGGGGTTCTAAGCCCGACGACAATCATCCAGTGTAATGCCTGAACAGATATGAAAGTGGCAACGACGGTAATGTTGCCCCTTAGGAGCCCATACGACCACCAGCATTATTTCAGAACAGAATTGTCTGCTATTGAAATACTCTACGTACCAGAGCTCATAGCGAACTGGCCATGGGCTAGGAATGCCAGTAAACATGGCGACGAGGTTAGGACGTATCCCTCCTATGGTTCCGTTCATTTAAAGCCTTAAGCGGCACGCTTTCGAAAAATGCGATTTGGGTGAGGTATTGAGCTGAGAAATGGTTTAAATGCTGACCAGCACTATACAGGGCAAGCAGCAGCCCTTGCAATATGTTTTTAGCGAATTAAAAGTGAACTGCTTATCGTCTTCATGAATCATTCAAAGTGCATCCACATGTTCGTTGTGTAAAACATGTCTTCCGTCGACGTATCAGCTTTACTCAATGCTTGGTTTGGCATGCACAACTTCGATCGATGCTTCCTTATAAGGACTCACGCTATCAATGGGAGAACTAGCGGTGAATTCTATTCATAACCTTGACTTTGCGACCGACTTCAATTGAGGCATCAGCTGGATCTCGGGTCGATGCCAGACATGTTCTGTTCCTCGGAATGTCGCACCAACGGCTCGGAACGACATCGCAGATTACCGACAGCAAGACGTCTCGGCCAGGCGATGCCAGAGCTCGTGCTCTCGGCTTGCTCAAAACTCCGTTCATTCGGACATTTCGCTGTCATTAGAACTTGCGAAGCATCCATACTGCATACTCTGGGCTGTTCTCGTTGGTGCACTGCCAACTGTCCGAGTTCCCGCTGATCTTTCAACGATAGAGTTCTCTCAGCGTGCGCAGCTCATGTGCACGGTGAGGCGTATGCCAGTCGCCCGCCTATATATTCTTCGCTGTCACGAATGGTCCTGCTAACTTTCGACCCCAACGTCCGTCTCGCACCATGGAATCCGACTCCCAGAAACGAGTAGCCATCATAGGTGCCTAGCACAACCCTGCGTATTCTCACTCCGTCTCTCACCGTCATGCACAATTTCCAGGCGGTGGCCAAGCCGGTCTCGTAGCATACAGGCATATGAGCAAGTACCAGAACCTGAAAGCAGTCATCTTCGAGGCTTCGCCCTCTCTCGGTGGAATATGGTCCCCTGACCATCCTTATCATCGTCCACTCATGACGACCAACATATGTCGCCATACCTGTACCTTTTCTGATGTCCCTTGGCCAGCGGACGCAGGACGCGAGAGGAAGGACCTCTTCCGGTACTCCGGGGACATGGGTCACTTCCTTCACGTGTATGCGCAGACTTATGTCAACAAAGCGGACGTTAAATTGAACACCAAAGTCGCCACAGTGGACTATCAGAATGACAAGTGGACGGTGAAGAGCGTTTCCACTCACCAGGATGGCAGCTCCGTTGAACATGTCGAAGATTTCCATTATCTGATCATCGCTACGGGCTTCTTCTCGAGTCCGTTCATTCCCACTTTGCCAGGCATAGACAATTCCCCCGTTCTTGTTGAACACTCAGCTGTGTTCAAAGATCCCGATGCGTACTTGGACAAGACCGTTGCCGTGGTGGGTGGGTCACTGTCTGCCGTTGAGATCGCTGGTGCGCTTTCTCCCTATGCCCGCAAAATCCATCATATTGCTCCGAGGCCATTCTATGTCTCCCCCCTCTACACGCCAACCAACTCCTCGGCGATGCCATCGTTCCTTCCTTGGGATTTCTTGTCGTACGACAGAGCCAATCTCAATGGCCGTCGCACAGAAATGATCAATCCGACCGCCGACGTCAACCACGACAAGCATAACTACCTTCAGTCATTGTTTCCGAACAATCTTCTCCCTTCGTTTAAGGTCGACACCAGCACGCCCCCGCAAGTCGGCATATCCGAGCTTTACAGAGGTGGGATTCAGACGGGGATCGTGCAGATCTATCTCGCGAGACTGGCCGCGATTGATACGACGACCGGCGATTTGGTCCTTTCTACGGAAGAACGTATAGATTGTCCAGATGTTGTCATCATGTGCACTGGCTACAACATCGTGCTACCGTACCTCTCTCAGAGCGCCCGAGATGCGATCAGTTTCCAGCCGAATAATCGTAGTGTTCCCTTCCTCTCTCATCGCCTCGTACTGCATCCTGACTTGCCAAACGCCGGATTCGTGGGCATGTATCGAGGAACGTACTACGGGGTGATCGAGCTTCAGGCGCGTTACTTGGCCGCGGTATTATCTGGAATCCAGAGCTGGCCTTCGAAAGACGAGATGAAGAAGGGTGTGGCTTTGGAGGAGAGTGTACGAGAGGCTTCCAGCAAGTCGGGCATCCAGTTCCCTCATGGCGACTATGCTGGCTTGTTCGAGAGCTACGCCGATCTGCTTGGCATCCCGATGTCTGATGCGACTTACATGGTGGCTGCGAACTATCCGCTCGAAGTCACGCGCGGCGTGGAGGAGATCCGCCTCGATACTGAAAGCGCCTTCACGCTCATGAAATCCAGGACTTGGGTTCGAGGCGCTGTATTCCGTTCGTGGGCGGGCCGGTGGAAGGTCAATCGCAAGGTCCGCGGTGCGTCAGAGCCTAGGATGAACGGCCAGTTTGTGGGCTTTGGCACGTTCCTTATGCGCCCTGTGACTGCTTCACCGAGTGGACCAGGGGTCATGACTGAGGCGGTCATACGCGAATACCTCTATCACGAACAAGGAGTCTTCATATCGGCGACTGGAGGTTCGGCTGAAGAGCAGCGCAAGGCAGTCTATCGCTATGATCCTGCTAGCGATACCATCGCTGTGTGGAGCGTTGTTCGCGACGATTATGAACAACGTTCGAATGAAGGTCAAACGGATAGCTGGCAACACAACGTCGAGGCTGTCTCGCGCGACCCTCTCGACGAGTCCTGGTCCGCGGAGCAACATGGTTCGGACGGTTGGTACGCAATAGGAAGAGGATCTGAGGCGGCGGTCCTGGCGGGCTACAAGTTCGTCTTTAGTGGCGCAGAGGTGACGCAGTTCAAAGTCAGAGACATATTCAGCGGGGGCCTCGTTAGCGAGGCTACGTTTACAAGGCCCTGAACGTTGAACAATTGGGCTCGTTCTAGTGACGTGACAATGTAAGACAATCATAGTTGTTCAGCTTTTGTGATGATAAGTGGGTACACTCAGGTGTACTCACCTTGGTTACAATTATTTTGGATATCCTCCGTGCTCGTAGTTCTTGGATTCTGGACTGCTATCATTGCCGCTTCATTCTCTAAAGAACTGCGGCGGAATCGCGATTGGCTCCTCTTGAAAGCTGAAGCGCGTCGCCATCATAGGCATCTTCTCAAGCTCTGACTACGTTGAGTAGACTCTTCATTGTACGCTAGGCGACGGCCAAGCTAGCCTGTGCGGTATCAGGGTATCGGGCTGTGGCGCATCGCGGTCATGCGCATACCAAACAACGCGTCAACAACGCGTCCACGAGTGGCTGCAAGCCGCAGCCTGTAATCACACTTACTGTGTTGTCTTCGAACTCTCATCCCATCGAAGTCTTCCAATGATGCACGCAAATATATCTATCAAGGTATCCCTTCAATTGCGAACTATCAGATGAACTTGATGCCATCTTGCCCTCACAAACAGCAGGCTCGCATTGCCGCAATTGAAACAGAAATTGACGAACCACAGAGACAATAGGTATTCTCCTCCAAAGTGTCCTGTCTATATTCATCTAACCTGTTCAAACGAGAGGGAAGACGCGAAAAAAGATCATCTCCAGGCACATCAAGCTCCTGCATCGGTACAACGAGACGAAGGATGCAGCTCAGGTGCGATCTCATCCAACCATTCATAGATATATGCGCATATAAGATCTTGACGAGACCGGTGAGTGGACATACATGCCCAGCACCGGCTGCAGTGCTCATCGGTCACGAGCTAGCCTCGCACCGCCAAACCACCTTTTCGTCTAAGAACAATCAGCGTACCCAAGGACGCTTCGAGAGCACTATCCAGTCCTTCCGAACCAACGCCATGAACGAAGAGACGGTGGCCATCGTTGAATACGTTCCCCCGGCAGCGCTGGCATATAAGTTATAAGCAGATATGGTATTCGGTGAAGCGTCAACGCTGCATTCCGCGATCTGCGGCAAGGCAGAAGAGTGCCGCTATGAGGGATGATAGTGGTCGGAATGTGGCACGCGTGGGATTAACAGTCCAACATCGCTACTGAACCGCTTCATTAAGGCCGCGTGATAACGTTCGGCAGGGCATATTGACTCGAGTACAAGTTATAATTTAAACGTTTGCAGGACTAGAGATTTTATGGTGAATGGCACGAACTTACATCGATAAGTAGAATGGAGAGTGTCTAATTACTAGAGGTACTAGGTGTTGTACAGTTGAGCCATATCATTATCCTTGAGTGAATGAGTGCGGGATTTACTAAGTGGGAAGAGTTCAGAAAATTAATCTCCACCATCTCCGTGTCCGTGACGCCGTATCCTCTTCAAGGACATCGTTCTCCCTGATCACCTTCAAGAACACGCTCTCGAGCGTCGCTCTCTCCACTGTATACTCGAAATCCTTCTGTGCCGAGAGTACGCCGAATAGCTTTGCCAGCGACATTCCATGTCCAATGGGAACCTCGAAGCGCGTCGCTACGTCGTCCGCCATACGTGCGCCAGGGACCTGGGCCATGAGCTTCTCGGCAAGGGCCACCTCCTCCCGACTGCGGCAGGAGAAGTGGACTTCATACGTTGCATAGCGCTCCGCCAAAGACTCGGTGGTCCCCACAGCTACAGCTGATCAGTTGCAATGCGGCAAAGGGAGGCGTCACTACTCACCAAGTATCTTCTTGGCCAAGATTCCGACCTTATTGGCCAGAGCAGAAGCCTCCTCCATAGAATCTGTCAGGAACAACCGTGAGATGCCGACTACCCACGGGCATACCAACCGTTACGCACGTGTTGTTATTACAATAGCCTTCCCTCTAGCTACAGTCCTCAACGTGGCCCACATATCGCGCTTCATTTTTGCATCGATACCGGTCGAGAACTCGTCGATGAGCACCACTGATGGGTTACCTGCGGGAACAATCAGCGCAAATCACGCACGCATGAAGAAGGCAGGTACCGATCAGAGCAATTGCCAATGCCAGCTTGCGTTGGTTGCCGCCGGATAGGCTCGTAGCCAAACGGTCTGCATACATATCCAGCGAAGTAGCATGCATCAGCGCGTGGACGTTGCGTTGCACCTCTTCGCCTCGATATAATCCCTTGAGACGTCCGTAAATCATCAGATGTTCCCTGACTGTCAACGCAGTATCTATTGCGGTGAATTGCGGACAGACTCCGAGTGAAAGGCGCGCCGCTCTTGGTTGGTTAACAATAGATACATCGTTGATAAGTACGTCTCCTTCGTTCGGGATTACGTCACCGCCTGCAAAGCAACCCCAGGTCATAACGCTATTCAAGATCAACTTCGATAACACATACGAATCATATTGAACGTTGTCGTCTTGCCCGCACCGTTCGGCCCAAGAAGCGCAAAGATCGTATCCTTAGGTACGCCAAAACTCACATCGTCCACAACTTTATTTCCCGGGCTGCCATACGCCTTGACGACGTTCAACACACGCAGTGCGTCGTTGGACTTTGCGGCCGCTGCTGCTTCGTCATCCACATCATGACGGCGAATACAGGCGGCGCGCAACTCTTCCACGCCCGAGGCGAGCTTCGTTGTGGTAGAATCCCGCTTATGCGACTTGAGACGACGCGGGCGTATGGACCCAGAGTCCACCCAAACTAGGATAGCAAATAGCGCGAAGCTATAGCCGATGAGGTACAAAATAGGCCCTCCGAATCGAGAGAGTTGGCCCATTGACGGTAAAGTGGCAGGTTGGTTGCCGTCACAGAGCAACGAGAACAGATTGACGGACACAAATGCGGCATGCACCTTAAAGGGTGAGCTATCAGTATCATGCATACAGGTTGGCGAGATTCTGCATACGGCGCTGACTACAGGAGCTGTAACGGACAGCGTGAAATCTAAGTACAGTACAGATTCAGCTGAGGCATCGCGCGTACTGACTGAAGCCACGTACGAATGATGCTGAGATCACGCGAGCTGTCGAAGACATTTGCATATGTCACGATTATAAGGTGGGCGGCGAAATAGAGCTAAAAGGATGGAAGGATACGTATTAGACGATTCTTGCCCACGCCAGATCATTACTTACAAGAAATGTGACGATTTGGTATCCAGCAGAGAGTGCAAATGCCGCAAGGGGGGAGTTCACCGCCAGGGATACACAATAAGAAAAGAGCGCTGCGGCAACGCCATACAGGACAAGCACCACCCACTACGATGTCATAGAAGCATCAGTACTCGTGATGAGCCATTTCCACAGTCAATTGAAACTCACGAATAGACCAAGTCCAGCAAACTGCGTAGAAACCGTAGCAAAGATGATTATCATGACAGTCGCGACGATGAGGGAGAATATTGAGTCGAACATGAGATGTCCTAGCCACAGCCCCACCGGATTGGACAGGCCGTTGGAGAACTGCATAGCCTGCACCGAAGAGCGCCGTTCCTTCGAAACATACAGCGAGAAGAACGCCGGGAAGGCCGACTGCACAGTATATTCAGCACCATTTCACATCGAGAACACATTGAGCGCGTACCATCGCAGCACCATAGAATGCAACCCATTTCAATGTATCCAGCGTCTCTCCAAAATTGAACTTTGCGAAGCGCTGGAGATTGGCCATGATGAGCCGCGGAACCCCAATGCCTTTCCCTGACGCGTTGACAGCATGATTTAAAAAGACATTTGATGCAAGATTTAGCATGGTTAAGCTGGTAAACCCAGGAGGAGTAGCCTGCCATGCAACGAGCGCTGAACTCGAGTCCAGATCGAACGAAACGCCTCCGAGAGGGAAGCTCAAGTAATTTTGGTGTACTTGTTCGACGAAGGTCGCATTGTTGCTGATGTTGTACACTGGCACCGTCTCCATAGTCCGCCCAAGCGTCGACAGGATACCAGGCGGCGAGGCGAGGACCTGAGCACCAAAGATGCCGTATTTTGCAGCTTGGTTCACCACGGGCGAGTACGGCGCATACAATGGCAGGCTTTCGACGTCCGGGAAGGCCTGCACGCATGTCTGGGCAGGCAGACCAGAGATGAAGAACAAGGGCGCACAGGCGCCCCCCACGGCGATGAGGACCAACAGCAGAGGTGTGAGCCAGCTGCGTCGTGCGATGAGTATGCGCTTATGGAACACTGTTAAAGCCTGTCCCACCGGCGACCTTTTACGGCCGTTGGTCAATCCCAATATCGGAAAGCTGCCTTCGGACAGCGTCGCATCGTACACCTTCTCCTTCGTAGCGGATTGAGTCTCTGTGTTGCTGTGCATCAGGGTGAGGAATACATCTTCAATGGACGCGCTCTGAACGGAATATGAGTCGATGAAACCCTCTTCTCGTTCCATCTCGAGCATCTTCAAAACTTCGTGCACTATTGAGGAGTCTCTTGACCTCAGCTGATACGATGTTCCATTCGGTGTGGAAGTGGAAATGAAGGCGAAAGGGGCTAAGAGACAGATGCGCTCAAGGAGTTCCGATGGCTCGGCAGAACCCTCCTCGAGATCGTCAGGGAAGGTCACATGCACAGCGTACCCTTCACCCAGTTGAGACTTCAAAGCGACCGGAGTGCCCTGTGCAACCAGCTTCCCTGGCGCTGCAAGAATTGCGATCGTGTCGGCGAGAAGATCGGCTTCGTCGAGGAACTTCAAGCAAATGATTCAGTATCTGAGTTGTTATTTGGTGTGATAGACACGTACGTGAGTTGTGAAAACTATCGTTCTCTCATGACGCACCGACGTCAACGTTCGCCACAGAGCACGGCGGGACAAAGGGTCCACACCGGAAGTACACTGAGTTCGCTGTCAGCATCATAGGTCTACCTGGTCATGCACGATAGTTACCTCATCCACCAGAAGAACTATAAGACGCGACAGATGATTAGCTAGGTTGAGGATTTGTTTAAGGAGAAAATAACGAACTTTTAGACCCTCCCACCAACCCAATCGCCAGCTGAAGCTTGCGCTTCTGTCCGCCGCTGAGTGCATTCGCATTGTAATGGACCTTCTTGCCAAGATCGCAATCGTGCAACAACTGCTCGATGTCCTCTTTACTGGAGGAATCGCTCAGGGGTTTGATTGCCTGCCAGAGGCGCAGTGTCTCGTAACACGTCAACTCCGGGAATAGCACGTTCTTCTGGGGGACCAGGCCTATCGTCCCTAACGGAGGACGTTCGGCCCCGCCCTCGAAGAGTACTGTGCCGCGTGTGCGCCCCAGGAGCCCGGCAAGAATAGACATTGTTGTAGACTTGCCCGCTCTGTGTGGCAGAGTCAACGAGGAAAATTCATTGTGAACCTGCAGTGCTTACCCGTTCGATCCGAGTAAGACATAAATGCCGGTCTTCGGAATGTCCAGACTGAGGTCTGCTACTGCAGTGACCACCCCTTTGTTGCGTCTGAAAGTGGATGTCCTGAAATCCTTTCCTAGATTCCGAATAGAAATAGCGGTGCCAGCTGGTAGCGATGATATGCCATCCTCGACCGCTCTCTTTTGCTTTCCCCAGAAATGCCAAGACAACTTCGAGGGGTTGTGGGCATCATACAAATATCGCTCCAGTAACACCGCGATGCATGGCCAGAGGAAGATATTGATCTATATACTAGTCAACATTGACTCAGCAAGGCCGCTGACGAAAATAACTCACGATGGCTGCGAAGATGAGTGGCAGGAGTCGCAAATGATTATCAGGATCCGGTCGGATTACACTCGTTGGTATCTGGTGCACTTCAAATCCGCAGACGGCGCGGATGGCGAAGATGTAAAATCCTGGCGGGAAGAACAACGAGTAGATGAATGCGGAAACGGTGCTAGCATGCTGAAATACAAGAGCTAGAACAGCGAAACCTATGGCCAGCACTGTGGATGCAATCGCTGCAAGCTGAGGGCTCCTTCCGAACGGAACGGAGGCAAAGAATGACCAGCTTGCCAGAGAAAGGCCCAGAAGAAGATGGATCGCGAAGACAAGACCAGTATTCGTGCCTGTGAAAATCTGAAAATGCCAGATGACCGAGACGAGAGTCCATGCGGGAATATAAATGAGTGATATGGTAAGGTGCCAGGAGATAATACGAGCAGAGTCCATGAGACCCATGGCTTTCATGTGGCTGGTGAGCTGGGTCGCCCGCTCGAACATGACGGACCCAGGCAGTTGGTATGCGATGCCGATATAGCATATGAATAGCGCAAGGACGATGAGGTTACGTGTTCCCCTGACGAAGCTCAGCCGGACATCTGTATCTTGCTCAGCATTCGTCTCCTGCGTGAACGGCCATTCTAGAGGGGCCGGAAAGGAGATATTCGTTGTGAGTTCGATGATGGCGTTGTCCACGGCCCATTGCAAAGGTATCATCCGCTGCTCATAGCTGCTCGTGTGCTTCAAGACGTTTATGTACTCCAGTCCATAGTCCACTCTAAGAGTGTAATTGTACGGCTGCGAAGCGCTGCTGACATTGCTGGAGTCAGGAAGCGAATTGAAGATCAGTGCACCAAAGCACTGGGATTGGCCACTCCAGTTTTCCGGACAGTGTGCAGCAACGTCGCTCGGCGAATCAACCTTTTGCACGTTGCTCAGCTGCCAAGGGTTGAAGCCGCTCGTGATATGCGCCATGATGTCCTCCGCTGATGGCGAGCCAGCACCATTCGTGCCGTCCGCCCACAAGAGCGTCAGTGAGCCATCGTACTGGTCAGAAAGCCGCTGTACTGGAACAGCTGTTCCCAAACCATCCTATGCAAGGAACAGTTATGAACGAGAAAGCAATGAGCAAACAGCGAACACATACATTGTTCGGCCTGAAAAGGAGGAACTGCGCAGCTGCAAGAAATATTCCATACCCAATTGGGAGAAGAATACAACGGACAACGTTGAGCTGGAGAACGGTCAGCTCCTGTCAATGTAGTACGACGAAAATCTGCACACCCAAGGATGTTTCGACAGCACTATCACATTCTTCCGCATCAACGCGGAGAACTGTCTCCAAAACAGGCTTCGAGGCATCGCTGACCGGCCTTCACCAGGAAGGCGAGGGTTTACGCAGGAGATTCGGGGAGCGTCACGACTACATTTGCTCAGCCGCGGGGGAGGGAATGCTTATATGCAATGACTTGTTGGCTTTGCGCTGCTCCACGCAAGCATCGCACGCTGCACGGCCATCTAACCGCTCTTGGGACAGATACATCCTCGGCGCAACATAGGCGGGATGGCAGCTGTCGAGACTCTGTTGCCACGGCTGAACATCGCCGGGTTTTACTTAGCATAGCTTGTGCTGTACGCGAAAAATGTCGTCAACAATCTTTATGACTCAACTATTATAAGATCATGTTTCAGTGCTATACTGATCAAAAGCAGACGAACTGCTGACCGGTGAACCACGCTTCGCGCCTGGCGCTGTCGGCAACAATCACATCATATTTTGATCCCGTCAGGCGTCCCTCGAGCGGCGGCGCAGTTTGGGGGCTGCCGACGCTCGATAGGTAGTGATTACACTATAGATAGCTGATCAGATCACATAAGTCTCCGACGCGTCTGCTCCTGGGTCAAGAGGCAATGAGTTCGGTACTTACATGACGGCTCCCGCAGGGACCAAACTGGCTTCGGAGAAATCTGGCATATTGACGACTAGCGTTGATATAAGCCCTTCGTCTGTTATACTGTGGAGTCATGCATCATGAACTGGAAGCTGGCGTTAGTGGTGATGCCAAATATTCGTACTTGAGGTTGTGATCCGACTCTGACCGCAGCGCCCTGTCATGTCAGTCACCCTAGAGACAGGTTAACCCACTGTCGACAACCCGGATATTTGCGACCGGCTGGTTTCTCTGGTGGTGACCACTTTGATGTGGGATCAGAAAAGGACATTGAGGATTTTGGAAAACTGCGATGGAGAGCGTGAGAGACCCAAGTTGCAAAACTTTGGCGCCTAATGCTGGCACTCCATCCATACCGTAGAGCGTAGCTGCGACTCTCGTCGATGCAAATCTTCCATAAACTCTCTCTAACACAGCGTATCTACGCTTCTACTACTTATGTCAAGCAGTGTGGATCGTCTAACCAGCCCATTTAAGAGCGGACCGTGACAGTGTGCGAAGCCCTTTGATCCAAGTCGTCCTATAAGCCTCCCAAAATCCGGTTCAGACCTGTTCAACACTTAAATGATTACAGAGGCAGCTACGATAGCTGTACATCGCATACAGGTCCCGCCCAGCTCTGTGTAAACAATCTCCTCTTCCTACGAACGTTCAAATCAAGCCTCACCTGTGCAATCACTCTTCAGGCAGCTCACCTTATACCTACCTTATACCCGATCCTTCTCTCTACCAGCTAATTTCTTTTAATATAAGACAGGCAACATGGTTTGCACAGATATATGACGCATAGATGCTCGCTGTCTTTCTCCAGATAGTCTTGCGACCCTCGTTCATCCACGAACAGCGCCGATTTTTGTCCTTCAAGGATAATTCCAATGTCATGAAGCCAAATATCCACCTCACCCTGCATTTGGAGATGCAGCACTATGCAGCACATACTCCCAGCTTGACGCGCCAGACTCATGTCTGGTTTCGTGCTTCATAGTACTGATAAGTTGAACGTGGTTCATCTGCAAAGAAAAGGATGCCCCCCCCCCCCCCAAACGAGGCAGCGAAGGCGCCATGCTCAAGATAGAGGTACTCTTTCAAACCCTCTCTTCGCTTATCAGATGTCAGAGAACAAAGATGGAAGATCGTGGTCCTGTCAAGTTCTCCGTTTGGCAACACCCTTCGGAGGTATGATGGCGAATATTCGTGCTGCTCTCCAGCCAGTGAACGAAACAACATGCTCACTGCTTAGATCCCTGTTCCTCTGTCATGCATGTACATCGCTCGCACTGCCACCATTTCAGACGGAGAAATAACACACGGAGAGACCGCCGGCCGAGAGGCCGGCAAAGCAGGACAGATTTGAAGTTGTATCTCCTCGCATCTCCGCCTTCATGAGCAGCTGATCGCGTCGACCACATTATATATAGGAGCCTATGACGCGATTGTAGGGTACACTCTGTATACTTACCTTGGTCACAATTAGTATGAGTATTCTCCATGGAGTCATAGCTTGAACTCTGGCTACCTTTCAAACTGCATTTACTCTGAGGAATTCGATGAAATCGTCGAACCATTCGTATATTCTCCGCGTTTTCTTTTCTCGGGCTCTGATAACGCCGAATATACTCTTCTTTGCATGCTAGCTGGTGGCGAATCCGCACATTCAAATCACCTGTGCGGTATCGGGCTGTGGCGCATCGCGGTCACGCATCTACCAAACAACGCGTCAATGAGTGGCTGCAAGCCGCCGCTGGTAATCACACTTACTGTGTTGTCTTCACACTCTCATCCCATCGCACACTTCCAATTATGCACATAAGCATACCTATCAAGGTATTCTTCCAATTGCGAGCTCTAAAATGATCTTACTCGATATCATCTTGCCCTAAGAAACAGCTGGCTCGCATTGCCGCAATTGAAGCAGAGATTGACGAAATACAGAAACAGCTCGGGTATCGTCCTCCAATAGGTCCTGTATTTATTCATCTAACCTTTCCAAGTGAGGGGGAAGACGCGAAAGAGATCGTCTCCAGGCACATCAAGCTCCTGCATCGGTACAACGAGACGAAGGATGCAGCTCAGGTGCGATCTCCTCCAATCGTGCGTGCATATATGCGCATATATGACCTTGACTTCGCCGCATATCAGATCTTGATGGGACGGGTGAGTGGCTGTAGATGCCCAGCAACGGCTGCAGTGCTCATCGGTCGCTAGCTGGCCTCGCACCGCCAATCCACTATCCGTCAAATCCACGAGGAATATGGCCTTGCAGATGATGATTAAGCGGCTCTTGTGTCCGTATATAATGCATATGCTTCGAATTAATGCGTTTCTGTCGGGAAACAGCGCATATAATCATTTTCGTTGTTCGATTACGATCCAACTGGTCCCGTTTCCACACCAGATGTCTACGGCCCTTCCACCGTATTCACTCGGATCTGCAGGCGGCCATATAAGCACTGGAACGTCGACGTCCGTAGTGGAACCCATGCCGAGGTTCCCATGCTCGTTCCATCCCCATCCCCATACCTCCATCCGCGGCGCTCGTGTTTCGCTGTCCTGCGATATCAAATCACCGGACGATGGCGCAAAGTCCTCCATTCCAATCAACTCGAACAGAGACAAGACATGCTCGCTCCCACAAGCGACCTTGACAAGCCGGTGCGAACTCGGTGGGAAAGGAAAGTCCACTGAACCAAGTGAGACTGCATCACGAACAACTCCTCGACCGAGCTGTCCCCTGGAGTGGCTACCCGTAGCCATGATGAGATAGCCAGAGGTATTGCGCACGGTCGCATACGTGCCGTGCCATGTGCAACCTACGCTGATCACATCCTTCAGCGTTCCCAGGCCACGCAGCTGAGCCTTGCGGTTCGAACCTAGCGCGGACAATCTCCCTGAGCTATGCAGGAATACTGAATGTTGGTTACCAGCAGCAATCGACTGAATGGATCCCAGTCCTTGCACATCATCGAGGCCGAGAGCGATGATACGAGGGGATGTGTAGAACAAAGGCAACTTTTGAGAGCTACCTGTCGCATATCCTACTTGGCCATGTCTCGCTGCGCCCCATCCGACCAGATACTGAGTGGAAGTCCCATTCTTGAGTGCCAAGTTAACTTGAATGACGATATGATGTGGACCAGTGGCCAGAGACCGAATAGTGAACGTGCGGTCTACATTGCCGAGTTCTGTATCAAAGAGAAGCTGCAGGTCGACGACATGAATGGGATCCCTTCCTACAGTCTTCTCTTTCACTCCTCCCACTCCGAGGTTCCCGTAGTCGTCAGCACCCATCGAAATGAGCACATCGTCCCGACCAGCGCACGACAGTACCACGTACGATGTTTCCCACCCCGAAGCTATCAAGCGTGGGCTATATCCTTCCAGATATCTCCCGCGCGAGTGCAGTCCGAAGTCCAACCGCCTAAAGTGCGAAGTGGATGCCGGCCCCGAGTCTGCAAGGTGTGAGGGTCCGAGCTGTCCCTTGCGTCCATCACCACTGCCCCATACCTGAGAACCCTGCGACGTAGAGAGAAGTACAAGCGTATGGTTGGAGCCACATGCGATCTGAGTAACTGCACGCGTCCCAAGAGGGAGTATTCCTGGGGAATGACCAGCGAAGATACACGGAGCAAAGAGATGTGCGTCCTCGTCGTTTCCCGTGGCGAGCTGACCTCGGGCGTTTGATCCAGCTGACAGGAGAGAGAGCGAAGGCATCTGTAAATACCACCAGAGTTTTCGACAAAAAGCAGATCTGCTACTGGGATCAGCTGAGTCTAGCTGAGTCCGTGCATCCAACTTGCAAGACTCAATGCGTTGGACCCCGGAAGTGCCTTACATTAGACGCCAATCGTCTTCGTTAATTCATTCCTCATCCTGACCCTGTACGATCTCGCCAACACTGCACGCGAAATTTAATCTTCATCTTCCATCGTCGTGTTGACCTACCTTTTTCCTGGCGGACGCCTTGAATCATAGCATGGGTGAATGAGAAACGGACCCGACTTTCTTTCCTCGTACTCTTTGCACGTCGGGAAGAGAAGAACAGGCCGGACCGAGGCTGCTCAGACCTCTTGACCCCTCGCATCTCAAATGCTCACAGCGGAGAGCCGCATTGCTTGTCAGCTGGACATTTCACTGCCCATGAGACACGTCTAACAACGACTTGGCTGGGAATACCGTCTTCTGGTACCTGGACTGAGGATCCTCTGACTGATAAGTAGTGTGTGTCGAAAAGCCTCACGCCCACTCCTGCCCGCGTCCAAGTATGGCCTCCGCATCGCTCGTCCAAGCCCTCCGTGCCTCGAAACCCGCGTTCGGCGCGTGGATTACGATGCCGGGCGCGCTCCACGCTCGCACCGTCGCTGCCTCATCGCCTCACCTCTCCTGGATTACCCTCGATTGCGAGCATGGCATGATATCCCTCCTTCCCGGTGTCTCTGAGGCCATCCAGGCGGTGTCGAGTCTCGGAAGCTCCGCGCCAAGCGCGATCGTACGTGTGCCTGCCACTGGAGCGTGCGCAGACACTAGCACCAGTTGGCAAATCAAGCAGGCTCTCGACGCTGGCGCGCGTGGGATCATGGTTCCTATGGTGCGCTGCGACCTCATCTCCGACATATGCTCTGATTGATTAAGCGTTCCTGACATGAGGTGTCCACGTCTGCCCAAGCGCAAGCCGTTGTAGCAGCCGCTCGTTTTCCACCGAAGGGGATTCGCGGATTTGGAAGCCCTTTTACTGATTCGGTGTGGGGCATAACACCATCGGAATATCTCGCAACCGCCAATGATGGGATACTGGTTCTTGTACAAATCGAGACTCGCGATGCCATGACGAATTTGGATGGCATTCTTTCTGTAGATGGCCTCGGTATGCCCTTCGTGCTTCTTGTTGATGATTGACAGTATGACTTACTTTTCGTTGTAGATGGTGTTCTCATTGGCCCGTATGATCTGTCGCTCTCGCATGGATACCCACCGCCGTCTCCAGATCCGCATCCGGAAGTCGAGTTGATGATCCAAAAGATACGAGAGGGTGCACATGCCAAAGGCAAGAAATGGTCAGTAGCTCCGTGACCTGTTCCGGATGGCTTGCAAATTCAAGTGTCTTCATTCTCAGCGCCATGTTCTGCACTACGGGTTCTCAGGCAGCTAAACGCGCTGAGCAAGGCTTTGACATGGTATGTGCCGTGTAAGCCCCGTCTTCGTGACACGAAAGAGTAATCATTATATAATCACAGATCAACGTTATCTCAGATGCCTCCGCACTCACGCAAGGCTTGGCGCAGAATCTTGCAACAGCCGCGGGGCAGATTGCACCTCCGAAGTCTGTTGGATACTGATTGGTTTCTCCGCGATATTGTCCATGTTCTATCGTAAATTGAAATTGTCATCACTCGCTGCGTACTGGCTGGTCGTGCTATGTACTTACTCTGTGCAGGGAAGTCTCATGCCGAATAATACGTCCTCAGGAGATCCGGTGATTTGCAAAAAGCTAGATCGATAGCTTTTACGTATCTGCACCGTCTAACCGTGATCCTGACCAAGAAGACGAAGATGCGTCATCATTTCAACATTGGCTTCGATGTAGGTCTTATCGTGAACGGACATTTCCACGCAGCCGGCCTTTTCAGTTCAGTAACTTCCGTGAATCCCCCATTGTCTGATGTTACAAACGATTTTCTACCCATCGCTTCATGCCGATCAGTGTTGACTGCCGCGATGTTGGTAAAGGTCACCATGCTCACTGGGCCCATCTTCCCCCTCTCCTCGTGATCGAACATGTCGCTCCCAATCAAACTCAATTTATCTACGGTGAGTTGACGAAGCTTCCGACATGGGCATGTGTTTTGAGTCACATCCGACTACAGGAATACTGCATTTCCGCTGTATTGAAAAGATGGCGCCACTTTGGCTGCCGAAGGCATTCCTCCTGGATTGCAGACTGTATCATGGTGCCGCAGAAGATGGTGTCTTATCATCGCCGCCAGTACGCCCTGCAAATCTCAATCTGGTCATTCGTAAAGATGTTTCATTCGCTCCGAAGCGGCCTGACTAACACCATGAAGTTTCTCGTTCTTCGGACCTTATGTGTCTAGAAGCTCACAGAAATGACATTTGTGCTGCGTTCTCCCCTCCCCCCGTACCTTATGCCATTTCTCTCTCAGATGGCGGGTACAAATGGAGAGTCTGCCGTCAACGAAATAATGATTCACGGATCAGCCTGTACCTTGCAGTGTACTTATGCAGACTCCTTCAATGTATCTTCTCCCAGACTACAAGGTCATTCAGGTGCCGGATGAATGCCTCAACGTCTCAGAACATGCAACGGTGATATACCGGTGTGCTGAAAAGTAGACTCTTTATTGTCGTAAGAGGAGGAAAAAGCCGTCTAATTCCAATGAAATATCATGAGGCGCCTCTCCCGGAACTGAGCTACTGCTATCTACTAGGACGCGAAGGCAGAGGCGTCCATGAGGTATTCTCCTCCGAGCACATCCTTGAGGCGATATCGAGGGTTAACCATGTAAGCACCGATGTAGCCCACCGCAAAAGTCTCCCATGCATCCCTCACTTCTCCTTCGCCCAGAATGTCACGGATACGTTCAACAGTCGCGACGGTATCACTGATGACAGCCTGAAGTGTCTCAGGAACAGATTTTCTGGTTACAGATGCGCGCTTGTGGATGTAGGTATCCGTATCTCCGGCAAGTTCCTCCTTGTAGAAGGACAATATATCACTGCGAAGCGAGATGATCAGTATGCAGCCACATTGTCAGAATCACTTTTCAATGTGCGTAGCTTACTTCACGTAGTTCACATAAAGCATAACGTCCCTGAAGAGGAGAAACTCAGTACCGCAAAGATTTCGCGCTGTCATGCCAGAGACTTACGGGACGGCCTGCATGAACACTTTCGTGTCGGGGAACCGGAATTTCTCCCAGATGAAGCAAGCGTAGGCTTCCGTTGTGGTGCGCATACCCCGCTTATACTCTACAAAGCGGAAATCATCAGGCGATAACGGCAACCCGCTAAAGTCGTTCTCCAAAAGCGACGCGTTAATGTAGCGCAGCGCAGAAGCGTAGATCGTGTTGGCGGAGAAACCAGAATAATGATCCCACATGTGGCCCAGAATCTTAGTAAATTCTCCGAGCATGCCAGCGTTATGTTGGATGTCGCCGGTGCACATTTTGAGAAGGAATGTGCGGACGCCGAGCGCATTGAACACAGCTGGGTCATCGATGGCGATGATGAGCGTCGTGAACAGTGTGATCTGAACTTTGGTGTTGAGACTCGGGATGTTATTGTGAGCTGTCGCGGTGAGAATGATGGCAGTGACCAGATGAGGGCGAAGAAGATCGCCATTTTCCCAGAGTTGTACTGCTTCTTTGACTCTCGCTTCTAATACAGCGTCTCTCGTATATTCCGGAAACATGAAGTCGACCTTCTTGAGAAAATCAAGTATCACGGTCTGTGAGACCGTAGCGGCATTCTAACGTAGGAGCATTCAATACGGTAGAACATAGAAAAGATGAGCCAGTAACAGACCGGTGCGTTTATCTTAGACACATTCATGACTAGTGGCTTCAACGATCCGAAGGCAGCTTTTGATGTGTGCAAGCGAAGGAGCTCGGACGGCGGAAGCTTGCGCTGGAAGCTTTTATCGCTCAATTGAGTCGGGGTATGAGTAGATGAAGGTTAACGGAGAACAAGATAAAACAATAACAATCCAGTTCTGTAGTTAAGTATCATTGCGTCGTGTACCTCCAATTTCGCAGGCTCACCGCCTTGATCGCACCGTAGAATGCGGGCTTGCTACATTCATAGACGCTGCCATCAATGACCATACTACAAAAGGACGCAACGGCTGCCGGCTGGAGCTTAATTCCGACTTCATGTGAAACAGGGTTCTCTTCTCGAATTGGAGCACGGCCGCAAGTTCAAGGAGCACCCTTGATCATCGTATCACGGTGCAACGGTTGATATTCTATTCCTGAAAGAAAACCTCCGCAAGCATTCTTTCCGCACGCGTCTCCCAAATTTGACGTACTCGGCTGCTGCTCATACTGGACATCAGTAGCCATGTCCATGATGAGTGACACATACGCCTACAGTATTTGCTTCGCCGAGAGCCATCCACTGAACTAATATCGTAGAAGACAGTGACGCATTGACTCCTGCGGCATGTGCATCCGCTAGTGCAGTTCCGTTTTGATCGGAACATCCACAGACTACAGTCATGGGCGGCGGAATAGCCTCGATCGCGGGAGCTATGATTACGGCAAAGTATTCGAACGGGAGCTGCATCGATGGGAAGGGAACATCATTACCAAGCCATCTGTACTGCGTGAGTTCGGTGAGAGAATCAGAGAGCTTTCAGCGCTCTTAGTACAATTTTCATTGACACAAACTGCACCATGCCTGATCTTGTTAGTCTTGTCCGCTTAAAACATCAGTGACGATGTTGGATCCGAGAAGAAAAATGAGCGGAAAGATGAACCAGAGATACGTGCCGTCTTGTCATGCACGATTCTGTTGTTCATGCGATATTCTGCAAGAAAGGAGGGAATGTATATTAGTGTCAGCACAAGCGGGACATTTGATTGATGAAGGCCTCGTTCTGGACATCATAGGCATAGCTGCTCACGATGGAGCTAGACATTCATGTTTGAAATGTACGGGAACGACTCGCCAGTCGATGCAGCATGCGAGACTGGGTATGCAAGAGGCCCAGTGGCTACTACTAGATTAGCAGGGGATGTAAGACATCCTCGTGTATCTTTACGGTCGGCGGGTTATTGATATGACCATTGAAAATGGGAGTGGTCGGGTACACTCTCGTCACCTACAGCTACAGTCACAGCCTGTGTTTCGCGGTCAGCCTGGGGTTCGGATAGTCAGAGTGTACGCACCTCGTAACGAACGGGATCGTCCGCAGGATACCCTCTCGATATAAATAAGGAACCTGTGAGATGGAATAGTCAGTAGCAGTCTGACTTCTTCTAAACATACATATGCGACATCCCTGGAAGAAGAAATAGATCTTGCTGTGCTCAGAACAGGAAATACTAATATATGTATGTAATGAAAAGATTCTGAAACGTTGTTGATTATCGAGTTCCGCGGTTGCACTCAAGTCACCAAATCTTGTGGTCCGTATACACTTTGACAAACTTGACACATACGCAACACGGAAGCACTGTCTGACGGTAATGCTAGCTTCCTATGGATGCAAGGTAGATGCACTGCTAATGCGCTATGATGTATATAGACCATGACATACCACCGGGGGCCTCTCCAAGATAACGGGCTGCCGACACGGCGCGCCAGCCCCTCCGCAGCATGCGACGCTTGGATACAGTGGGCAACGTCAGTACATGACACGTATCCGTTCTCATCGGATGGAGCAGTTACCGGCGAATGGAGAGCGGAGGGTCTGCGACATTTCTGCGAGTCTGGTAGGTCTCTGCTGAGAGTCATGCTAGCCTGCATGGCAGTTGGTGCATCGCGTGGACTCCTGCGCTTGACCACGCCTTCCAATTCAGGAAGTACAACTTTACTAGTATGCGCTACCACGTTGCAGTACGAGAGTTTAGTTTCGGACCTCCAATCACCGAGTACAATATGCGCTATCGCTTTGCAGGACGAGCCTATTCTAGCGTCAGAGGCTCTGATAATTGAATACAATGTGCACTATCGCATCACAGGCACCGGGGGCATGAGCCCATGATTCCGCCGGGAACATTTTGGACACATTGTAATAACAGTCCAAATAATTACGCAATGTTTTCAGTGCATATATCTTGAAATCATTTTGAATGTTTTAAGATGTTTTAAGAATTAGCATTGTGGAACAATTTTGATAGCATTCATAAAGATGCAAGAATGAGACCCCAATGTTGCAGCTGACAGCATTCAAGCAATATTGCCATAACACTATAAATGTTTCTTCAGAGAAAATTTTAAATGATATCCATGAGGGGCCATGATGTCTTCAAGATGTTCCCATTGAGTTCACTGTGATTGCATAAATGGTATTGCTATATATAGCAATGTGCTAACCATATTAGGACATCTCTGATGCATCCAAGATGATTCCAGTCGGCACATGATGGAAAAGCATCTGGTACTCATTGCAATATCACATTGATCACATTTTTAATGTATCCTTATGATTCATTCAAAATGTTGCCAACATATTTTGTGAATGCTGGCCGGAGTAAAATTGTTGTCGCACCATGGTGTCTTTCTGAATAATGTCACAATTATTCCACAATGAACTCACTCGAAATAATTCAAATTATTTCATAATGTTTACATCAGTAACAGTAGAGTTACATTGTGACTGTTATCATGATGTGTTCAAAATGTTCCCGGCGGAATCATGGGCTCATGCCCCCGGTGAGGACAAGATTCTACCTCCGATAGTTCAGAGTATCGGAACGGTGCGCTATCGCATTGTCGGCACTAAGGCAAGATTCTAGCTCCAATAATTGAGTACAATGTGTCATAACGCATTACAGAACAAGATTCTAGCTTCAAGGGCTACAAAAGCCTCACCTTGCTCTAAGCTACACATCTCTGCCCTCTTCGCTGGTCGCTCATGACAACTGTATGTTTCTTATCGGTCATGCTATGAAAGAAGGATACGCTTATCGCACATTAATTAGGCGACTTCCTCGATGGCGGTGACCCTCAGTGCGGTACGCGTCGACGCTTCGTTCCATGATAGGTATTCATTCAATTTTCCAGAGGAGTGACTTACTCGAAGAATGGAGACACATCATGTCTCGCTTCCTGGATGTTAGTCCATACCATCAGCTATCAACGCTCCAACGTGACCCTGACCTGGAACATCGGGTCAAAGAGGCCACCCGAGGCTGGGACTTCGAAGAATCAATTCGCAAGCACATCGTGACGGGGCTCATCATAGTGATGACATCCTATAGACATATCACCGACATCGATATTCGTGTTGCTATCGTCCTGTTCGCCGCTCTCAATATCTATGTGGATGCCGAGCCGGGCGTCCTGGGCCATTGGAATCTTTCTCCTTTATGCGAGGCCTCTCGATAGGATCCATTCAACCTTACACCGGAGTGTCAGGAGCTGTAGCTCAATCCCTGGCGGTCATGTGGAAACATTTCCCGAGTTTTAGCGCCGGTATTATCCTTGTCTCCACCGTGCAATTCTTCAACGCCTGCATGCTTGAGCAGGAGACGAGGAGTGTGATGCTTCATAAGCGAGCCTTTCGATTTGTGGAATATCGTCGTGGACTGAGCGGAGAAGCGGAAGCTTTTGTCTGCTTCATTTGGCCCGTGGATCACTTTCCTGATCCTAAGACTTATCTTCGAGCGATGCCGTGAGTATCAAACATTCTCTCCATCAGACATTCCTTGTATTCAAATGAGAATTGAAGGGACGCAGTGCGCTATCTCAACATCACAAAGTGAGAAACGTTTACCGGGTCTTCCTCTTTACAGAAGCTTATATAAACAACGCAAATTTTGTCAGTGACATTCTTTCATTTTACAAGGAAGAACTGGCAGGAGAAACTGGTACCTATGTTCACGACCGCGCCTTCACTACGAGAAGCACCCTGCTTCAGACTATAAGTCAAGCAGTCAATGAAGCCATCGCTACGGCTGAGCGCATTCGCAAATTGCTTGGGAAGGGGGCGGCTAGGGACGCATGGGACAGCTTCGAGAGAGGTTATACTACATTCCACCTGCTCAGTCCGCGATATCGGCTTCAAGAGATACTGGGAGGGGAATACATGATAGACCTCGATACGTACGGTGGCCCTTTGTGCTAGACCTCGAATGCTGAACGCGACCGGTAGCAATCTAGAATTTCAATTGGTTCATAGACGAAGATGAATGGTCTGTCAGCACCTCGGCGTAGGGAATCGGTGACCACGAAGAAATGTGAGCGACGGCGAAAACGGGGATCCATGGATCGTTCGGTTGGCCATATGTTCCAAATTATACTTCAGCAGTGGACACTGGAGAAACAAAGGAACCGCTAGGCGCGAGTGGATAAGCTCCTGTCGGATAGGTCAGAAGTTAGAAATTAGTCCCGACTCGTAGAATGCTGCAACGCACCATGTTTACAATGAATACATGTCATTAGCAGCTGATCCCGCCAACAATGCCTCCCTGTAGCTTTTATAGAGTGATCTATTCACCGAGGGAATTAGGCTATTCGCACTCGCAACGAGCATCGGTTCAAGTTTCAGGTCGCAGACTGCCAGTGCTTAGCCATGAGATAAACCCAGGTATATGTGCGACACGCAATGTAACAGCGTGAGCATAAAGATTGCTTCTACCCAGAATTTCAGCTATTTGTGAGCAGAGGATAGTGGCAGTCTGTCTGACCGCGATCCACGAAGATTTTGGTGACGAGCGCGGCGGCGCTAATGGGCCGGGAAGAGCCCGGACTGAGCTTAAGTGGTAATTTTTGCGGAGACCTGCACGGGCGCTTCCCCGCTTGGCACCTTGAGTCCACCTACATAACGTCGCGCTGACTGCTACATTCAGCTCAAGGCTATGCGACATCTATCAATTCCACTGCACGTCATTTCACTTGGGTTTTCATCATGAACGGCTCCTGGCATCCCCTGCTGCACGATCTCTTTCTTGCAGTTGCGAAGCCTACTCTAGAGCAACTGTCGAAAATGAACAACGTCGAGGATTGCTCCTTCCGCAAGCATGAACATCATAGCTGCTTCTATTAAGATTCAAACATCAAGGAATGTAATACTGTCAGATAGTGATCATGAGTCGTGCGTCGCAGCGCAGCAACGACGGTATGTCGTTATCTTGTTTTGCCAATAGTCACCGCTAATGTGCCATGAGAATCCGTCTAGAGAGGCATGCTCACGTGGGATACAGCCAGTTGCCCATCGGCGTTGAATACCGAATGCAAAAGACGACAAACTGGGGAACTGGTCCGCCTTCCATCTTACTTGCGGGAACGGCGGATCGTCCTGTCTCGTCTGCTTGGGCTGCTCGCACCTTCGTCGACGGCCTGAGTAATCGACGCTTTACAGCAATTGTCTAAACATCTGCTATGCTGTAAAATTGATTTGGGACGTGCAACGGATTGGCTGCTGCTACCAATTCATCAACTTTGGGGTCTATGTCTCGGATAAGGTTCAGCCTTGCGGCGGCGGGATGCAGCTTTTGGCCTAGTGAATCTCCCTCTTGCTGTTTATGCTATAATGAACGTATGCTTCGTGCCAACTTAGCGTAACATTTTGCTCGGATATCGCGACTAGGAAATTATATCAAGGTACAAATGCGAGTTACAGTCAGAGCCGGCACTTCGAAAACGATCGCATAGCTTGTACGATGACTACTGCACCTGCTCCAGCTCGTAGGTCTCACAGCCCTCAGTCATACCCTGCTCGTCCTCCATGTTATCCTCGACATTCTCAAAAACAAGAGACGAGTGCTGGAGTTCAGCGCCGATGTTGCCAACCAGGCGAGAGGGAATGTCCGGCGTGTCCACGGCGCTGAGCGAAATCGTATTCAAGCCCACGCTGCCGAGGGACACCTGGCGTAGATTGAGGATGAGGCGTGATATCAGGATTGATGAGATTCTGATTGACTTGGTGAGCATGGATTGAGCTGGTTGGGTTATGACCGGTCGCTTACGGTAGCTGGAAAACTGTGACGTAGTTTGCGGGATTCTGCTTGAACGTTACCTTAGAGCAGCCATGCAGTTGTACGGGTAAACTCGCCTGTGAATTAACGTAGTGGAGTGTGATCACGATCTCGAGGACGTTGAGAAGCAAAAGGGCCCTGATGAACGGTGGAAGAACAGAGTCATGACAAGGCACTGTGACAAAGCCCGACATACATGAAGTAGAGCGTGCCTTGAATGGGCTGTTTGTAAGGCATCGCATGCACTCAAAGAACCACACATACTCACCGTCTCTCATCAGCACCGTGGCGATCGATCCTCTTAATCGTAACTTCCGCACTTCCATGGCGAGTCCGGCTGTTTTGAACCAAGTGACAAGGACCACGATCAGGTCGGATACAGCCGCGCAGATGCGATCGAAGATGACGACTGCAGGAATTGTGCGTGTCAGAGCAACAAGTCGTCGGTTTTCTTTAAACTCACGTCTATGCAAAGGAGGGTCAGTCCTAGGAGTGCCGACGTGGGAGAGGTGAACGTAGCACTTACTTCTTCTGTATCGCCACGGACTCGCGTTGATTACTGTTACAAACTGGATAGCGGCCTACGTAAGTGACGAACGAGTATGAATATCCTGTATTTGCAAACTGCCCAGAGGTGCTCAACAGACATGTGATGGCGGAGAACATATATGCTCACGATGTTGTCGCCTACTGGCGCTAGCCCCAGTAGCAAGACTAGCAATGCAGGGACGATCTGGTGTCCACTAATGGCATATGTACGGAACGCGGAAAAGCCTAACGATTTATCAATCAGTCTCTTCACGAGATTCGAGGTCAAACAATCTCTGACTTGCTGTCACAGCCTCAAGAACAATAATCGACACGTTCTCCAATACGTTGACAGCTTCACAGCTGCGGCAACCTATTGACTGCGCTGAACATGTGACGGTGCGGCCGTCGGAGCTCACCTCTGTGTGCGCGTAGATCGTGAGTGCTCGATTCACTCGCAGCACGACACGACATGACTCACCAGTGGAGTATGCCACCAGACGGGATTCAGTGCGAAACTAACGCCTTGTGCCATGAGCATATAACGGTTTAGGGCAAAGATGACCGTGACAGTGGTGAACCTGGCTCCCCAGATGACGCGAACCTCTTCAGAGAAAGTCACAATGTACTCAAAGAAGATGAGGGCTGAACATGTTCAGTCTGTAAGTCGAATTCGATCGCTTAGAATGGTCCGACCCGGGAGCGTACCAGTAGCTGCGAGAAAACAGTAGCTGCTGGCGTATCTGTGACAGTGGTTACAAACTCGTCAGCTGAACGTCTCAGAAAGTATCGTCGTCCTCACAATTCCTGTAACATGTCCGCTTCTTCCTGAGCTAATATGCTTGCAGCTGACGCGTTCGACATTGTAGAGGTATCGACGTCGGTGACAACGGTCAATGCAAAACAGAACAGTTCTCGGAGGGACTTCAAGGATGCCCATCGGTACGCGACTCGTCTTTATATAATGCCCGATTGACCGGACATGAATGCAGAGGGTAAGGTTTAGATGGGAGCTTACGGATAGCACAGGTATTGGACATTGCCGAAAAGACCATCTGTGTGGCCTTCAAACAGAACAGCCATATCAGATTTTATATGTCTGGATCTGTTCACTGGAGGCCACATTCCATGCGCCTGTCTCTACTTGATCAGATACTTATCAATGTCTTGAATACAAGGCACACATACTTACTATAAGCATGAGATCTTCGCATGCTCCTTGTTCTTTCATCCTGTTCCAGACGTGTCCTTAGAGCCATCACATGGAAGAATGTGACCAGGCGTTGTTCCATGACTTTACTCGCGCTGATACGTTTACAAGATTTCATGCATGATATCCGTCTGACCCGCTCAGCGACAATGCTGCGTGTATGATTCTGGTGACGGTGGTGGAAATGCGGACTCGGAAATTCGGAAACCCTTGGCCTTGTTGAAAGTCATATTGATACCATTTTAGCGCTCACGTCACGCAATGTTGTCACACGCTTAGCATCGGGACCACACCCAGCACGCCTCTCACACAGCCTGCATAGATTTATTTTTCCACGGGAAACCTGATGCAAAAATGGTGAAACTATCTTATGTCTGGATATGGAAATAGTTTGGAAATTGGACGGAGACAATTAAATTATGTTACGATTGTTTTACCGAAACGTATCAGCAATAGTGAAACTATTTCCCCAAAGGAAGATATTTCAGTCCAAAAATATGTGATACCGATGTTTCGGTGAAGGAATTGTAACATAATTCAATTGTCTCCGCCCGATTTCCAAACTATTTCCATATCCAGACTTAACATATTTTCACCATTTTTTCATCATGTTTCCCGTGGAAAAATAAATCTGTGCAGGCTGTGTCACTGTCACAACGGGCTCCTCGCCAATGTCACTAGGTGCCGGGTGTTGATCGCGGTGCTGGATGCCACGCGCGCAGAGGGCCATACCGCATCCCGCCTTAACCTCCCGGTAAGACTTCGTGTCCATGTCAGGCCTCGCCAACTTGGCCCATCCCTCCCGACCCACCCCACATCGCCACCGTCTCCATTGCGTCTGGTGTACACCTCAACATGACTCGGCCTTGCAAGTCGCCTGAGTCAGTGTGGTATTTCTCCATTTTTGTAGTTACATTCGCTGTCGCTGCCACCTCATCTTTTCAGTTGACACATGCGATTTGGGCCTTTCGCCTTCCATAGTGCACTGTGGCCCCTTATTGGGCATCCCCCGTGCGCGACATTTGTCGCCCCGTCCTTGTCGTCACTGCCCGCTCTTTGTTCTGCCCCAACGCCGCATGCCCTGCTCCCTTGGGGAGCCTTCTCCCCCCTTCCATTATGCATGTAACCTTTGCCCCACCTTTCTTGACGCCGGGACTGGCCGACCGCGATCTGTAAATCCAGTATGAGGTATACCTTGAAACAAAAGATATTGTCACACGCTTCGAAGCATCCTTGAATGCCTTCCATTACATGCAATAACTCTGATTCAAAGCGCGCTCTCCGCAATCTGCCCGCGCAATATGTTTCACCTGACTCAGGAACCGCTACTCGCATGATCTGCCCACACATTGCATATTGCGGGAGATGTGGTAACACCACAGGAACGCACGCTTACTGGAAGCCCCACGCATCGCGATTTGTCTTTGACTCTCATGGATGTCCGAGTCGCGCAATTGAAAGTCCTTGTGGATGCCACGAATCCATGCCGAGTAAGCCGCGAGCTTCTACTAGAATACATCGCCGGAAGGGACGTCTTTGTGTCCCCACGTGCAATTCCGACTGTGATTGGCGGCTCGTGCTCACAGAGCGCGTCAACTTCGGCGATCATGGGGCCGCCGCTACTCATACGATCATGGTCGAGGGCTTCCTCATCAATATCGCCACCAAGAATCTTGAGGACACTGAGGTAGCTGCCGCTGGTATGCCTAACTCTCCGCGGATGGCCAGAAGGGTATATCTCTAATCTCCTGCTTTGAGCTTGTATCGGTACTGACGATTCTGAGTTGACGGGGAGACACGTATCGGACTCTGTGTAGAAACAGCAGAGACGGGCTGTGCCTCAACGGCAGCCATAATTGTATTTTTTAGTACCGAGTCGGAGGGCGTCGTCCTATATTCAGTTTCCTACCCAGCCTGCTCAAGATCCCGGCGGAACGTCTGCCGCCATATTCTGCTGTTCAAGCGCCAGCCTGACCCTCCCGCTGACTGATATAATGGAACATCGAGTGAGTGATGTCGGTGTTTAATGTGATTGGCTGCTCATATGTATATGTCTGATTCAGCTATATCCTCGAGCATCTCTGTTGCGACGCAGCATGCCTAGAGTCTCAATAGTCATAGAGCTCACAGATTCCGCGCAGGATGGAGCGCAACGTTCCCTTCGCCTCCGACTACGCTGTCACCCGGTGAGTGACGTTTAGTTGAATATGTTAGATGAAGGAATCATGCTGATTACGCGTCCTCGAGCCTATACCTCGGAGGTACAACGCGAGCTAGTCTCTGAGCAATTATCCCAAATCTCCCGTTGCAATAAGAGCGACAGCCGCTCGTGCACTCGAAGAGCTTGTCTACTGGCCCCACGAACTATGGTAGCCGTTTTTCTCTCTGCATGTGCAAGTAGGCTAACAGAATGACAGGTACTACATCGCATCAGCACGCCATGGGCGAACATGTTTCCGAATTCCTCGGTGACCTTGTAGGCTTTGCATCTCTTGCGGCGATTATGGGCTTCTTCATGTGGGCCATCTACAGCTTGCTACGGTCTATGGATCGTGATAGGATGTGTCCTTGCCTTTCAAATACTTGTATCGATTATCGTTGAGTACGGCTTCAAGAAGGCCGTGGCATTCTTGCTTGTATTCGGCTCCTCCGCGTGGGCCCTTTACAACATGTATTTTACAGGATCGTTGTACGTTTAATCGTACTTCAGATCCTGAGTACGGGCTTTTTGACGTTTACAATGAAACCCACAGCAAAGATCGTGTATGCGTGCTGTACAATATCGCAGTGATTGGTTGAATTTCACAGCTAGCTCTCGACACTTCGCGGAGTCGTAAACCTGGCCGTCGGGAGTTGCCGACGGTTTTCGCATCCGCGAAGTTGCTCAGGCTGAAGATTTTATAAAGGCCTGTGACTAACGTGGTTCATGAAGCTTTGAGGCCTGACTCAGTCAAGGACGTTGTAAAGTTGTCCTAGAATCGCTCACGTTGACTTTTGCTCGATACCGATACAGCTGGTCAAACAAGTACACAATCTGACGTGACTGCACTGGCGTCCGCCGTCCATAGCAAACCAGTCCAGGTCGTCCAAAAAAAACGCCATGACGCACAGCTGAGGAGTTTCTTACTTCCGAACCGCATAAATACTGGACGCCCGCGCATGTTGGCGTCTCTGCAGTTGCTCCTAACATCGACTAGCCCGGCATACCCGCCATGCGCCCTCCTGGCCCAGAAACAGCGACTCGGACGATCTGCAAGAGCATCGCAAATGGGGAGTGCGAGCACGACGCAGGACCGTATGCCTATCAGCAACTGCAGAGTTGTCGATTCAGCCATACGATCATGGACACCGTGCGATTGCAGGATCTCGTCGTCTGTTATGTACAACAGTCCCGCGAGCTCCTGCTCGAGTACGTGGCTGGTCGAGAGGTGTTTGGTGTCGCTTCGTGCAACTCTCAGGGGTGGCGGCTCTCGCTGACCGAACGCACGCTCGGTGATGAGCGTCTGGGCGAATTCCCTACCACTCGTACCTTGGTCGCCCGGGATTTCTCGATCAACGTCGCCACCAAGAAACTGGAGGATGAGATTGTTGCAGCATGCATGTATCTGTTCACGGAGACGGAGACATCGGTCTGCCATCAACATCGTGTCATCGGTGTCGCGACGCACTGACACATGATATCGTCTAGCCCGATGAATACCAGACCATGTGCCGTGATAATAGGGATGGACTCTGTCCTCTTGGACCGACCTGCCCAAATGACTACACTCTCGTCGAGACGATGCGTGTGCAGCGTATCGTCGGCAATACTCACTACAAGGATCCTATCGTGTACCTGTCTATTCGGTACGCCGTCCATGGATTTTGGCAAGTTATGCTGCATACCAGGATCGACCATGAGTGCGATGCGTGGAACGCTCCACTCATGTTCGACACTCCGATCTTTGCCGTTTGCCGCCGAGAAGAGCCTTGACGAGGCACTGCGACGGATCGAGGAAGAAGTAGCATTGATGGATGCCTCTCACCATCATCATATTACAGTATGTCCCGACGCCTGAAGTGTTATGAGACGCTGCAAGAATGTCCCGCAGGAATTTGAGGCCGATTCCGAAGATTCGCTGAATTGTAAGGATCAGCATGAAGAGGACAACACTGAGCTGCCAGCACATGTCGGCGAGATGGGGGTGCGCCTGGGAAGTTTTGTATGAGAAGTGTATCCGCCGATGACCAGAGATAAATGACTCTTCAATATCCTCAAGATGTCGTGGACAATGCCAGAGCCAAGCAGAAAGACGCCGTCACTCAGAGCTCAAGTTTGAACGTAATAGTGTGTGCCAATCTTCAGATTTTAATGCGTGTGGTAACTATTCTTCAAATAGCCGGCCGCTGACAGCGCATCCACGGATGCTTCTATTATGAAAGACGGACATCCCGATGGTCAGATGCGAGACAAGCAGAAAGCTAAAGTTGTCAAGTCTGACAAGAGCTCTACCGTACGTTCTCTCCCATTTCCCTCTTTGAACGTTCGTCATGAAGTGGGACATGTGGCAATTTTGGGCCTATGCCTCCTGCTGGAGCTCATCGCACAGCCATGAGCCCATCACCGAAGCATCAGATCTTTTGCCTGCAATTTCCATTTCATATCATCAGATGGATTTGATCGTCGTTCTAGCAGTCTGCATCAGTGTCTGCGGGTTCCGATTCTTTCAGTTCAACAGACAAACAGCAGCGAAGAGCTCGCACGAAGGACACCATTAACGAGGGCGCGCACGCCGTTGTCATCAACGCAACCAGGACTGTCGATGGAATCAATATTCCCGGTTCTCCGAAGCTGACGGCCACGCCTGATGCATTGCACAGTGAGGCATCTGTCTTTACGACCCTCATGACGTCTATCTGGTTTCTACCCTGGTCCTAATTTGTTCGTACTCTATCCGCATCATTGCATATACACACAGACATATTTTCGTCTCCTCATCTGCTGTGCGCGTCGCTGAGACTGGTTCCAGTTCGCTCTTCGCTGTACCGTCTCGGCTCGTTCGCTTGTCTCTGGCCTTTCGTCACGATCTTCGATGAGCTGGAAGGATTGCAGCTGGATGCTCGTAGGGACACCAGCATGTATCGCTTGTAGTTTTGCTCGACCGGCTCGAATTGACGAATGTTGAGTATCGTATTCCGATATACTGTACTGCGGTACATCTTTACGAGAATGTCACGCCATTCCTGACTCTCGGAAAGCTGGGGTGCCTGAGGACACATCTAGGCCGATTTCGAATATAGAGCGCCGTTGAAATCGGCTTGCAACAAGAACAAATGGGGCTGAGCACGATGCATATCATCGCTTCTCAGGACGTCCTCTCAGCAACAGGCAACCAGGGGCACTTTTTGAATGGCAATCTGTGATTATCTGTACTGACACGAGCAGAAAAACCGCTGTAACCGGCAAAATCGAACCGTGAGATCTGCAAACCGCATGCACAGCAAAGCCGGCAACTCACGCGATGCCTATGATGGGTATGACAAGGATGATGGGCATGTTACACTAGGTCAAAATTCCCCCGGCAAGTCTAGGGACGTCTATAGCTACGACCAGGAAGCGGGCTGTAACGCGAATGGAGAGTCAAGGGATGCGACGATCATGACGAGAACCGACCGTGCTACGACGCGCTTCGCCCGACTTCAAAGAACTGTTCAGCCAGCTTGCCAACATCGCCGCCTAATGCTTTTGCCCTGTGTATAATCTCCTCAAGCAGCATCGCAGGAAGGCCCTCGGGCGTGCGGGAGTATATATCCAAGCCCGCAGGTGTAAAGGCGGTCTTCTCGAAGGAGGTAAGCGCCCACTCTGGCCTGCCAGAGGGGGAGTCCGCGGGGTGGGCTGTGGCGCTGCAGCCGAGAATATGCCAGCGAGAGGACGCGATGAGCAACCAGCCCTTGCCTCTCCATTTAAAGCAAGTCTCTGCGGCTCTCTCGGAGGATGCTGTGGTTCCTGCAGGCCTAGGCACAATTGAGGAGGGAAGAAGGGTATCTATGCCGACTATTCGGCTTCGCTTGGAGGTCGGGAGGTCATTCTTAGAGCGGTATTCGACGACGTCCTCAAATTGTACAGGCTGTCCGGCGGACGAGGACATGAGGGTATAAGAGATGGTAACGTCCTTCCAGGACTTCAGATTCCATGCACGATTAGCAAGCGCAGATACCGGAAAGCACTTGCATGTTCACCTTCCACATCGGCAGCGTTGAATGCGTCACATACCTATCGACCTTGACTGTCAAGCTATAACTGCACTGGTGTCAATTATGATTAGAATCACCATGTGCCCATGAAGTCCCCGAGCTCAAAGCCAGGCAACGCCTCATCAGAGTCAGGAGAGCGCAAATGGACAACAGAAGGAGGATCCTTGGAGTCGGACATGGGATGGATGCAGGCAGGCAGCAGCCTCTGGGCGGAGGAGACCCGAGCAAGTGTGCGCGGTGCAGCGAGCGCCACACACGCGCCAGAGCCACGTGGCTGCGGAACGGAAGCAGACAACTGCAGTTGGTGGATTGGACGCCACCGCTGTGAGCCAGCACACGGACAGCCCTCCACCATCACGCTCCCCACCAGCCCATATCCTCCCCTCCTCCCTCGCCATCCCTCTCTACACTGCCGCTCCTTTGCCCTGTGCGAGCATCTTTGCCTTATATCCACTGCATTGGTCATCGACACTGCCATATAACACACTGTCTTCCCAACGCTTGATGCCGTGTCTCGCTGTTCGCCTGTACCGCTAAACATGACATCGCGTCAAGTTGAGTCCAAGTCCCAGCTTCAGGCCGCGCAGAAGCTGCAGATGGCTGCATCTGCGGTGGCCATCGAGCAGAAGCAGCCCTTCTTCAGCCCTCAGCTCACGTCGTACTTCATTGCGGGCGGCCTCGCCGGCGCCGCATCGCGCACGATGGTCAGCCATCTCGAGCGTTTGAAGATTATCCAGTGAGTGTTGGCTCTGCGGCGGTGTGAACTCAGATACTGATTGGGTGGTACGCAATAGGCAGGTACAGCCGACCACCGCAGAGGGGCAGTACAAGGGCGTGTGGGCGAGCCTCGTGCTCATTTGTGACGTTCTAGCAAAGTTGAAGGAATCATTTAGCATCGCCGACTTATATGTCTAGCTCTAAGCTTTGAGCACGGTAGCAAGTATCTCATGCTCAGGGGAGAGCTGGGGAAAGTCGTTGAGAAGTACGTCGCCGATCTCGGCAATCAGCGATGCCAATACATTGCTGCTGGCATCGCCAGCGACCAACCAACTATCCAGTGCATCTTCACCTACTCGTCTTGCGTTCTGCATCCGGCCCTCGTCGTCGACGTCTGCACAAAAGTTCCACCCCGGCTTATAACACCCGCACGCTTGACGCCGAGGTGGTGTCCTCAGGCGCACAGTTGACGCCAAATACTAATAAGACTCCTGTCTTGTTACCTCCCTGGCATCTTCTTCGATACTCCTACCATGTCTCAGATCGCCGACGTCCCTGCTCCATTCTCGCCGTTGGTGAAATTGAACTTGCCCCCTCCTGATGAATACCGCAAGCGCAAGGTCGCGCTCATCTCCGGGTGAATTGTTCGCATGTCCGGAGGGCACGTTGGTGGTGCTGACGATTGCTGCGTACAGGTATTACCGGGCAAGATGGATCATACTTGTGAGTGTCAGCACTTTGTGATTGTCTGGAAAGTTGTACCTCGGGACTCGCGTGACATGCGTGAACGTTGCAGCTTATAAGCGCTACAGGACTGAGCTACTCCTGTCGAAGGGCTATGAGGTCCACGGCATCATCCGTCGCTCTTCAAGTTTCAACACGAGCCGTCTGCACCATCTCTACTCAGACCAACACGAGCGTACGTCCCCGCCCCTGTTAACTCCATATGCCGCTCAACTTCTCGCAGGGCCCAACAAGTTCAAGTTGCACTACGGCGACCTAAGCGACAGCACGAACCTCGTGTACATCATCGCACAAGTGCAGCCGACCGAGGTGTACAACCTCGGCGCGCAGTCGCACGTCAAGGTCTCGTTCGAGATGGCCGAGTACACGGGCAATGTCGATGGACTAGGCACGCTTCGCCTGCTCGACGCAATCCGGACGTGTGGGCTCGATAAGCACGTGCGCTTCTACCAGGCGTCGACGTCCGAGCTCTATGGCAAGGTCGTTGAGACACTCCAGAGCGAGACGACCCCCTTCTACCCGCGCAGCCCGTACGGCGTCGCGAAGCTGTACGCGTTCTGGATCACCGTCAATTACCGCGAAGCGTACGGAATGTATGCTTGCAACGGCATCCTCTTCAATCACGAGAGTCCGCGTCGGGGGCGGACGTTTGTCACGCGCAAGATCTCGCGCGCGGCTGCAGACATCTCGTTGGGCAAGCAGTCCTGCCTCTACCTCGGTAACATAGACGCGCAGCGTGACTGGGGACACGGTCAGGGCCCTTCCTAGCAAACTATATGCGCTTATATTCACACTTCCCACAGCTGCTGACTACGTGGAGGGGATGTGGCGAATGCTGCAGCAGGACGGCCCAGAGGACTTCGTCCTCGCCACAGGTGAGACGCATCGTGTCCGCGAGTTCGTCGAGAAGGCGTTCGGCCTGCTTGGCATGGAGATCAAGTAAGTGGTCACGATCCAATGACCGCCGTCCTTGGCTGACGTCTGCATGATAGATGGCGAGGCTCTGGGACAAACGAGGAAGGCATCGACGCTAAGACAGGCAAGGTGGTCGTCAAGGTCGACCCGGGGTATTTCCGTCCCGCTGAAGTCGAGTGCGTCTGCTTCTCTGTCTGTGTGGTGCGAGTTTCAAATTGGTATGACCTCCCTTCCCCTTAGCCTTCTGCTCGGAAACCCTGCAAAAGCCGAGCGCCTGCTCGGCTGGAAGCGCAAGGTCGACTTCGACTCGCTCGTGAAAGAGATGGTAGAGGCCGACCTGAAAGCGGCGAAGTCGCTCGTTGAGGATCAGAACTGAGCGGACGGCTGGGCGCGGTTCTTGCTTGGATACGGACTCAAAGAGCAAGCTCTAGATACCAAAGAAATGGTGTCGTATGTAGGGGATCTGCATACTAGTATCTATGTAATACCCATTTTCGCTAGTTGAACCCTGCATCCGTCCGCGACACGTAAGAGTCGCTTGGTAGTATCTAAGTTTGACCTCACGCGTTAAGGAGACATACGCCTGCCCGTCAACTGTCGAGTATCGACGCAAAAAGTCTTGACCTAGTGGCTTCATCTAGGCATCTTGGGACATGCGGCAACAGTACCGTCCATTGATTCATACAAGCATTACAAACAACATGCGAAGTATACAAAGGACCGTTAATTGAATCGAGAATGATTGGGAAACAAAGACGGCTGCATTTTGGAAGTCCTCGTACCAATTAATTCTGCGAGCTGTCTGCCAGCCTTGGTTGAATCTTCCCTCGACTTGCGCTCTGAATAATGTTTGACTTGTTTTCGTGGTTGTTGATCCTCCCCGTTCATCTGTTGTATTGATACCAGGGTATCTGAATCATTGCAGATAGAGCCAGTTGTCCTGCCGCTGTGGTCATGCTTTGTTGCCGAAGATAATAGCCCGGCTGAGGAGTAAACCACACTTCCGCAGCCTGACTACTCTCACTATGGAGCCCACACTCTGGTTTGATGATGGTGAGTAGTGAGACCCAGTGAAAATCCCGTATGGTCGGAGTGAGGCAAATTGAGACGAATTCGAGCATTGTAAGCGCCCCGTTCTATCCCACCTTGCACGACAAATACGGACTTTTTCACTGGTGCAAAACAGGTTTGATCGGGGCAGAGCTACACAGAATATATGCATGTAATTCGTCCCTTTCTCCCTTATTTCCCCTTTCGTTCGCTGCCTCCCCGGCCCCGCTTCTCCCGATAGCCCCATATCCACCCTGATGTCTCCCGTTCTCCCCCATCTCGCTCGGCTCACCCTTTCTCTGCCTCGATCGTCACACACATGCCCCACACTCCACTACGTCCTGCTATGTCACATTTTCGCTCGCCCTTCGCTCGATCTCTGGACATAGAATAGATAGTTAATGTAATTTCTTCATGTGCATGACAGCGCGACTATACCTAGCTAAGCTGCCACTGTATTTCATTTCTGCTTTGAAGCCTGGCTGCGAAGATCTTCATATTTCTGATCATAATCATATGTCAAGTATTCCAATGCACCATAATCCCGAGAGTACATACCTTTAGCTCGTCGGGTGAAAGGCCTCAGAATGACGCTTCAAAAGCATTCTTATCGGTTGCGTTAGGATGGAGTTCAAGGTAGTCTTTGAGATAGAGATTCCTACACAAAACTGACACATTACGTGTATAAATCAATGGATTGTTATGATGCATAAGACGCACCTGACAGAGTTCGAATTCTTGTTGTAATGCAGCTTCACTGGCTTTGTCTGATTCTTCTGCTTGACTTCGAAAGCCAATGTTGGATGTGTGGCCACATCTTCTTGAGCAGAGGATGCCTGCGATCCAGAAGCGATCTGGGCAAGGGCAAGTAGGGCACCTACACGAGATCAGCAATGCGAAGCCATCTATGCAGTATTCGTACTATCTTTGCTGCTTGCAGCGGAAGCCAACTCCGTTCCTGAGGCTGCGCGTTGCTTTTCACGAGCGCGTAGGCTTGTTATGCATTGGCTAAGGATGCTGTGAGCACCATAGTTCCGAAATGACTATCCACACGTACAGCGGGTTTACAATCTGAAAACGCCAAGATTGTGTTAGCATCATCTCCAGTATGCATAGCGTACAGCTTGCTGACCTCTAGCATGTGTGCCCCGGGCACCTCAGACGGCGGCAGAGAATCTGTAGCAGAAATGTCATCTGTTTCATGCGTGTTAGTGCTGTCCATGGGAAGTGCACCAAAGATTGGTTCCAGGGAGATGGACTGAGAGTAAACGTCATCGATGACAGACAGTGAGGCATTGGAATTCGCAGTAATGGGTGTAGTAGTGGACTCGGTGGTGGCAAGAACATCATTCATGTCGCATGATGAAGGCATATTGCATGCCGTTGGCTGTGTCTGGACTGCAAGCATGGCGGCAGCATCTTGAGTAGCATTAGTGAGCTCCTGTTGAAGCGATGGCATTTTGCCAGTGGTACGAGTAATAGAGAAACTTGCTGGCAGCGAGACTGAAGTGTTGAGGCCATCGGTGTTGCATACATCTGCAGCATACTGTCACATCAGTGGTCGCCATCAATTATTCACGAGAAGCGTTACCGGTTACAATGGCTGCTTTCTGAGACGTGAAAATGGTGGGTTCGGAGAACTTGGGGGGAATATGAGCATGGGGTGTCATTGCAGCCACTCGTTCAGCAGCAGATGAGCTTGAAGAGGCAGCTGGCTGAGGCTGTGCAGTTGGCATCGCTCTTCCAGAGGGATAGGACGACGTATCTATTGTAAAATTGCATCAGATTCATTGTAACCAGATACTGGCAGCGCATGGATTAGTATACGTCACCTAGGGTACCTCTAGAAGACTTGCGGCGCTTTGAAAGGTGCATCGGGCTGTCCTTGCTGCGGCGTTTCAGCAATCTTGGCTTAGGTTGAGGCTTATTCTGCTCCTCTGCCTTGAGCCTGACGTGATACTTGTAGAAGGTCAGATAAGCCATCGTTGCAAGCTTCTTGGCCTTCCAATGAGAGTCACAAAGACGCATCTCCTCGAAGTGCCTCGCCATCATGTCAAGGTACAATGTGAGTGACTCTGCGTCTATGAGCCCCCATTTAGGTGTCGCCTTCCCCTTCTGTCGAAGCTGATGCCAGATTGCATGCGCAAAGTTCCTTATGTCCTCAGCTCTTGCTTCGGAGACAGCTCTGCCATTGCGGTCCTCGATGAACTCATAGTTTTCTGGGTTCACTGCAGCTTTCGCAGATCTAACGGGGTTAGTAGCATTTAAAGATTCCTCATCACTGTGCACTTACTGGATGCCATTGCGAGTCGTAGAGTTGTGTTTGATGCCATGGGCAATGTCACAATTTTCGGCGGTCCTCCTATTTCTCCATGACCAAGATGTCCAGTTGCAGGGTAATTATCTGGGTCATAGGGCTCCAGCGGGCCGGCCAAAAGTGTAGACGAGTGATCAGCAGCAAGAGAGGGAGCAGCAGGGGGCAGCATGAATGAATGGTTGACTGACGACGTTGCAAGACTGACATTCGTGCCTTCAACGTGTTGGATTCTCAGGAGCAGGCCATTATAGACATCTCTGTATGACATTGAGCATAGCTAGTGGCATGCCGATGAGTGTAGTTAAGCCGTTACTTACTTTAGAGCACCATGTTGTGCTTGAATTTGACTGTACTTTCTTTCAATGTGTGTATATTTGCTGAAGAGGTCGCTATATGCGCGATTTTGTGAGAGCAATACTTGATGAGAGGCTTCAGTGAGGCTGGGAGAAAGCATTGATGGCAGCATGCTCACCTACAGCTTGTCTGATCAATTGGCTTATGATTTAAAGAAAATGTACCCACTGAGTTATTGCAGAAGTTATGCATGCGATTGAATGGTGTTGGTGGCAAGAATAGAGTCTCTGTGCTGGCTGGATCGGAGGTGCTGTAGTGTTCATCATGATAACTGCTCTGAAAAGGACTGATACGGGAAGAAGAAGAGCTGGAAAGAATGGGAGAACTATTGAATTCTGTAGATGATCAGGACCACTGGCCACAGATCTAGTTAGCGTCGAGTCTCAACTGACCTGATCTTGCATGAAACGGTCTTGATGGGACTGGCTGAAGCATCTCAAGGCTGTTGTCTTTGCTGTAGAATGTTCCAGAGATACTAGAGAATGATGTTTGTGTTGCGTCCATATCTCAGATAGCGTATATGCATAAAGTCAAGTTTGTGGGTGTCACCGCAGACATCTTGCGGCAACAAGGCTTGCTGTCACGTGCCTGTGAGAAACTTGGCGCTTGAATAAGCGCCAGTCAAGGTAATTGGTGCGCACAGAGTTCACATTCTAGGGCCATAAGTAGCAATCTAAATGACTTACTTCTGTGATGTGCCCTTCCCTAGAATGCATCTTAAGCCAAGGAAATATTTTTCTTGTGGCAGACCAGGATTTAGACATCAAATAATGTTGCGGTAGCCACCAGATTAAGCGCCGGTCAAGGTGCGCACAGAGTTCACATTGTAGGGCAATAAGCAGTAATAAAAATAACATATATTCATGATGAGCTGTTTCCTAGAATGCATCTTTGTCACGAACTACTAGGGAATAGTCTCCGAACACAAGCTAATGTGTCAGCACCTATGTAGTCCTGACTAGACATGAATTACCTCTAACATCCAGAACCAACCCATAATGGTCGACGTGATATGGCGACTAGAGAGGGTGGTGGCAGGATAATGTGTATCACTACACAACTACAAGCAGGCCCTCAGTTGGGCGGCCTGAAGTCCCATGTCGAACGGTCATTGACCTAGATTGCTAGCCAGTCCCTTAGGACTCAGATAGGAGTGAGCCCCAGGTGGAGAAGTATGATAGAACTGGGGATCTACTCCCAGTTGACCCTAGTATATATACAAGCAGGGGAGTACCCTGATATACCGTCTATCCTACTTCATATTATAATACGTATGTATACTAGGAACCCTTATATGGCAAGTATGTTAGATCCAGGACCCCTGATACTGGGTATGGACCTACAGATCGAGCCAGTGTGGGAACCTACCTTATTGTACACATACGATGAGGTGCTGCGCCAAATACCTTCTAATGGCGCCGCTTCATTGCTCATGACCTTATGACCTTATGACCTTATTATAACTACGTGTATCTATTGGACCATGGCTTGCACCGTGAGTACCCTTAACTGAAGGAACCTCTTTGGATCCCCACTAGACGTTTACGTATTTCCATCAGGAATTACGTATCCCACAACTGTCAAGGTGAAACACCCGACAGTGCCCCGGAGATCCACTTTGATATCGGCCAAGACTAATACAGGAGTCTATAGAAGACTCAGTCATGGCTTCTTCTAATATCAAGTGGGAACCGGATCAAGACTTCTTTAGATGCCGGATCGGTGGCCTCTTATCAGGGTCAGATCTTATCCGGTCTGTGGATCTGAGCTTGTACGTGATGTGTACTTGAGATAGGTCTGGACTCGTGACATCATTATGTGATTCGCATGTGATATACTGTGCACAATGATGTCTGAGATTACTCTAGACCTTTTATGGCTCTGAAAGGCTCAGACTTAATGTCGCAACCCTATTGAGGATCCTGTTCGGGGATCGGGTTGTCACATATGCTAAGTCTAGTAAAAGGCCGTTCTGTCGTATCTTCGGGATAAGGATAGCGTAGACTGCCTTGCTCTAATCCTTTAGCAGGTCTCTTGGAGAGACTAGGATTGAGGTTGGTTGGTTCAGTCTAATAGATGCTATGAGATCTATCTCCATGACTATTAATAGGTCGCAAGTCCTATGTGGCTTAATGGCCAGGACTTATATCGGCGACTAGTCAATTGATCTCTGGTTGATCCCGATAAGTCACGTGCCGATACAATCTATTGTAGGACTCAATGGTTCCCTTGGGAACTATGATCGTGATATGATCCATTGTGTCAGATTGTATATGATCGGCACATTTGTGACGTATTCCTTTTTAGGGCTTTTAGTCACGTGACTAGATTTTCTTCGTTCTACGCTTACTGGGCACCTTTCGGCTGTAGGCCCTTGTAGCAGCATAGCCTGCTGGAGGTCACGCGAGGACATGAGACTATATATTGGATCTAGCCCTTCACAGGTAACCCGTGTAACCTATTCTCTATACCAGCATATGTAATGTAATATGCTATGTGCGTCAGCACCATCCGTGTAATATACAGATGTGCGCTTGGATACCTGGCTAAGTGATGTATAGCCTGGTCCAGCGCTTAGTGCTGGCGCTTAGGGTATTTATATGAGAATGGTTAGGGTCACAAGGACTGTATTTGTGACAGTACCCCCTTTTTAAGGCCTGAGCTCCGTCGAAGTGTTGGGCTTTGCTCCCACTTTTACGGAAGTTCCGCAGGATTATCAAGGACAGCACAAGTGACTAATATAACTGGATAACGTTTTGCACGTCGGTTCGTTCCTTTTTGATCCAATTTTACTTCGTCGAGGTGAAAAGATCTGAGATGCTTAAAGGCACAGTGAAGTGCAGCACATTCCGTCATTCAAATACCAACGCAGCAGGTTGTCCGTGTTTGACTTGAAGTATCGCAGTGATTTTATCAGCCTTTTACATGCAAGGCGCAACTTAAGTCGTGACCATGAACTGAACCTTGCTACTAGGTGTTGATTATTTGCTTCAGGAATAAAATGATCTTCCACCAAGGTGTGCTTAAGGTCCTTTTGCATCCTAGTTCTTCGAGGAGTTATATAGGCGAGAGTACTAGATGTCACTAATGATCCGAGTCTCATAACTAGTCCATGACGAACTGTTTCCTTAAGATCAATTGGAATTACTACTGGTTAGGTTTAGTGCACTTCCATGGTGCTCAAAGCGGCCAGTGCTACCCATTCACAGCAGCATAAAGATTCCTTTTGATAGAAACGTGGTGTCATCATTATTGCCAATCCCTATAATAGAACTTTTATGTGTGCTTGGAGATACCTTTTTAAAGTTAGACACCAGGTCCTGAACGTTCTTTTAAAGTCAGTGATGTGGACTGTGGACTGTCTTTCTTCTTATTGGTATAGCACAAGTTTCTATTTTATGGATTATGGAATATTTCGATACGTTTTGAGGAGCTTGTCTCTTATTTGCTCAATAAGGATCTGAAACCTTGAGGGTTATGTTCTGTCTTGAAGTCAGTTTTGACGTCTTTTGTAGACGTAGGTCTCTTGAAGCATGCACTTTTTATCGCATTAGGGTTCATTTTGTTTGAACTGTGATTTATAATGCATGTGGTCGTTGACTACACTAGTTCAAGTGGTAGTGAATGCTTGAAGGAATTGTCCTCATCTGGCGGAGTTTTCTCGAGAGGTTGCTATATATTTTATATTGCATCAGGACCTTTACTTTTTGGTCGCAATTTATAATATATGGCTAGCGATTTTTGCTTTTCTACCCCCTCTTCGAGGTTATGTTCTCCTGGACATAGCATTTCCACTTGTATCTGCCAGTGATGTAGACAGATAATATGGTCGTTTGAAAATTCAGGTTTGCTCTTTAATTACCCTTCGTGTACCGAGGTCTTGTGCGCATATTAGGCAATTTATATGTAGGAACGAGGTACTCGTAGATCGTGTGTGTTGGGTGCTCAGCCCAACACCGAAGTACCAATGAATCAGAACTGTTATTGCTCATCCCCTTCGTCGTGCGGTGTTTTATATTTTTCTTAAAAAGATGCATGATGCATAGAAAAATTGCATAAAGCATAAAACTTATAGCATTTGCCGCACTCCAGTGGATGTCGTTAGGTTATTTAGCTGATTTAGTCGTTCGTTACTATTGCGCGCAAGAGCGTTGATCTCTTTTTGCTATTAGGCTCATTGAGTAGTCCGTCAAAATACAATTAAGTATTGCCGGACAGATTCAACTTTTTATTTTGATCGTAGGAACATTTAGTGCCTTTGTCGAAAGACCTCCTTATTTACGTCCAAGTGCAAACATCCTTGACTATAGTGACGCTTAAAGCTGCCAGTCAGGAAAATAGGTTTGACTTATATAAGGGACATAAGGATGTATTGTCTTCGAATATGAGGCAAGTTCGAACTGATCGTGTGAGCAGCAGTGAGAGAAGCTCTAAAGACAAGCAATGATTTGTATGCTTTGGTGGTACCGAATAGGTGGCAATGTAATAAGGACAATGAATTATAATTCATTTTTTGTCTATCAGGTGTTCGTTGGCCGGTTAGGAATAGTAGAGCCTTTTACCGGTTGTAGTGGAGTCAAATCTCCATGAACACTGGATGCCTGATTTACTTATTATCTGCATTGATTTTAAGCGGTGTCCTGTTCCTCTGAATAATCAAGAGAAAGGTAATTTTTCAACCTTTACTCACGGTTTATTGGCGGTCATCGGCTAGACTCGCATGTAGCCGGTTGATGTGTTTTGCTGATCGACCTGATCCTTCATAATGTGATCGATTGCAGGGATTAGAATCTTTCCATCGGTATTGCCAAGAATGTTCGGTCAGCATATTCTTGGTTTAATGAAAGTTCCCTCAACGAATGATTTTTGGCTCCCCAGCCTTATTCGCTGATTTAATGAAGGTATTGTCTCTTATAAACCTTGGTGAATATCTCCGAATTTCTTTTTGTTGAGAAGGGTCCGTTAGCGATTGAGCAGTTTCGATTACTGAGAGTTATATTATTATCTCCTATTATCTCCGGACGCCTTTTCGACTAAAGATATTCATATTGGAGTATTCCATCCTTGTGATGTAAGGATGCTTTACCAGTCATGTCGGGCTTATTGTATTTTTATGGCGCTCAAAGCTGCCAGTACTGCCTTAAATGACAAAGGTTGATTGAGTGCACGGGAACTTGATGTTATGGTGTCATGCCCTTATTGCCTATTAAGCTCGTGTCTTTTTATATGAAGAAGACTTTATTGCACGAGAGGCGATATAGATGATTTAAATGAATTGGCTAACTAGGCCTAATTCTGCTGACAGGGCTTGACGAAATGCTTGCTATACCGCTTGCGAAGATACTTTCTGAACATCACAGAAAATTTGTATTTTCGTATAGCATTTCTATTCTTTTGCGACGGTGTGGAGTTATCAACCGTCGGCGAGGCATAGATCGACTACAAGGCCTTATACTGGCTGTCGATTATTTTCATTGATTGTGATTTAATCAATGGTGTCAACTTGTTTGCAAATCAAGTTGTTACACAACCTCGACTTGTATCTGTTTGTGATTTAAACAGATGCGCTTCTTCAGGTTATCCGTTTGTTGTCATTTTATATTGCTTTGGGGTCTTCTGGTTTGACCGCAATTTATAATGACTTGCATTGATTTCCTTCCTCGAGAATACGAAGTCCGTGTTGCTGGAGATTCTCATTAAGAGGAAGTGATCTAACTCTTGGGTTGATCTGTGCAAATCCGTTTACACTAGCACGGTATGTGCCTCCTTTTTCTTTCTAATATTCGCGATATTCCATTACACCTTTATACCATTTTGCCTTTATTGATCGTCGATCGACTGTTCTACTGCACGTACTATAATCTATGCAGCGGAATCCTCCATTTGCAATTCGGAGTTCTCAACGTGTGTCACAGATTTTCGCCACAAAGTCCGCACGTGACTTTTCTCACACCACAGATCACGTGCTTCACCAATATCTCATGCCACTCAGCCACAGACGCGATGCGTAGAGATCAGGTGATAGTCCACATCACATGTTATGGTCCAGACCTGTGGATGATACGGTCGGACCTGTCTATTCCAGGATACAATAGAGGCACCCATTTGGGAACAAAGGGAACAAGGACTATTGTTATGCATCGGCCTTCCGCTTCCTATTAGTTTAGCCAGAAGCCTAGATAGGTACGATGTTCACATCGGAGAACAAAAGGGAAACCAAGATAGGCACGATGTGCACACGCATTACTGCGGCAACCATCGATCTTCCCACTTATTGTTCTACTTCCGGACATCCTATTGTTTCATGTACGGCCATTTGCTTATACCCGTAGATAGGTAGCTTAGGTAAGATAGCCTGCTGTATGTGTATATAAGACCAGCCATGTAGGGGACGAAACCTCAGATTGTTTCTCCTCGTCTACTACCTGTAGCACCCACTGAGCTCACCAGCTCCTTCATATATCTCTCGCCCTTTCCTGCGTCTGTCAACATTGACCAGTAAGTCAACAGGCTCTTGCGCCACATAGGGTTCAGGGGGATACCTTTGGGATCAGGGGGATCAGGGCGGCACGTTCCACGTGACTGTCCCTTTTTAGTCTTTTTGATCTCTTGTCCGGTGTTACCGTGACATTAGAAACAATCTGACATTTTCTGCGCCCCTGCTTAGTGTTTAACACAAGCGGCCGCGTATTTTCAGCGCAAGCAGTTTCAGCCGTAGCGCGTGGCTTTTTTGACATACATTCCAATCCAATCTCTACCCGGCGTGAGCCTCAGCAAGACTCTGAGCTGCCCAAAGCCTCAAAGCGCAAGGCCACCCCCAGGATCGACCTTGACGCCCACTACAAGCATCAGGAAACCAACAAGGAGCGTGGAAGGCTTCTCACACTTGCGTCACTAGGTGCATCATCCACAGACAGGCAGCGAGCAGCAGCTAGGGTTGTAGATACCACACACATCATAAAGCGCGGAATCATCTGCAAGCCACGCGATCACACCCCACCGCTTGAACGCTACAAGCCCAGAAAGGGACGTCTTACCACTGGTAGTCGCAAGCCGGCACCACCCCCAGAGCTTATCACCTCCAACGCCGTTCCCCCCATCATTGTTGCTCCACAGCCAGTGCGACCCCTTCCCAACTTCGTTAAGGTCAACACACACGCACGACCCATTCGCCCTCTTCCGTCCAAAGTCAGGCCCACCCTCCACATCGAAACACTTAAGAAGCAGGTCTCCGCTACCCGCTTCAGACTACAACTGATATTAGGAGCATTCTGGGAGAGAATTGATCAGGACAAACGAAAGAAGGTACAACTCCTCGCATCGGAGTTAGACAAAGTCTGCGCAGATCTCTACACGGGAACTCGTGAATACACCTTCGTCGACAAACAGGTCATCAACACGTGCTGCCTAGAAATAGGAAGGATCAACTTCAAGGAGATAGGGAAGCAGCAGAGGTTAGACGAGATCGTCAGGGAGATTGGGAAAGTCAAGGACAAGCAGTACCTAGGCTTCATCTTCAATTAGTTTAACTACATCTATATCACAATGGAAGGAGCTGATCGTGCATACGCATCCACGTTCAGGCAAAGAATGGATGACATTCTGCATACAAACGTTGAGTCAGCACATGACGGAAGCACCCCACGCGCCTCGCAGCGCAATTCACCAGAACCTGCACTAGGACCGCAGGACTCTGCATCACAAGTCGGAGGACCAGCATCCCCGACACCATCACTTGTACCAGCCTACGTCCCACCCATCTGGGAGTTTGATGGACACCAATTCGAGTACCTGGAAGATGCTCTCAGACAATCCGCTCCCGGAGAAGTCCCAGACCACATCCGTGAATGGGTAATCGTGGCAATGAAGCTCACGGTCACTACTGAGATCGCCAAGGTCTACAATGTGCTCGGAAACAAGATGTACGAGCACAAGAAAGCCTTTGAATCAACGATCCAAAACAACAAGAGCGAACACCGACTCAAGGAGGGAATGCTCCAGACGGAGATCGGGAAGCTCAAGGATAGAATCCTCGTGCAAGACGTGCATATGACAGTTTTGAATGACGAGCTCACAGGAACCCAGGCAGCAATGCTCGATACAGGCAAAGAAATGATGGAAATCAAGGCAGCTAACGTCAAGCTGCGACATGAGCTAGCTTCGCTCAAAGCAAGCAGCGTCACTACGACGCAAGGTCAAACATCCAGCACGGTCCAATCGCACAAGCCACACATCAAAATTGCTGAACCTCCACACTACTCGGGCAAAGGAAGTCTGGAGGACTGGCTCCAACAACTCGGTATATGGATGCGGTGGAATGAGATTAACGACGATGAACACAAGATTACCACGGCCTTACTGCACTTGGAAGGTGGCGCGTTCACATACATGTCCGAATATGCGACCAGAGCAGCAGCACGGCAGGCACTTGGCACATGGGAAGACTTCGTCAACATTCTTAAAGTGAACTACAGGACCCTCGACCCGGACAAGGATGTGCAGCAGCATTTGAAGGATATCTGCGGCAAGACGTATCCCACAATGGTATCCTTCGCAGAACAGTTCCGTCAATGGGCCACTAAGACCAACTTAGGGCACACTGCACTCATCGGTTACATCGCTGAACACCGAAGCAAGGACGTACGCCAGGCAATGGTCACACGAGACAGTCTAGGAATTTCTGACCCCATCACATGGCCAGAATATCTCGACCTATGCCTTCAATTAGAGTCCAAGTTCAGAGCCGACAAGGCAGGACAACATGGAACGGTTACGACATCATCATCATCGGCACCACGGGCCCCGAAAGACCCCAACGCAATGGTCGTGAATCGAGTATCCACCCTCACCAAGGAACAAGAAGGATGGCTGGAGAAGAAGCTGTGTGTACGATGTGGGAAACACCCCTTC